AAGGGACGCTAAGGTCGGACGAATGGGAGAGGCAGGGTGAACTAGTTCTGTACCGGGGGAGGGTGTACGTCCCTAAAGACCCCCAACTCCGCCATGATCTTGTGCGGCTACACCACGATGCGCGGGCGACGGGACACCCAGGGCGATGGAAAACCCTGGAACTTGTCTCCCGCGACTACTGGTGGCCCCAGATGGCAGAGTATGTCAGGCAGTACATACGCGGGTGCGACACCTGCAACCATGTCAAATCTTTCCCCTCATGAAAAGTTGGGAAGCTCACCCCAAACAAGGTCCCCACCCACCGCTGGCAAGTGATCTCAGTAGATATGGTGGGAGAGCTCCCAGAGTCCAAAGGCTATAATGCCATCTTGGTGGTAGTAGACTGCCTGTCCAAGCGTATCCACGTGGTCCCCACCGTGACGACCGTAGACTCGGAGGGTATTGCACGGCTCTTTCTAGAGCACGTCTGGAAGCACCACGGGCTCCCAGAGGAGATCCTCAGCGACAGAGGGAGCGCCTTCATCTCCCGCTTCTCGAAAGAGCTCGCGGACCTTCTAGGCGTCAAACTGACCCCTTCGACGCCCTACCACCCCCAGACGGACGGACAGACTGAGCGGGTCAACCAAGAGATCAAAGCTTATCTCCGGGTGTTCGTCAACCACCGACAAGACGACTGGGCCGACTGGCTTCCGCTGGCAGAATTCTCCTACAACAACCGCATCCACTCATCCACCCACCGAACCCCTTTCGAACTCGACACCAGCCAACACCCCAGGATGGGGACAGAGCCCACACGCACGTCCGAGGTGGAAGCTGCTGACACGTTCTCATCAAGGATGATGAAAATGCAAGAGGAGGCGAAGGCCGCACTGGAACACGCAGCGGACGAGATGGCCCGTTACTACGACTGAGACCACGAAACAGCCCCAAAGTACCAAGAAGGCGACCGAGTCTGGCTCAGTGCGCAAAACTACACGACTGACCGCCCAACCAAAAAGTTGGACCACAAATGGCTCGGCCCCTTCAAAATCGTCAAAGTCGTCTCCCCTGCTGCCGTCAAACTCCAACTTACCGCACGCCAGAAAGGAATCCACCCGGTTGTATCCGTAACGAACGTCAGACCACACCGCCCAGATGATATCCCAGAACGACCCACTGACCCCTGCCCAGGTCCGGAACTTGTAGACGGAGAAGAAGAGTACGAGGTCGAGAAGGTATTGGACTCTAAGTGGCTACGCCGGAAACTCTGGTATCTGGTAAAGTTCGTTGGTTGGCCAAGCTCAGAGAATCAATGGCTCCAATGGGACCACTTAGCCCATGCCCCCGACCGGATCGAGGAATTCCACAGGACGCACCCCCAAGCCCCAGGGAGAGAAAGAGAGAACCATCTGGCTCACCTGGGCCCACCTCACCTGCTCACCCGCTCACCCGCTCCCCACTACCCATCCTTCCTCCCTCTTCCCCTTCCTCCCTCTTCCCCTTCCTCCCTCTTCCCCTTCCTCCCTCTTCCCCTTCCTCCCTCTTCCCCTTCCTCCCTCTTCCCCTTCCTCCCTCTTCCCCTTCCTCCCTCTTCCCCTTCCTCCCTCTTCCCCTTCCTCCCTCTTCCCCTTCCTCCCTCTTCCCCTTCCTCCCTTTCCTCCCTCTTCCCTCTTTCCTCTTTCTCCTTTATTTCACTCTCCCTTTCTGTTTATTCTTTCTATTTACACAGACCACCTTCCCTTGTATCATTGTACTGTTGACCCGTCCGGCTCGGACACCCCAGACGACTTCCCGCTACGCCCAGCATGCGCACCTGCAGCAGACGCCCTCGGGATCCCCCATGGGGATACCCGGATGGCTGCGGCCCTCTCCGTAGATGATGTGGCACCCGTCATGTGACCCAAGCCGCATGTACATAAATGTACCTGAAGTGGGAACTGAAGAAGTAACCTTCTTCTCACGTTTTCCACTTCAGGTAAGTAGTGTAGTTCTTCCTTTTAATAACAATTCACGTTTTCCACTTCAGTCTAAGTGGCCAGGGACTACAGTCCCAGATCGGGCCCATCAGTACGCGCGCCCGCTTCGTCCCCCGAGAGGGTCCCTCCGTCGGGCACTACAGCCAGACCCCCTCCACCCCGGACGCGTCCCTGACATTATGGTGGGGGAGCTGGCTGTCAACAGGGTGATCGTCCGTTGTGTCGCCCACACCCCTGCGGGTCCTCCCTTCATGTAGGAGAGGATGAAGAGGATCTGGGACAGTTCGGTAGGGAACTCGGCTGCACGGACATGGAAGTAGATCCTGCACTCGGCTTTGAAACGATCGAGGTCTTCACTGGCTCCCGAGAAGGGAGTGGGGGCAGCGACCTTCGGTGGTTTGGGTCTGGGCGCGAGTGTGGGTACGGGCGTGGGTGCAGGGGCAGGTGCGGGTGCAGGTGCGGGTGGGGGGTGGTTGCGGGTTTGGCTCTCCACAATGGCTTGGAGCTCCTGGAAGCGGGCCAGCAGGTCGTCATACTGTTCTTCTGACACCATGGCTGGGGAGATGGGGGAGGCAGGGGAGATAAGGTTAAAACCTTCTTCTGCTGTCAGGGACGCGTCCGGGGTCGAGAGGGCCCGGGGGTAATGTCCGGCACTGAGGCCATCGCGGGGTGTGGAGCAGGTGTGCGTACTGGCGGGCCTGATCCGGGACAGTGGTCCCTGGCCACTCAGACTGAAGTGGAGAATGTGTTATTATTATTAAAGGGGAAAACTATACTACTTACCTGAAGTGGAGAATGTGAGAAGAAGGTTACTTCTTCGGTTCCCACTTCAGGTACATTTATGTACATGCGGCTTGAGTTACATGACGGGTGCCACGTCATCCTCGGAGGCAGCCGCAGGCATCCGGGTGTCCCCATGGGGGATCCCGAGAGCGTCCGCTGCATGCGCACGTGCTGGGCACAGCGGGAAGCCATCCGGGGTGTGTGGGCCGGACGGGTCAATAGTACATCGATACAAAGGAAGGTGGTCCGTGTAGATAGGAAGAAATAAACAGGAAGAGGAAGATGAGAAGAATGAAATAAAGAAAGGGGAAAGAAGAGGGAGGAAGGAGGGGGAGGGGGATAGACAACGGGGAGCGGGTGTGGTGTGGCCGGGTGGGTCCGGGTGGACCCGGGTCAGGCAGGTGTGCCCTGACAAGTAGCGGGAATAATATTCTGGATTGTATATTCAGTCGGGCAATCTGCTGTAACTCAATTATTGAACCATCGGTGACATTGAAGAGACCAAGAAGAGACACCCCAAAAGTCAGTTCGACAGAACAAGACCAACTCGGTACCGAACATGGGGCAACATTGGGGTTCCATGATACCATCGATACAACACTCTCCCAATGATATCCTCCAGAGCTTTTGGGACATGCAAAGAAGCGTGCATGCTAAAGCGGCAGATCCCAACAATGGATGGTGCTAGGCAGGACTCCAGCCTCTAGGACGGTGCATGAAAATTGCCCAAGTACTGTCCCATTACGACCGTTGGTTCAGTCACATGTCACAACGAGACTTTGAACAGATGAATGTATTGACAACTAATTCCCACGGGGTCCGGGAGTTGCCGGAAACTGCAAATCCATTCAGTTTTAATTCAGTTCAATATTTTCACGTGATGTATGTGTCAGGGCACATACCCTGACTTAGCCCGGACCCGGACCCGCGTCCGGACCCGCTCCACTTCCCGCGCACTTCCTGCGCCGCACACCGCATGATCCGACCCTGGATCCCACCTCATGTGACTTCCGGGTATCCCCGGAAGTTTTCGCCATATTGGGGCCACTGTGGGAAAGTGAGAAGTTAACCTTCTTCTCACTTTCTTACCCACAGTAGAGTTGTGCCCTGGACAGGGCTGTTCACAGGTTAGACTGTGGGCCATAGAGAGGGGTCATGGGGACCCGGGGTCCATCCCCTGACAGTATGGCACATGTCACACTGAGGGATGAACTACGCAGAAAGGAGCCGGCAATCCCCAAAACCCGTGGGAATGAACCTATGGTCGTAATGGGACAGTAACCAGACTGTCAAATTTGCTCATTGCATGCCCTGGGCACTATCAACAAGACCTGCATTGGTGGGTAGTTGTTTGATGACATGTAAAGTGTATATTAAAAGGTTGGCAGCTGGAATCACTGGAACATGCAACATAGTGTTGGAGAATATAATATGTTCCCAATAGTGTAGAGTTTAACAGCCTATACCGGCATGGCTCAAGGGTGAGTAGTGTATGGATGCATGCTAGAGGTCCTGGGTTCGATACCAGGCTTGTCCATGATTTTATGTCCTTGCCACGTGACCTGGATTTGAAGCCATTTGAATTGGAGCTCCGGATAAGTCCAGTAGTCGCACCGGATACAATTTCGACACATAGGACTTTGAATCTGAATACCCGTTACAACATACTTCGATGGGAATGTTTGACAAGAATGACTTCATTCTGGTGCCATGTTGTAAACGCGGCGTTCCAAATATGGCAACCCGCTTCAGCGGTTCACTCGCAACCCAGATGTAATATAGAAAGAAATATAACTAAAATACACACGGCGCTCCAGCGCCCATATTTATACTTCTCAACAATATTCCAGGCTCTTCTATGCCCAGCGCTTATGCAGGTGCCTAGTAACCCCTAGAATATTCCCGGATATTCCGGTTCAGTTTCATCATGTGACTCGTATTCCAACATGCCACACCAAGTATATGAATACTGAGGCGGGTGGCGAAAAGACAGAAATTCTCATCGTTCAATGCAAGTGGTCAGTTCGATATTGGGTTGTAATGTCTCAGTTTGGATACAGGAGACAGATGTATTTAAATGCGAGCTAGTTGTGATTGAAGAAGCAATGGATAGTATCGCACCTCTTGTCCAGGACAATATATGCAAGCGTCCGACAGCGTCAGATTTTACTATCCACACCACTCCTTTCAAGGATCTTCCAATGTTTAAGAGTCACTTTGTGATCTGGATTACCAAACGATAAAGGAATGGGATTCACGGACCTGAGACTCGTTGATATGTGGGAGCATGGATCCGAGAGATGTGATGAACGACCCAGGTTTTAACCCTCCACAGCCACCTCCCACTGGGGATGAAGACGATGAGGATAAGGAACCACCGGAGAGAGAGTTGCGGGGTAGTAAGAGGAGATTTGAGAAGTCTCCAACTTTTAATATCAAGTTTGGTGGGCAAGGGGAACAAGAGAGGGGGTGAGGTTGAAGAAGGAAATGCTGGCGAGACATACAGAGGGTGGAAGCGGCGAATGCGATATGCAAATGGGCAGGGGCGTGTCGAGCACCAGTAGTGGGACGAAACGGAGGGTAGGGGTCGTGTCGATCACGCGCACCGGGAATAAACGGAGGAGGTAGAATCGTGATAGGATGGACCATACTCTCATTGATCATATTTATCTCATCCGCTTGCCCTCCCTTTCTCCCACTTCTCTTGTAATAAGAAAATTTCCACCCTTACCTTAAGTACGTCAACACCCGACTTGCACGCGCCTTTGGCTCCCAACTTACAATTTGCATTGCCTTGTCCGTGCTTCTATGCGTCCGTCCGATCGCCCCCACACACCTGTGGAGGCCCTTCCGAATTTTGGCAAGTTTATCTATGCTCGAGAATGCCTCGCTTTCGTCTTGCCACTGAGATTATGCCATCTCGTACACGCTCGCCCTTGAACTCGATGTTGGCCCGACTCAGCACAGATGTGCGGAAGTGTCGAACCAAGGGGAGATCTACCTAGGGTGTCTAACTGCCGCCACGGGATCACGCCATATTGATACCCCGCTTGGAATCGGTGCTGCGCGGGCCCAGGCTCATGGCGATATCTGCAAAAGATATTCAAGATTCGAGGAAGATGGATTGACCCATTCGTCGCCGTCGCCGATACCGACGAACCGAGGATCGATCAGCGTCGACGCAGCATCGAACAATCAATTAGACAAATGAGATGAACAAAATGTATAGCCACTAGGACAAGATGTAAAGAAGGGTTGTCAGTCTCCAGGGAGGGTGGCCCAGTGCCTCACAGCAATAGTGACGAGGCCCATGGGGTGCAACTCATCATACTTGCACAATGGGCTCCGGCAACGTTGCTTCGCAGAGTTTCCAAATTTCGTCAGTTACTGAACACCACAGGCCACACCCTGATTCCGGATTTACACGTCCATAATATGGCTTTACAGTAAGGGCATAGCTTTGCGGACAGACTGACGATAAATAGCAGCACCGCAATTTCCCAAGGCATGGGTATGGGAGAAGAGAAGGAAGATTAGCGAAAGAAATGTATCATTTGCATTTGACACATAGAGAGTATATCGATATGGTGTGGTATACCAAGACTTCAACAGCAATGTTGAGGCGAGCGGATGGCAGAGTGGGGAAATTTCCAAATCGCCGTTTCCCATTATACCCATTGGGGGTGGCGCGAAGGCCTCGGGGATGGCTACAATTACGGTGGCACGGTGAATGCTTATCAGCAGGAATGCCACCGCCTAAATGGGAGGCCTGGCGACATGCAAATATGCAAGGCACCGAGGCATGTAATGCGCTTTACAGCCACCCTCAACCTTTGGACCGGAGCGATTTGCTTCGGGATGTGTGACAAGGGCGCAGCGCCCGACATGCTGATGCCCAGAGGAGGGGAATGTGTAGAGGCTGGGTCCTGCCTAGGGAACGTGGTGGATTGGCCATATGAGATCCGGTATCTCCAGTACTAGAACTCCAGACGGCATGAAGAACTCAGTAAGAAACTTATTACATTGAAAACACGTGCACTGTGGCAGTTGGAATAAACAGCAATTGATATTTAAGCGCCTGACCGTGAGACACAAGATGTCACTCTCTTTACCACTTCAGTCTTTGGATATAGGGGCCCAATATGCTGTTGCCAGATCAGGAGGATATATTCATATCCTCGACGCGAAGTTCGCAGTTTCATTTACTTATCCCGATCGTCTGACGCCTCAATCTTCAATCAATAAATCAGGACAGGCGTTTTGACGCCTCATTTCTCATTGAAGAATCTGCACCAAGGTGGTATCAGTGCCGCAGCTTTCCATGAGTCAGGGGTCGTCTTGTGACCGTTGGCGGGGAGGACAAGCGCCTGAGAGTGTGGGAACTCAGCTCTGGTACGCTGCTTTCGGACAGGTACGTTCGTATCATACACTCATATCCCACCGATAGTGGCGTGAGCTCACTTTTCTATCCATCTTCTTAGAGAGGTCCCGAAGAAGGGAAAGTTCCTAACTTTGACGGGCGATGGCCACACCATACTCGTTGGCGACAAGCTAGGGGACATTTTCAGGTAGATAATATCCTCTCGCATCGCCAGTGTCTCGCGAAACCTATTCATTGGTACCCAGTTATTCCACGACTCCCCCCGTTGCACCTCCCAAATCGAAAACTGACTACAACACTTCTGAAGCACGCCGGGAAGGAGTTACATCCCACGAGAATCTCGATGGAGAACTACTCTTGGGCCATGTATCTTCAATAACCGGCCTATTGCTGACACATGATGAAAATCACATCATTACTTGCGACCGAGATGAACACATCCGCATTAGCAGGTACCCCGAGGGATGGGATATTGAGAGATTTTGCCAGGGACACACCAAGTGAGTACAACGATACTAACGGCCCTTCTGCTGAAGCCTTTAACACCCTGCACGCTTACACAGATACGTCTCTGCAATACACATCACTGGAGCGGACACTTCGACATTAGTCTCTGGCGGGGGCGATGACTCGCTCTATGTGTGGGATTACATTACGGGTAAACTTAAGTTTAAGATCCCCATTCTGGAGACTGTCCAGCCGCATGTTATTGTTCAAGGGGGACGGGAACGACGGCGAGCTCGCACAAGGAATTATAAACCTCGTATAAGGCCACCTGAAGCAAAGAAGGGAAAAACCCAAGAAGAGGGTCAGGGTCAGGCGAGCAGTGCAATGGATATCGATGTTGAAGTCGGTGAAAAGGATGGAAGCACGGGAGAGGCAGATAAGGATGGAGGCGAAGTCGAGATAGTGGAATCGACTAGAGCGATGATACCATCCTCAGATCATATGGTCGAGGATGTTTTAGTTGTATCAAGAATCAGGAGTGGAATGTTCAGTGGGAGGGAAGTAATTTTGTTTTCTGTCCTAGGGTGAGTCATCAGCGGTCTGTTTCCACCCTTTCTTGGTGTATGGTGCGCTCGACTCATGAAAATCAAGGGCGACTTCCTTATTCTTTATTTTCGGCCCTCTCTCTCGCTCGGCGCCCGTCCACCGTATTGAACTTGGGGCGCCCCTTACGGACTTCGCCCTGGTTCCCACCCAAGATGTAGTATTTGTTCTTGTGGACCAAGCATGGAGACACTCTCATGCAGCTACCAAAGAGCAGAGGGATGCTGCGGCAGAGGCACCTGGGCGAAATGCCGTTCTGCTGAGGCTCATCGGAGATAAGGTGCCACACATTTCAAAACGCTCAATAAGCTGGTGGCTCAAGGATACTTACGCATTCGATAAGTTTCAGGAAAACGATTCAGCCGCATATTCGTCCACCGTAGCGTTGCTAAATGGTCTGAATTCGATCCAGATAGAAGGTAAAAATTCCAGCACTGTCCTTGCATGGGCACTTATCTTCCACTTTGTTCTAGCAACGCCTGAACAAGTTGCTTTGCTCGATATTTATGGAGATCTTTTCTCTCTACCAAAAGACTCGGAGGAAGAACTGGCAGAAACCGGCGCAAACAGTGAGAACAGCTCTCCCGGGCCCGGGGCTGATGTCATAGGAAAGAGAAAGTCAGGGGTCAAGGGAGACGCGAGAAAGAAATTGAGAGAAACGCTACAGAAGGCGCACGGGAGGGTGAGCGGTAGCAATGATGGGAAGAGCGTAGGAGGGGATGGTGCAAGAAAGAAAATGAAAGTTAAACCAGCTGAAGGGATTCCCGATGGGGTTGTCTAATGCTTTTTCCAAGAAAAAAGGTACTCCCGACGGTGTCAGAACATTTGTCTACACGCGCATGTTACCGGTGGCACAGCTTGTGGAATTTAATTGTGTTCCAAAAATGGGCAGAGTCACGGGCTCGTGGACTTCCCTAATAACACCCCAATAATTTGACACGTCTTTGCGCGCCCCATATTCCAATACTGCCATGGGATTGTCGCAAAGTATACCAGTAGTCACATCAGAGGTTGCTGTGACAGGCGCCATAGTGCTTGTCGGTGTGTATGTGCTCAGAGCTAGTTCAGGTGCTGCCGGATCCAAGAGTTCGAGGGGAACACCAGCAAGTCAAGGAACAAGTCTTGTGAAGAAGAAGGGAAGCAAGAAGGGAAAGAAAGGGAAGAAGGATGACGCTGGGATGACCAGCCCTTCACCAGCTGTTTTGGTTCTGGGGACGGAAACTTTTGCGGAGGATCCTAATAAGGCGGATGCGGTACGTGTTTACGAGGCATTTTTCAGTACCAATGTGTGATGAGTGTTCGCTCACGCGCACTTTCTCGTAGGGACTGCCCAAGAACGATTCCACGTCAATGTCGCAGTCGCAAATCGACGATGATGCCACGCCACCACCGCCCTCGGAGTCTAAACGTGCAAAGAAGAACAAGAAAGGGAAACAAGCTGCCGCCAATACCCCTCCTTCCATCTCCACCTCCTTCGCGCCCCCGAAGCTCCAGAAGACTTCATCAACTTCTGGTCCAGCAACCGCCTCATCATCGTTTGTGGATGATGACGGCTGGATGAAGGTACACGCAGGAGTTGACAGGGCGCATGAACCCAAGGCTTCTTCATCAGCAGACGAGAGACAAACTCTTGCGGAGAGGCTGCTTCCTAAGCCAACTCCGACCGTTGTTGATGAGTACGTACCGCTGTTCAATATTACGCCCCCAAGTTCAGTTCCTGATGCGGGTCCGTTTAGTATGCTAGAAGAAAGATCGGGCGGCATTGCGCGCGTAATACGAGTGAGAGCTGATCAGAAGCCTCCCACTGGATTCTCATGGAAGGATTATGATAACGTGGAGCTCGAGGAGAGTGGGACTACAAGCGTGAATGACGAGGATGATGAATCAGGATGGGATGTTGTAAAAAGTAAAAGGAAAAGTACGTCATGATGCATTGTTAATTCATGCGTCAGCATGCTGAGGCGGAATGCTGCACAGAGCGAACTGATACCCCTAAGGTACGTTATGAACTTGCTGCTGGCTTGGCCGCAAATGTTCAATCTATCTGTCCCGTGATCCCAGTCTACCCCTCCACCTCCACCCACAAAGAAGCAACTGCAGAATGCCGCACGCCGCGAAGCTGAGAAGGTCGCCAGGGCTGAAGGAGAACGCCAGAGGCTAGAGATTCTAGCACAGCATAAGAAACAACTCGAACAGGCGCGAATGGATGAACATTCAAGTTCGAAAGGGCCCGGGAGAAAAGGCAAAGTACTGAGTGGCGGTATGAATGCGTCTGTGGACGATAACGGTGCCCTTGTATGGGAATAAGCTTACGTCGTGTCAAGGTCACACCGACGCGTTTGGATCAAACGCAAGGTTTAAATTTAATACTGAGTTACATAGGATTTGCATAATGAATGGTAGCCCTTGTGTTCTATCATTAAAGCCCGCTCAAGTCGTCTTCCTCTGTGACTTCAACAACTCTCGGCATTCCAGTCTTCAAGTCTATCCCGGCGATTTCAGTAGCGACCAGCTCGACAGCACTTTGCACTGCCTCAACCTCGTCAGAGCTCAGTCCACTTCGTAGCGCACCTCGCAAGTGCCAGAGTACTTCGCGCTTGCTTCGCTGAGCAATAAGACATGATAGAACGACCATTTCCGTTTCGGCGAAAGTAAGTGGAGCCCGTGGATTCGACTCGGAAACGGGTTCGAGGAAGAGGCCGTAAGTTATATGCTCAGACATCCATTCTACGATTCAAATAGTGAGGAATACGCAATCTCACGTATGATGATCAGCGTACTGATTTCAGCCATGGACTCCGCCATCTTCGAGGAAATAGGTCCATATTGCGCACGGTAGACACGTTCCTTTATGGGGAGTAGGTCGGATGGGGAATAGAAGAAGTGGAATGAACTAACTAAGCCTCTCAGTCCTCGTTGTTGGTTCTCATTAACATTACCGGTGTGCGAACAGTCGTCCAGTCCTTCACGCACAAATGAGGTGTCATAGTCGGGTGTGCCCTCAGTTGCCACTTTAAGGGCAAAGCTCGCTTCTATGACGTGTGGGACGCCAACGAGGATGGCACTCTTAAAAATAGCCTCCTTCATTCTCCGAACGATTCGTCTTCCGGGGATTGTTTCCTCTGCAAAATTGACAGGCGAGTTCCGAGCGTAGCTGGGAGGCGCAGGGCCGGCTAGGGAACTAGCCTGCTTGTAAATGAGGGGAACCCAAGTATGGCCTTGGCCGAGAGCTGTGGACGTAGCCGCCTTCATTTGGAATGTCCATCAGAACAAGGTCACTTCCGCTTGATTGGGGGACAGTCACCGCGATGAGGTACCATGAGTCTGGCCGAAGGGAGGGAAACTTAGAAAGGCCCGAGAGAAAGACGGAAGGGTTCATAGTTATATTCAACGGACAAATGAGAGTGCAGTTGAGGAATGCCCGATCCACGGATTGGGCAGGGCTCTAGACTGAAATGAGGAAACTGACGCCGAAATGTACCTAGACGTGTTTATCGCCAGGCTAGGGTACGGAATGTAAGAAACCAAGCGGATCTGAGAAACGAGGATGATCGTTAGATCTTCGAATCTACATGGGTCAAGCAATTGAGCTGGATTTTTTCTCCTGAATTCGGCATCTCGCGGGGCATCGTCATTGAGGTGGTCATCAATACCGTCAAGACTGTCAACAGTCAAACACTCTTACTTGCGTGCTGGCGTTTAGATGACGACAATTAATGCCGACTATGATGATGCTATGACGCATCAATCGCATTCGCGTGAGGAGCGACCAGCCTCAGGCTTCAGAATGCAACATACGATGACCCATCTCCAGACGGATACAGACTCTCGAATGAGTCTCAGCATAACGAAGACGAGCAGCCAGTGTCTCCTGAGTATGCACCTCGTGCAAGCATCGACTCTCTAGGCGGTGATGAAGAACCACAGACTGAGCGTCAAGCCTTGGAGGATTCTTCAGAGGAACCTTTCACCGAGATCAATCAGTATGTTGAAGACGTCGTTCAGCCTGGCTTTGACGAGGCCATACTTAGAGCTTTATGCGAAATGGACGTGAGTGGGTCATGCTGTTGCTGTTGTGATCTGCTAGGTTGACAAATACGCTTAGGGAGGCGTGCCGCTTTTGCTTGATCGAATAAAGCAGAGCATGGTTTCCTGTAGGGTAAAGCCGATTCATTTTTTTCTGCCTTTGTAGCCGGCGTGACTTCGGTATTACATCCAGGAGGCATCCATCTTTCTCAAAAAACGCGCGGTCTTAGAAGAGGAGTATGGTAGGGGAATGCAAAAATTAGCAAGGCAAAGCTCCGAAGTTTACTCCATGAACGACGGCAAGGCCGGGTGAGCCGCGAGTATGCATTGTTTTTCGTTGGGTGTTGATAAGTGACAACTAGGACTTATGTTTCTGCTTGGCATGCCACAATGAAGATCCACGAAATTATCGGAGACAACCATGTCCGGTTCGCAACTCGACTGAATGAGATGAATGAGGAGCTGTCGTCATTATCAAAGGAGGTCGACAAGAATCGGAAAGGAGTAAGTGAGCCCGACGACCCGTTGCTTCATCAAATGTTAACCATGCATCAGACAAAAGAATTGGCGTCTCGGTATGAACGTTCGTTGCAGGAATCAGAGGCCACATTGGATAAAGCTAAAAACCGGTTCGATTTAACTGCCGAAGAACTTCAGCGCTTCCTAATCTCAAAAGAAGGAGAGTCCAGTAAAGAGGCAGGAATGCCTGGAACGACTGCTAGTAAAGGAGGCAATAAAATTGGGAAGACTTTAGCGAAAGGTGGTATGCTATTGAAAGTTCGTAGTCCAGCAAATGTCAGTATACTCTTACTATGTATTGTCTCATGTCACCCCATACTGATTCGAGGTTTAGCTGCAACGTCAAGAAGACGACATACGGTCTCGAATGTCGTCGACTTCAGATGCATACCGCAAGGCCGTCATGGAGACTCAGACCCTCCGCCAGGAGTATTTTAACTTCCAGTTGCCTAGAATTCTTCGTGTGAGCCGAATTTCATTTGTGTGCTAAGCTCAGTCGCTGACAACCGAGAAGTCCCTCAAAGAGTGTGCAGATGAGATTGATCTTGGATTACAGTACCATTTGTCTCGTTACGCGTTCCTAATGGAGAGCACGGCACTGAGTGATGGGACTACGTTGTCTCCGACTGGAGTCGAAGATGGGCCGGGGATAAAACATGTCATCAACTCAATTGACAATGCCCATGACTTCAAGGTGTTCATGCAACATTATTTGGTAGCGCATGCTCCCAAAGGGCCACGGAGAGAAGGGCCTTGGGAGGAAGGATTCGTAAGAAGCTGTTCCCTGGGATATTACATCGTACTGATCGATTTCCGCAGCTCCCTCCATTACCGAGCGTAAGTCACGAGAAGCCCATCGCGCCAGTCGCGTCCTCTGCGTCCCAACCCTCATCGACGCTTACGTCATCATTGACGTCGTCTACTGCCGCATCAGACAATCCGTCACTGCCGAAATCCACAGTGCAACCGACATTTGGTGTCCACCTGGCTGAACAAATGGTTCGCGACAATGTGGAACTCCCAAAAGTTGTAGAGAAGTGTTGTAGACATATACAAGAGCGGGGGTTCGATGTCGTTGGGATTTATCGATTGAGTGGGACGACCAGCAAAGTGCAGAAATTGAAAACACTTTTCGACCGCGGTGGGTGTTCCTGTCAAATGCGCCATTTCCTCTCATTTGACCCCTTCCGCAGACGTGGATGCAGTTGACCTTTCGACGCCAGAATGGGCAGATATCAACATAGTCTCCTCAGCCCTAAAACTTTGGTTCCGAGATCTCCCTGAACCTCTATTAACATGGTCGTTGTACTACGGGTTCATTGAAGCCGCCAGCGAGTATCCACACTCGGCTCCTCCACACGCCACTAACTTCAGCTAATACAGAGATCGAAAACGACCGTTTGCGCCACATCAGACTCCACGAGAGAGTGAACGACTTACCAGATCCCAACTATGCTACGCTAAAGTACCTAATTGGACATTTACACCAGTAAGCGGGGCTCTTCGCGTCATGATGAATCAACCAACGTCAGATCAGGGTTACTAAGCGACAGCACATCAATCAAATGAGTGCTTCCAACTTATCAATCGTCTTCGGTCCAACACTTCTTGGACCGCCGCCTTTGTCCAGGAATCCGTCGGTGGCGTCTCATTCTGGGAATGGGAATACTGGGGTCAGTACTGAAGGCGGGAATTCGCTGCAAGACATGAACTGGCAGTGCAAGGTGCAGTCAAGTTCCTCAGGTTGACGATTTGTTCATGGAAAATTCTGCCAGGCCATCGAAACCATCTTGGAACATTACGAGGACATCTTCGTAGATGAAAATGAGGAAAGACCATAGATATACAGGTGGATCAATTTTACTAGGTGATGCATGCTTTAGTATTGGCTAACTCAACCCGGTGTACAAGCTGGCTTGACACGTCGAGTTTCTCGCCTCAGATTTTAATTGTACTTGTGCACTTTCTTACGCTTGTATAATGTATCCCTCAATAGTATAGTTGATGATTCCTGCAGTGTTCAATGCTCAAATTTTGAGCTCCCGTTCGTTATCAATTGTCGTCGTGACAGTCATGGAGTCTGCCGACATTGTCGACTGACCGCGGAAACAAGTTTGGTGCGTGCGGCGAGATCCAAGCCACTACTCGACCACCTATTTCAACGCCAGCATTACCTCTGTGAGACTGCCTTTAGCTGTCTGGGGCATCGACTACGGCCCTTGCCATAGTGACTCACTCTCGTTTCGAATATCTGGCAGTTTCCAAGGATGCAAACCCAAGCCTCTCCTTTGGCTATCGAGCATGAGACCCCAAATCTACGTACCCTTCGTCGTCTTTCAGCATCCAGCGGGACCAACCCAGATTCTCTTAATTCCGACCCACCGATCTCCTTCGTGTCGACCATGCAAAATTGGGAGAATTCGTCTACTCCGGTGTCTGATCAGACTTCGGTGACGTCTTATGATTCTGAAAGCGATACATCTCATCTATTCTGGGTGCCTGCTCATCTTCACCCGGAGCTCGCTCCTGCAGAATTTCGTGCGTTCCTGAGAGAACACGCCAGTGCAGCTCCTGGATCTGTGGATGCAACTACCCCTCTAGGTCGCGCTATGTCTCGCTCCCGATCCCTTTCGCGCCAAACGTCCATGCTCAGTCGCCAGTACAAACCGCGTCCGGACGATGGGGTTGAAAATGAGGACCAAACCGTGATCAACAGGAGTAAATCCCGGAGCAGTGTTTACGCGGCACCCCAACTCACAATGGACGATATCCAGAAGCTTGAAATATTGGCGGAGGAAGCGGCTAGAAGTGAGGACCCTTCTCGGCTGAGGAGCGTTCTCAGAAGAAGCCTGAGCATGAGTCAGCCCAACGGTCAGTTGCGTAGAAAGCTGCCTCTTGGTAAACAAGTTCTCACGCCAGTAATGCCACAGTGATTGACCAGATGGATGACATCGGCACGGAAAATATCGATGAACCCATTATCGTACCTCCACCAGGGCAGATTCTTCGTCGTACCGCTCGGACCAAAATTCGTAAAACGAATTTGCCGGGGGATGGTGGAGGTCATCGGTTTGCCTCGACTCGGAGAGGAAGAGCTAAGGCTGCCGCACCTGACCCCTTTCTTGCGTTAGAAGACGCTACCAGCGAGTCCGAACACAGAGACTCGGATCCCAGCCTATCACCCTCCCCACCAGCACCTCCTTCCTCGCATGCCTCCTTCGCTGTTGTCGCAGAAACGGATGATGGAGAGGGGATGCCATGGGATCGTCCTTTGTCTTATAGTGAAGAGAGCGCTATATACGACTCGTATGCCGATCGACGCGAGTCAAATATCTCCCGAAAGTCTGAAGATGACGACACCTCATTACCATTTGGGAGGTTCGATAGAAACGAGGCGCCTCCGATCGTCATTGAGCCTCAGGCTCCATCATCGTCTGAGTTTTTGCTTTACTCTGATCCTCATGTTCCCGACCACGCTCTCATACCTCAACAAACCCCTCATCAGCCTCCTCTCCACCATCCCATTCCCCATCAATACCAAAACCCCCTCCAGGTGCCACCCAATGCTCCTCCCGCGCGCTCGCCGTCCCCGGGAAGCGTTTCTGAAACACATTCAGAATTTTCCATCCTCAGTGCATCGCCACCAACACCCTCCGGCAAATCACGCAAAGAGAAGGAGAAGAAAGGCGGACTGTTCAAGTGGGGTGGTGACAAGCTTGATGCCAAGGCCAGAAAGGAAAAACCCAAGGCGGGGGGGAAGGCTACTTCTGATAGGGCCTCTGAAAAAGATGTAAACCGGGAAAAGGAGTCTGGTTTCTTTTCCTTCTTTGGAGGCAGGAAGAAGCAAGATGATTCCCCTTCCATTGGCTCAGGAGCGGGCCCTGCCACGGCCGCTGCATTGTTGGGGGCATCAAAATCGAAGACAAATCTTTCATCCATGGACGGACAACCTTTCGTGAATAATTATGCTCGCTATCCTATCCACGTCGAACGCGCCGTTTATCGGCTGAGCCACATCAAACTTGCTAACCCGCGGCGTCCTCTTTGCGAGCAAGTACTTATCAGTAATCTGATGTTTTGGTACTTGGGTATCATTAATAAACCCACCACCCCTCCAGCAAGTACCGCGAGTGGGCAAGCGGTCAAAGAGGAGAAAGAAAAGCAGGAGCGAGAGAGGTTGGAACGCGAAAAGGCCGAAAAAGAGCGGGAGAAAGAGGCGTCAAGACGGAAGGCTCTCAATAAGGCTAATGTAAACGGGGGATTGGGTATGCCTATGGGTGCCGGAAGGAAGGCTGAGATGCCTGTTAAGGGCCCCCAGTATGGAATTGGAATGGTTATGGAGCAAGAAGCGGATTATGGTGTTCAGCAAGCCATGAGGCGTGGCAATGCCCTGCAAATGGGTTATGATGCATTCCAGCCAGAGAATACGCACCAACCTCGAATAAATGGTCCACCTTCTGAACAAACCTACAGACAACAGCCCTACTACATTGAACATCGACCCGGACTTGGGCCATATGAACCCGAAGCATCTCGCTCTCCCCCGTCGATTATGAATTCACCGTCCCCTCCGAGGCCCTCACAACCTAGTTTGCCGCCCGGCGCCATGCCCCCCGTTTCCAGTGACCATTCTTGGCTTAGCCAATCGCCTTACCCATCTTCTTCTCCTATTCAGCCATCTGCCCAAACTCACCGTCAACCTCCCATACGTTCCGCTACGGATCAGTTCCAGTATTCACAGGGGTCTACACATGACCCGCGACCTCAGCCTCGCCAGCGTTCGCCATCCTACACCACACCGCAACCCCCGCAAAATTCTGGACCGCCCAGTAACAAAACGCCTAATCGATCGGCGTCGGCATCTGCAATTATTTCCAGTGGCTCGATGCCTCAGTCGCATTCTCCACCACCGAACACTCGCTTGCCTTCAAAGCCGAGGGAATCGGGTCCATCTCCGCCAATGTCTGTGGGAGGCATTCGCGCGGTGCCAACGGAGAGCGACGGCCGGTGGGGGGACACCAAGGAGAAGAAGACTTGCCGCTGGCACTTTATCAGCAGCAACAAACACAGCAACATCAGCAGCAGCATCAGCAAGCAGTGTATGCGCCTCCTTACTCGCGTCGTTGACGCAACACACAGGGCATTCCAGAAGGTCATTTTGAACTTTATGCTTAGATGGGATCATTTTTTCTCCTGTGGGAGTAGTTTTTATTCGGTTCATTTCGTCTTCACATTATTCAGAATTACATGGACCCCTTGGACACTTTTGTACGGCACGGATGACCTAGGCATGCTAATCCTTTCCATTTTGGGTCCTTCGGCCGGTGCCGTCGTCGTAAGCGCCTAAGTGACTTGCCACCCTGTTGACATACCTCCAAGAATGGGCTCGTACTCATTATAGACGAGCCCACACTGGAACCACCAGATGTCTGCAAAGCTTCTCTTGACTATCTCAACACTTCTCCACTCTGAGAAAACACGAGAACGAGCGGAGGGCCTTGACCAGCTTAGCAATGCCGTCTCCAAGCAATCGATACTTGACACTATAGATACTTCGGGAGACGGGAAAGATTGGTTGTTTGTGTACCAAGCTGTCTTTGCTGCCGTTTCAACTGAACGGAGGATCTGGATCAAAAAGAATGTAGACAAAAAGCTTTCAGACGTGGCCTCAAAACTTCGAGAATTGGTGCAAAAGACTGCCGATAGAATCAGGAAACAGGTGCTTAAAGCCCTCGTGAATCATTTAATTCAGACGATGGTATACAAAGGGGGTCTTCTCGAGCCCCTTGCTCTCGATTATGCAAAGTCCCTCGTTTTCCTCTTCCAATCGTCCGCGCTACATCTCGACCATCTGGAGGCTGAACGCTGGGCAAACCTTGTTCACATGTGCTTTTCAGTTCTTCTGGGACGCCAAGTGGCTGTTAACGGGAGCTTTGAAGAGGGCGAAGATATGGCAAAAGCGCCGATGCTCAAAACGAACGAGCAGATTTGCAGGGGCCATCATCCCCCCAAAAAAGGCATCGTTCGCCTGGTACCCCCAACGAATTGGAGGACAGGCCATCTAAGACTTTTGTTACACAAGTTCAAATAGAACTTGCCAACCTTCTCAAAACTCTGATGTCAAGCACGTCGTATCCCTACATGTCGACCGAATATCGTCATCTTGTACCTGCCTTGCTGAAACGATTCCAAAGCTTTTTCTTTTCATACTCCCCAGATGTTTCAATACAGCCTCAGATATTTGCTGCCCTTACGACCCTGCTCCGAAGCATTTCCTTCAACTTTATTCAACCTGTAACGGATTTTGGACATGCAGTTTGGAAGCATATCTTAGCTCTCTTCGCATCGAAGCATCGGCACATCAAAGAGGATATCATCATCACCATGCGGCTATTGCTACCCTTCCTCACCAGTACAATGACATATATTCGCCAACCAGGTGGGAACCTCGTCGCGGACAATCTCCGCGCTTTATCGCGCCGAATTCAATCAGAGGCTGAGAATCGCACGAAAAATGTGCTTGAGCCACTGTCGCTTGAGTACATTCGACTTCACCATTTGGGTAATGGGGAAGCTTGTCGTGTGTTATGTACGGGAACGATGAGGTCTGCCGACATATTTACCGGAAATCAGCCCTTACATGGGCTATGCTTGAATTACAGGCCGATTGCACTCTCAAGGTATTCATCCGTTGTAATTGTAGGCTCGTCTCCTTAAACGAGTTCTCTAGCTTCACGAACGGCGCGACTGCGGCTCGGATACTACACCGAACTCGAAATCGTCGAAACGGATGAGATACGAGCATCCCATTTTGGCTCTCATGGACGCCATCAAGAACGCACCCACTCATACTCCTCCGGTTCACAAACTCCAACACTTACTATTTTTAATCGAAAGACACTGGATGAAACTGGAATTGGATGTACGAAAGTCCATCTTCGACACTGTCCGTGACCATATCTGCCTCGACGATGTTCCCAGCCAACCTTGGGCGTTTTTATGTGTGGCAGCCATCGCATATGCGTCACGTTCGCAACATTCCAACGAACTTGGGGATTGGAGAGCAATTTGGACGAACACGATCAAGCGATTAGGTGGACACTCTCGGGCAGCGTGTCATGCGGCTTACTCTATCTTGTCGTGTTCGCACATAGGTCAACCAACAGTCGACTGTGAAAACATCATCAAGGGACTTGCACTTCACGGACCTGCTTATCCCTTTGATTCGGCATGCAGTCTATTGCGTGAATGTATCCGAGTTGTAAAGAACAACTTGCAAACATATAAGCTCAACCTAGACGCAGATGCCATGGGTGGCTGACAGACAATTGGGGCATTCATTATTCCGTGGGACAACACAAGCGGGATGCACTGCACATGGACGACATATTACAACTTGCGTGCATGTTATGCGCTTTCCATCGACCTAATTCTCTTCATTACGAACCTTTATTACCGAGTTGCTCTGTGGTTTATGCTTCACAAGAGATGATCCGCGCTTTCGCCATAAGGGATTATATCTTGGATGGCGTGATTAGGGAAGAACCACCTCCAGCGCATCCTTTTCAGGGTACTGCAGAGGGGAGTTTGTCAAAGAGATATGAAACACCAACACTTCTGTCGCTCAAATTTTCCGAGTTCCTTGAACGGAGCTTACATTCAATTCATGGAGACGATGGCGAAGCTGGACTCATCGCGCATGATAAACTTCGCCGAGCCATTGACATTTCGATCTTGGCATTGGCATTTCAAGCATCCATGCGGATCAACGGTTATCGTCATGTTTCCAGAGTTCTGAAAGCTGCCTGCGACGTTTTAGATCAGGCTCACCCCCACCTCGTCAGCAAGTCCACTCGCACATGGAGTTCCGCTGAACGCACATATGTGCTTGGCGCTCTGGACCCGATGACATTGAATGCAAACCTGTGGCCTTCGGATGATTGGAATGCCCTTACAGGCTTGGCTTCGACATCAGGTGTGGGGATTGAGATTTATGACCCTGAGGCTGTTTCAAGTGCAAATGGCTTGCCGCGTTCGGATTTTCCGGAAGGCCAAACAATTTTGTGGACAGAATCGGTGGCAAGTGTTCGTGAGAATCTCAGCTTGTGCTTTGATTTACAATCATTTCAGGTTCAAGCTTGTTTTACCTCCATCATCGAATCCACGGCAGACCTATGCCTTCGCATAACTACCGGGAATGAAGCTCTCAACGCTGAGGATGATTTTGCAACACATTTTAGCCCAACCCTTACTCAGGATTTGGCGATATCCTCAAGCGCTCGAAAGTGCATCTCTTTGTTAACGTCGGCAGAATGTTGCAGTCCTCAGGCTTGCATCCAATTCGTGACGATAAACTGATCAGCATTTTGTTGGACGAAGTGGAATTTGTTCCTCTAGCAGTCTTCCTTCCGTTGTTGCTAGAGGGGATACCCAGAGGCCATTACATTCTCGAGTCCACGATGCTTGATGAGCTTTTCGACAAAATGCATGACCTCTTGAAGGACAGTTCCCTCTCACGAAACGAGACTTTGACTCTTCTCTTAATCGAAATCCTTCGAAACACGATGAGCATCTGGGTTGATCCGATACACCTTCTCACTGATATTGGTTGCAAAGCCCGCGACTTTATCTTTTGGATTGTAATGTTGTTGGAAGGGGGCAAGGCTAGGTCATGGAAAGTTCGCGATCAGACACTGCGATTGCTTGAAGAATACTTAAGGCAAGACCCATCGGAAGCATTCTGGAACACTGGGGATGACCGTCCTACACACGGTCCCTCATATTGGATCTGGTCACTGGGGACGGATTTAGACGTTCGGGTCCGCTTTAGAAGTGCTGTAGCATCATCTCGGCTTTTTGTCCGTGAAGGAAACAATTTCCTTTCAGCCAAAGCTTTGTATGAGAGCAATACAGAGAAACATGCGGCACATCGTGATGAGTATGACTTTTTTCCTTTTCACCTCATCGCTCCTTCGGCATAATTCGTTCCTTGTTGTAGATTGGAGCATATCCTGACTTGTCTACTGTGGATGGGGAATGTCATGATCGTCAGCGCCGAAATCCGTCGACTACCTTACCAAGACTTATTACTCACCTCCGTACGTGAGGTTCGCCAATACGACGAGGTCCTGCAATCCATCCTCAAATCTGTAGTGGGAAGACTTAAAATTTCCGATCTGCGGAAGCTTTCGGATACCTATATTGCCTCATCGTCACTCACATTCCTCGAGATGTCCCAGGATTTGACAAACATTCCTCCTTCTTTGCTAGGATATGGAACGCGGCAGTCGAGCACTGAGGGGATCTGCCTGCGCTGCTTGCCAGGTGGCCTCCTATACCGTGATTCTTCAGCCGCACTCAACATTGGTCGATTTCAATTATCGTCATTCTGCCGCGTCATGAGATTGGAAGAAAGCTACCTTCTACCACAACTCTTTGCGCCTCGTGTTTCCATGAGGATATGCATGGAACATGACACGTCCCCTGGTGGAAGAATAACGACGCAGCAATCGGACGACATGTGGAACACTTTCGAGACATGGGCAGCTGACCTCGTAGGAGATAACATCTCGGTATGGGATGCGAATATAGACGCAATTATTTTTGAGATTATCCGCACCGTCGGCGAAGTGGATGTGTCTCCAGGGCAAAGCTTATACGCTGCTGTTGACTCTATTGGGTTTTGCAACCTTGACGTTTTTCTCAATTTGACGCGTTTCCGTGAAACAATGGACCTTAGTGCGCATCGGCCTGAGCCTCCAGCATATACAGCCGTTGCTGTAATCAGAGCCTTGAAGTGGATTACCTCCTGGTAGCTTCTGCGAACACTGTAGGAACCATCTACCATGTCCTTCAACGGTTGTTCGATCGTATTGGCGAATCAATCTTGGTAAACGACAAGATTCGCTGCCTCAATGCAATGTGCCTGCTTGTTGCTTCCAAGTCGGACGTAGTGATCAGTAGCCAGGTTCTTCTGCGGAGACTGCTATTCGGCTCCTCCGTAATTATTTCCCAGCCGTCCTTGGCGAACAGAGCCCGCTCCATTTTCCATTGGGCATCCGAACACTACGCACTCCCCCAAGACTCTGATGGCTATCGGTTCATGGATTGCCTGGTGCGTGTTAGTCGAACTTCCTATGATTTGTCGAGATCCCCTAGCGACAGTGTTCGGTCCGTGGGGTCTGCAACATTCCAATGGATAGAGCAACTAGTGATTCACCTTTTTTCATCATCCCAATCACCATCTGTGAAAAGACAAATCATCACAGCACTCACTCTATGGCCGACAACACTAGGGAGGAGTTTAGAAGCCCTGATGCCGGCCCACCGGAGCGAAACATTGAGAAAGGTTTTGGCAAAAGATGGGTTGGCCGTAAGCAAGTTCCAGGCCACTCGACGACTCGCCAGTGCAATCAACCAGGATATGATTTAACAAGGTTCTTAACCCACGATTTTTGGTTCCTCAAATCTTGCATTCCGGAGGATGTCAATATTGGTGAAGATGGCTCAAAGGCTTTCCTTGACCTCATATTCAGCGGAGGAGGGCGCATCACACGGAATCCATCGCTTCATCTTATGTCCCATTCTATTGGCTATCGACACCAAAAGGAATACAAACGCGCCAGCGGAACCGAAGGCACTAGGGATGATTCCTATGTCAGCCCCCACCTAGCCATTCTTTTGTCACTAGTTGATTGCTTGTTTGGTGATCATACGCGCCAAATACAATTGGCATATATCACGCTTCGTCGACTTCTGCCTCAGATCAAAGTTGGCGATTGGGTCAGCGCCAAAGAGTTGGAGGAAGCCTCCATTATCCAGTATCCTCGTCTCAAACATGTGGCGAAGGTGGACGTACCCGACTTCACCGTTTTGGAAACGAGCTTAATTGCCGAAGCGTCTGTATTTCAACGTTGGATTGCCTCCGTCACTCAATTCTTCTGCAATGTGCTAGCTTCAGCTGATGAGTTTTATTGCCATTTTACTCTCATCCTCTCAGAGAACACGGACTTTGCAGCACAATTATTCCCTATTCTTATTCACGAGGTCCTCCGAGAAACGGCAAAGGAAGGGAAATCAGCTTCATCCATGAGAGAAAAAATTTCTACTTTCTTTAATAACATCCTGAATGAATCATTCACCGATACACAAACTATTCGATCCATCATTGATTCGTGGTTGCACCTACGCAACTTCGCCCCTGGAAAGCTAAGCCCTCCAGCTGCCCCTTGGCGTACGAACAATGGCTGGATCTTGATCTACTTCTACTCTCTAAGGGGGCTGCGGCCTGTGGATCTTATACAACGGCTCTTCTAATATTGGAGCTCAGAAGCGAATCAAGCCCCGCCGATTCCCTTGTCGAACACATCATGTACGACATATATAGTCACATCGAGGAACCGGACGGTTTCTACGGTATCCCAAGCCACAATGCCGAGGATTTTTTAATTCGGAGGATAGAACACGAGAAGCAGTGGACGAGGGCCCTTAGTTTCCATGGCGCTAGTTTCGAGGCTCGACCTGTATTTGCCTTGGAACCGCCAGATGCATCCGCAGTTGTAAGAGCTCTCCACTGTTTTGGACTAGATCGTGTTGCGGACGTGATGCGTGCGGCGGCTCCTTCCGAAATAGGCAGCGTTGATTTGGATCTAGGGTGGCGAACCGACAATTGGGACCTGCCCGTTCGCATTCACGATGGCGTCGACAATGCCTCATTATACCTTTCCCTGAAATCTATACACCGTGAACGAGATCCTCAGGTTTCTCGTTCCCTTGTCCGGAGGATGATCCATCATGAGCTTCATCACCTTCGGGACCTCAAAGATGAGGATTATACCGAAATAGAGTCCAGTGTTCGTCGCTTGCTTTGCATTCGAGAAGTGAATAACTGGCTTCAAGGGATGTCCGAGACCTTTGCATCTTCTGACCATAAGATCGCGTTCCATCAGGTGCCTTCAACAATGCGGTGGGTTATCTTATTCGCGATCTGAGACTGTAACTGAGACCTCTTGACATAGCTTTGCCGATGTAGAGGCAATAATTTCTACTCGTCTATCACTACTGCGAGCTGGGCAACGACGTGAACGTGATAGCAAGGAGCAGATTGGCAATATCCCCAACCCTCTGTCTCAATCGTTGATCAACGCTGAAGTCGCATGCCTCCTAGAACTATCAGCGGCCGCAAGGGATGCATCTTTGGTTCAGCTTGCCCTCAACTCTATTACACAAGCTCGTTCCCTGGACGCAAATTCTTTCATCTTTGAAGTGGCGGTGGAGTTTGCTAAAGTGTTGTGGAGCGCTCAGGAACGAAAGATTGCTGTCGATTACTTGATGACTATCGGCGACAAGTATCCTGATGCGAACCTCGAATCTAGAGCCCTGTTGCTAGCACAGATTGTGAGTCGTAATATTAATCAGCTATTCCCCATTAATATGTTTCTATGGTCCCAAGGGTGAATGGATTTCCCATGCTAGCCTCAAGCCTCCAATGCACATCCGAGACACGTATTTCGAACCGGCCCACAAGTTAATGGATGCCATGGGCTCTGACCATAGCCGTCTTGCATCTATTCCTCACCGCTTTGCATCATTTGCTGAGCATCAGTATCTAGCCATCAATCGCTCTGATTTATCCTCTCAATTAAAGTCGTACATGATTCGGAAGCAACAAGAAATTGAGTCCTTGGCATCCGTCATCTCTTCTTCGCAACCTGACCAAAGGCATCTCTCTCTGGTCAGCCAAGCCCAGAGAAGAGCCAAAGTCATGTTTGAACAGGATTCCAAGCAATTTAGTCTTCACATGGAAAAGATGAATCTCTTCCTTTACGATGCTATTGCCATGTACAGTCGCTGCCTTGTACTCTCAGACGAGTACGACCGCGACTCTGTCATCCACCTGTGTTCCCTTTGGTTCGGCAACTTCGAGGATGACGAACTGAATCGCTACATTGAACAGGCCATCGACCCAATACCATCCAGAAAGTTCATTTTCTTTGCGCATCAACTTTCGGCAAGACTCTCAGCCCCCACGGGCAGCTCCGGGACGGTTCGTCCTCCCAGAGGGCGCTCCAACGACTCATGCTCAGGATTTGCCGAGAACATCCTTTTCACGGCCTTTATCAGGTCTATGCTCTTCTGCATAACTCTCCACCGCCTTCGGGACAACCGTCCTCCAGCTTGGAGGCAATAGTGGATTCTAGGACCCTCGCTGCAGAGAAAATTTTCAACTCTCTTCGAAACCAGCCCACTGTAGGACCTAGACTCCGAGATGTGGAGCGTGTGTGCGACGCTTACGTCGAATGGGCCACATTCTACCTTGACAAAGATAATAAGAAGGACCGGGCTGGACCAATTCCGAGTCACATCAGGTTGCTAGAGCTAAAAAATGTTAATATTCCGGTGCCAACGTTGATCACGCCTGTGGATCCTAGCTGCGCTTATGATGATGAATCCTTCGTATCCATACAAGGGTACGCCCCAACGTACAATACAGCTGGGGGGTAAGTTTGTGAGCGTTTTGAAGACACGTATTCATTTATCCTGATTGTTCCAGCATCAATCTTCCAAAGATTTGCGAATGCCACGGTTCGGACGGAAGTAAACATAGGCAGTTGGCAAGCGCTAGTTCCCTTTCCTCTGATGAACATACTTACATGCTTGTGCAGTTCAAGGGACAAGGTGAAGATGATCTCCGCCAAGACGCCGTCATGGAACAAGTGTTCGACCTAGTAAATCACGTCTTGACGAGCGATATCGAAACTAAGAGGCGTTCTTTAAGAGTTCGAACGTATAAAGTAATACCACTCACGTATAGATCGGGCGTGATGGAATTCGTCCCTCAAACAATGCCTCTGAGTGGATGGTTGATCCCAGCGCATAAGATGTGAGCCACGCAGATTCCAAACACTAATAATTGTCAACGCCCCTCTCCCACTAGTTACTACCAAAGGACCTCAGTTTGTCCAGCGCTGCCGGGAAACTCAGCGCTGTGCGGAAAGCAAAGCCAAACAATCTGGCAAATACACTGTTGAAAGAATTTTTAAAGATCCGCGAGCGATTCCATCCAGTGCTTCGACATTTTTTCACAGAGTCGCATAAATCGCCTATGGCATGGTTCGAAATGCGGCTTAAATATGCACGAAGTGTTGCCACAACATCGATAGTCGGGCATATGATGGGTATCGGCGACAGGCATATCTCGAACATTTTGCTTGACCGGGTGTCTGGAGAAGTTGTGCACATCGATTTTGGGATTGTGTTTGACCAGGTTTGGCACCCCTGACTGGACCGGTACCCGTGGTCTGAATTTTGGTTAACAGGGTCGATTGTTGAATATCCCCGAAACTGTCCCCTTCCGGTTGACCGCTGACATCGTTGATGGCCTGGGTATGACGAAAACTGAAGGGGTTTTTCGTCGCTGTGCGGAAGAAACTCTTCGAGTTCTCCGAAATGGTTCTGAAGTAATCTTAACGATCCTAGAGGTGTTCAAGCATGACCCACTGCATTCTTGGTGTGTTGTGCCCAATCACGACCACTGGCAAGCGGCAGGTTGACTGGACTTTCCATTTAGGACTGCTACCCCTCTCAAGCTCAAGAGAATACAAGGTACACCAGATACCAGCGACGGAGTCCAGTCCGAGCCAGGCTTTGCCGAAGACAGTGCTGATCGGGCGCTTCACTCGGTCAGAAGCAAGTTGGACAAATCATTGAGCGTCGACTACACAGTGAACGAGCTAATTACCATGGCTATCGATCCTGCTAACTTGTGCATGATCTTTTCTGGTATGATCTTTCATGATGCAGCCTGTTTCCAGGCTCACCGCAGTTTTGTCCAGGCTGGAATCCTCATGCATAGGCAATGCCACGCTCATTTATTGCCCCGCGCGATCACTAAGTCCTTTGCATATGCTCTTCTGCCTGGGCTATCTTCTATCTTATTTTCCTTGACTTCAATTTGCTTGTATATTTTTTTTTACAATTATTAAACCTTATTTAATACTGTTCCTCGACGTCAACCCATTTTTGTGTCCCAAGACTAATCTCCCGCGACCTATCTCCCAACAAATCGTGTGCATTTCTATCTTTGGACCAACTCAGCACATATTATGAAGTTGCAAGTGGGAATAAGGCAAGCATTACATTGATGCATTAGTTGCTGAAGAGATTCATGAGCACATGATCAGACAAAAACAGCAGCATACAATAGAAGATAAAATGCCAAAAAAAAAAAAAAAAAAAAAAGCAGCAGAGTACATAGAGTAATGCGCCACAACGAACAAGCAACGCTGATCCTATTCCAGAACGCAAGTCAGTCTTGCGCTACGCTGAAATGGGACAAGCGGATTATGGCCCCATCATCATGCTCTGAGATCACAATGATGTCTCCAACAATGGTGTCCAACGACATAGGCGCCCAGAGGGATAACGGATCTGATACAGGGTGCCTGGAAGCATGCGATACATTCTTAATCACTGCAGGCAATCCCAGACATGGAGTCGCGGCAGCCATAAGTGCACAAGTGCGGACGTCGAGACACCATTCGAGTGGGGGGGCGAGGTGCAAATGATTTTAGTGGAACCATGCTTTATGGAAGTAAACGGGGTGCGAAAGTCTCAGAAAAATAAAGATCTTTCTTTCAATGCTCTCATTTCCAAAACGTCCTAAGGGGAAGACATAAGTGGAATCCCTAGGTGGAAGGCAAAAGAGCATACCCAGTCTCCGGCCTGTATCCATTGATCGTTCAGTGACTCGAGCTTGGCCAACACACCAGCGCCCTTCCAAGCCAATATCCGAGGATCTATTTCCTTCGGGGCGGGAATCACTGCAACTGAGTCTTCCAAACCCGGCATATTTGAAGCCACCAGGATTTTCAGTCTGTGAAAAATAGTTTACTCACAGAACAATCGAGTGAGAAATGGAAGGGCCCTACCGGCTTTCCAGAGCATGCAGCATCCCAGGGGTCAGGGCGGTTCCCCCGACGACAAGAACGCAAGACAACATCTTCTTCCATCGTTCAGCTCCGCCAGGGCCAGGATTAGCGGAACTGGCCCGTATACTGTGGAACGCGGCCACGTCAAGTGGTTGATGACTAGACACCATTCTGATATCTATTGGAGACGACTGCAACTTCGATCCGGGTTCCACGGATATAGTCACAAGATCTTCAGCGGCGGGCGTCGTTGATGGTGGCTTGTTCTTTGATGAGCTGATGGGAATAGCGTCCTCCTCGACCTTGGGAACTACTGGCGCCATTGAGTCTACGACAGGTGCCTCAGTGGTTTCCAGCTGGGCTGAATCCGCTGGTGGGGTGGTCCCGGCTCCGGTATTAGGTGGGCCGTTGCTGATACCATTGCCTGTGTCTTGTGAAACGCAGTTGCGTAACTACTGCTCATCGAATCAAAACAAACGAACTAACTGTCGGTTCAGGAAGGACGCCCAAATCATCTACCTGCTTAGCAATCCATAATGTGTTGTCGGATGAGTGCTTCGCCACAAAGTCCACGATATCAGGGTGGAATAACAGCTTCGAGAGCGCAATGCATGAACCTCGCGTTTGTTGACCCCAAAGATGGAGCGCTCACCATTGAAGCTACGTTTGGCTCATCATATACCTTAAGAGTGCACCTCTGAGTTGTCCGTCCAGGGGGCCTCAGGAAGATCTCGTAGGGAATGATATCCACATCCACCTGAATGGGGTTTTTGCTGGGAAGATACAGTGCAGGAGAACGAAGACATACTTCAGCGAGTGTGGCGCTCCTGGCCTTGAAATCTTCAATCATGTTCCAGTAATACAACTTCCGCCAAAGATTCTCGCCTTCGAGATGGAATGGTAAATTGATCCGCCGAAGCAAGAAAAAGAAGAATTCCGAGATGTCATCTCCCCCAAAGTCCAGGTTTAGTCTCGTTTCAGGGAGGACAAGTCCTTCATCCACACAGGCAACACTGGTTTTCGTGGCGCCAATATCAACGACGCATGCATATCCCAGACCAGCACCAAAGGAGGAACAAACAGATTCCTGGGAGAAAAGGTGAGCTCGTACTACAGCATAGGGAACCGGGGACGGAACGCTCTGTACTTGTTGAACACACAATCGACGGAATCCCATCTGAATCAGCAGCAAGTTGGCCAAATCCCGGACGTATACTCTCTCCCAACAGTCAGGGACAATAAGCATCACTGAATAATCCTTATGTCGGAAGACACGTTAAATGTGACAGATGGCCGAGCTGGGCGAGGCGACTTACCCGATATGAATCTGGCGCAATAAGGAGATTATCATGAAGCACACTCGTCCATATGATCTGAATGTCGCTTAAAATCTCAATTCTAGAGCGGTATAAGAGAGTATTGAACTTGCTGCCTCGGATTGGCCATCGAATAGAAAAACTCGATAAGTCAGACTCAGGGATGCAGAAGACCTATAGAACGTCAGTGAAGCAAAGGACTCGTGTGAATCGGCCGTGAGGTGGCTTGCCTTGTCCCCAACAACGAATTCTTCTCCAGCTTCAAGGCTTAGTGTCGTGTTAGCTTCAGGATCATTCGGCAGTGCCGAGGGTTTTGCGTTCTTGTTGTATTTTGCCGCCTGCTGAGAGCCGTCACGGATGGCTTTGAATCCAAACTTATGCATTCTTGAACGAAGGTGCCATCTGATATTGCCGACTTTGAGGTCTGTCTAATTAATAATATCAATCTGAGCGCGTCCAAGTGCACCAATTGAAGACATGCCTCATCTTCTGTATCAACCTCGACTTTAAACTCTTTGGGCAATGGCTCTGCTCCTTCTGGAGGAACGACACTCCTCTTGGAGGTTGAAACGGAAGGGTTGAATCGATGCACACAGCATGGCGATGGCTCAGGGAGTCGGTCTCCCAATTGTTTGACTTTGCGCCCAATAACATGAGGAACACTTATGGGATTGGGGTCTGATGCGCGGCCCACACGAAGGTAGCGAGAACCAGGATGGATAATCAGAACATCCAATCCTCGTTTCTGGACTTTGTAAAAACACGGCATACCATGAGACCATAAGGCTCACCTCTGGCTCCGCAGACGGTAGTGTGGGCTGGGGAGCCTCCGGTTCACTTGGGGTACGCTTGCGTTTTCCTCCCGCGCCTCCATGTAAGGCATTTCTAGCCCACACATTCTGATTCTCGTTCTTCAGATATCCCGAGGACGCATTTTTGCTGTTGATTCTAATCCAAATCCAAATGCTCTTTCTGATCATCAAACACGTAGACTTTGGAGACTTACAGTGGAGGAATAAAGAACGACGTGAACTTCATCGCGACCTCTTCGGGTCGGTCTTTAGGCACACCCTAAAAGAAATGTTCAGAAGAGCACAAATACGGCGCGACCTAGGATTATGCAGAACACTCACTCTTGGCATGTCTGAAGAAATAGAACACCGATAAGCGCCGAACTGTTGCCAAAAGTCAGGTGATTCAAGCCAGCGCCAAGTGCTGTTCGACACTAGTACTAGCTGATGAGAACTGTTCCAGCGCATGTTGCAATATGACTGTAAGGAATTCTTTCTACATATGTCTTTAGACTACATCGTAGCTATCTAGGACCTCAGCTATTGCTATCTCCATATGAGCGACCAGAAGGTCGCGAGCTTCGACTTCCACGACAAGATACGATTTAAAGTCGAGGAGGATGTTGATGGTAGGTGGATTAGAGTTGCCATGCCCTATATTACTGATGGTACGAGGCACAAATAGACTTCGAAATATCTGAAGAATATATACCACCCGACCCCGATGACACTGACTGTGAGCTCGCGTCTCGTTATTGCATCTATCGTGACAATCAAGTGCCCCACTCTAAGGCTTGCCCTCACAAATGCATACATCGTATCCTTATGGAAATCCAACCCACAGAAACCACCCGGCTGCCTTAGGAACCTACCCTTTTGGTTTTGGCTATGCCCACCTATATTCCCAAATTAACTACGATGCATCCTCCCTCACACGCCGGCCGGGTTCACCATCGCGACCAAATGCATCATCATCAATTGTATACGACTCTTCACTAGGACCATTGAAATGGGATGATTTGGCATTGGACCAGCTACTCCCGGCAGATCCCAAAAAGCTGGAGGCGGAATGGGCGGCAAAGGCACGTCGCAGTGCTACTGGAGCAGCACAAAACGCCGGCGTCTCCGGCGCCGCAGCACCACCGCCACCCGGTGCAGATACTACAGATGAACTGGAATATGCAGAGCAGCGAAGCGAATTGATGGAGGAGGAAGACGAGGAGCAGGGAACGAGTGAGGAAGATGCAACAGGGTCAGAAGAGGAGGAGTATTGAAAGAACTGTCTCGGGGGGATTCGACTGAGCGTTAAACACCAAAGAAGTTCGTCGAAACGTACTCAACATGCGCAATCATCTTAGATGTCAGAATCATTGGAACTTCCTCAAAGCTTGTACCTCATCCAGCAGGGCCTGCAGTTTATCGTCCTCTATTTTCAACAGACTGGATGACGGGATAGGCGTCAGGTTGTTTGGGGCCAAAGCATGTCAGTATTGTCTACCTTGGAATGCAATTCCTAGCTTCTTCGATATCAGCAGGACACAAGTTGGCTATTTGAGCCACTTCAAACTGAGTCAAGTCCGGCTGCTGCTTAAATATCCTATGCCAGGAAAGCTAAGTATGTAGGCACCAACATTCTCTCGTGGAGGCTCTCACTCTCGAAGGGCAAGTATGGTGTCACGACTGCCAAACTTGGAAAAGTCGTTCACATAGCGAACGGTCTTTGCATAGACCCTAAACAGATGTGAATTTGGCTATAGTTATTTACGGAGGGAATTTTCAGAAGTTTATAACACACTGGTTGTCTGGCGGCTGAGTGGCCCGCAATTCGAGCAAGCTTTTTACTTCTGAGATCAATAAGCAACCTGCGTTGTTGAACTCTGGGAGGGAGTAAACATCAGATCGGGGAATGAGACTGACAAGAATAAAATAAAAGGACCTGATCCTAGCTTCAGGACGTCTGCATCTTCCTCCTCATCCTTCTGCACACGACGATGTAGCGACGACATGACACCGGATCACGTCACATCCCTGTGACAGCTTCATTTCTGAACCGCCAAGCTATGACTTCAAAGAAAAGGTAGAGAATAACAATCTTAGACTCATTTCTTTCACTGATACGGGAGAGTGTAGTAAACTAGATCTTTTGGTCCGGGTTCGCTACTCGAACCCGCTGCCACCTCCACCATTCCCTCCAAAACTCATCAATGTACCAACGCACCCTTCACGATACGCCCGCTTTGACTATACTTCAAAACTCGCCGATGAAACTCCCTTCCCGATGATTGTAGATGCAGAACTCGGGATGCCCATTGATCTCAGTAAGTTTGACGAACTCTGGGATTTTGACGACATCACTCCATTAGGTTTGTTTCCATACTGGACAGCTAGTTTCGCTAGATACTAAACCACTATATTTTTCTATTAAGAGGAACCAAAATCTCTTCCAGATCTTGACCCAAAAGATGCATTCCTCGTGTCTGATTTGCCAATGTCGTTTACGAACGGAAACATTGCTTCTGTCCCAGGCGCCGCTTCTACAACCAACGTTTCGTGGCTCCGGAGGACAGAATACATCAGTTCAATCCCTTCAACACGCGCGTCCAGCGCATACGAGCCGTGTGTTTAATTCCCACCGTGCCACAATCTGAGGCTTCCGAATTTACACCTTGCTTAACGCAGAAAGCCCCACGAGGAACCCCTACCAGATGTTTCGCATGCAACTCAGATTGCTGACATTGAAGCCTCATTCCGAAATGCTTCAATAAGTTCAGACCTCTCGACATTGCGACATCCGAGCAAGCCTCACCTGCGAGCCGTCGATACTTTTGAAGTTCTGCCTGACACGCGATTATGGGCTAACGCATATGACCTCGTCCGTTTTTCAGAACGGCCCGGAGAGAGGCCAATTGATGTAGGTGGCCAGCATCCTTGCCACAGGGTCGCCCTATTTTGATGTCTTTCTTAGCAACCTGACCCTCGTCTGGATTCTGCCATCATCCGTCCCACTATCGGAGAAGATGGCGAATCGTTCCTATCATATTATCTAACAAAAGATGACACCGAAGCAGCACAATTCATGTCAGCCAGGCGACAATCAGAAGGCGGTGCAGAAGAACTGTTTGGTGATGAGGAGGACGCTGAGAAAGTCAACGAACCCATCGCGACATTCCAGTTCGTGCGGGATTACGAGACGATCAAAATTGAGACGGACGTGCCGAATGAGTTCTTATTGACGACAGAGAGTGGGGCAACAGGCCGTGGCGCCTTCTACAAGAATATCGAGCGGAAATACGTTTTGAAGAAGAAGCGTCAGAATGTGAGCCTTTTTGCGTCAGAGTCTCTACTTATTTTCCCTAACATCGCCTCCTCCCTTCGTTACCACGCCGAATTCGTTTATCATCATGCGACATCCAGCGGAACGAAGAATACTCAGACAAATGGGACATCGTTCGACTCAGACATGTTCCGTTTACGGCTGAACAACTTCAAGAGCGGGCAGAAGCACAAGCGGAAGTCGACGACCCCTCCTATCTCGCAAATTTGGCGGCTGCTGACGTGGACGGAGATGCTGAAGCTGATGAAGACGTTAAACCTACTGCAAGCATGGATCTAGATGGGGAATTAGCTGGAACCGACGCGGGGGCCGATACGCAGGGCATAAAGGATGAGAGGAAGCCGGAAATTGAACAGTCTGCTGATGCTGAAATGAAGAATGTTGACGTTCAGGAGCAAATGAGAGATGAAGTATTTGGGGGAGAAAGTGACAGTGAGGAGGAAGACCAGGATTATCAACGATAAGGGCAAAATGGTGATGAGTCGAGAGTTACGGTATGCAAGTATTATCATATCTTATTCTTTCATCCCTGTATTGTCTTGAATACATGCATCTACGAATCGAACGCTGGGCATGGCCGTAGAACGTTTAACGGGATGAATTGATGGCTCCACATCATGTTCTGTAGTCGCCGTTGATAGTGACATATTCCTGTAAACTGGAGTCAGAGCCGGTCATATTGGCTGGGTTGCCCACTCACATGGCTAAGATCACAGGTATAGTAGGTCGCAGACTCGTTACCACCGTGCAAGTCAATCTCAATTGCGATTTTATCTGCGCTGACAACCTCTTTGGCTCTGGCTTCGTCCACAATCTCCGGCTCGCCATTCACAAGTACGTCCAGTGGAGCAGAGTTATCGGATGGGATGAACGACACAGAAACTTTTGTTGGGTCTATAAACATGGGCTTAAGCAAAGTGGTGGGAGATGTGGACGAGTTCGTTGACAAGGGCGCGTAACCAACGGCGCAAAGGATCCTCCCCCAGCTATGATAGAACAGAAAATTGAGTGGCTAAACTGGCGCTAAGATTGACATGTACTTGCTTCGCATCTTCTCCATAAAGTGCGCACTTGACCAACGATGACGTCGACACTGTAGCCGCCACGCGATGTGCATCCTCATACGATGGTGCATTCTTAAAGTTACGAGTCATTCTCTGGCAACGATTGCAGAGATGAAAAAGCGCATACCTTTACCGTCACAGTAACGAGTTTAGTGGCACCTTCGCCATCGTAAACTACTAGCTTTGCCAAATCAATGGCAAAACTAGTTAACTCGTCTCTAAAGGACCTGAAGGCCGCTGGATGCAAATCCTCGTCGATCTCGTTCAATGTCGGATCCGCAGCACCGTTAGCGAGTGCAAGGACCGTATCATTCGTGCTCATATCACCATCAACGCTTATCGAATTAAAGCTTCTACTGACAGCGTATGTAAGAGCTGATTGTAAGCTCTTTGGATTGACAGCAGCGTCCGTTACGATGAGACCAAGTAGGGTCGCGTGAGGAGGGCCCATGTTGGGATGAATCATCCCGGCACCCTTATCTATTCCGGCTATGCGCACAGAAACAGACTCTTTTGGATCCCTTATACTTGGGATATTAAAAGAACGCACACGAAGTTTTGGGAATGTGTCCGTAGTCATGAACGCCTTCGCAGCCAGTTCCCAATCGGCAAATCTGGACGTAGATGGCTTTTCGAGTGCCGCAGATGCAGTTTTTATGCCTCCCAAAACGTGCGAGATGGGCAGCGATTGACCAATAACTCCGGTAGACATCACAAGTGTAGAATTTCCCTGTGGGATCGAGCCCGATGGCTTCGGGGCAGCCAAATCCGTGGCCTGCACCATCGCCCAAGCATCTTCAAGGCCCTTCATCCCTGTCACAGCATTCGCGCACCCACTGTTGACAACCACTTTGTTCGCTCGTCCGGCCGACTGCTTCAAAACTTCCATCGAAACTTTCACAGGTGCGGCCTTGAAGACGTTACGTGTAAAGCAGCCTGCAGCTGATGTCCGTGGAGAGGTAGATACAATGAGAGCCAGATCTTTTGGACCACCTTCGAGTGTTGTGGAGACTTTGTTTTTCTTCACGCCAGCGTAAAGGCCAGTGGCTAGGTATCCCCTCGGGAATGTGTCATCGGGAATTAGCTGGTGGTGGTGGGCTTTTGAACGAGCCGCTCGAGTCCAAGCGGAAGCATGGAACCTCTTGAGGTGCAAGAATGACATGATCAGATTTCAACTAGCGGACAACCGCTCGTCAGATTCATTCAATTATAGACTCCACCAAAAATCTGACCTACTTACTCTTCCAAACCCGCGATATAAAGTGCAATACGATGGATATTCTAGCCCGCAGTGCCACCAGATCTAAAGTGTGAGGGATCGCGAAATTTGTGCAGTATAGCCGCCGTTTAAGGGTCCTTCCGGAAGAGGCTCTGTTATAGACGACCTCCCCCTCTAGCGAAGCGCCACAGTGCCGGACGATGTGGGTGTGTCCGTAAATGTCGAACGTACTTATTCTCGATTGACGAGCTGGGAATTACACCCTGTCATAGAATTAGGAGTTATGTCATAGCCACCAAAGGACTGCTTCCGCCCACCAGCGTGTCTGCAGCATGAGCACATCCTTGTTAGAGATACTGAAATCAAGTAGTTCACTTTTTCACACTTAATAGAGCTGACACTGATTACGCTGGCGATCTGCTGCTAGAATTCCTCGAGCACATACGATCAGTCGATCCACCAGGCAAATGGAAGATACTCGTGGTCGACGAGCACTCCCAGAGGCTGTTATCGTCCGTTTTAAAGACTTATGACATCTTGGCGGAAAATGTTACTCGTACGTGGCAATATTGTTCCTTCATCTTCGATCGAATATGACGAGGCAATAGTTTGACCTTCTGCTTCCATATAGTCATCGAAGCAATTAACTCTCATCGGACGGTTCAGACTCAGGAGGCCATGTACTTGCTTACATCCACTACAGCAAACGTCGAAAGAATTATAGCAGATTTCTCCGATGGACGTAAGCAGTACGGGGGAGCGCACGTCTTCTTCTTGGATGGTATGTCTCAGCACTTCCCATAACTATGTTCAGCACCAATCGTAGAGGGCGATACTAGGATTGGAGGAGTCCCTTTGTCAGCGCCTGCTGGCTTCGCCGGCCGCACCGCACCTAAAACAACTTGTCGACATATTTCTTAACCTGAATCCATCTGAAGCAAGATACTTCAACTTGAACATCCCTTCCATGTTCTTCAGCTTCTACAGCCCACCTCGAGACCCAACGAAGTTGCGCACTCGTCTGAAAAAACTGGACTGTGACCTACGATTTGTCGCTAAAACTGTGCGTATGTCCTCCACCTTTTGTCTTCTTGAACTGATGGCAGCATGTCCATTGCTGAGATAGCTTCTCAATTTGTGCATTACTTTGAATGAGAATCCCCTTATACGATACTACCAAGCACCGAATCACGGGCCTCTTGGGCCCCTCCTCGAATCACAGCCACCTGGTGTACCTGTTCCACCTCCCACAACTGAGCCAATTCAGACTGGGCTGCGCTGGGCTAGAGCTGCCGTTACTCGTGACTCCAGTGCTAATGTTACTGTTCCCTCTGGAGATCAGCTTCCAAAGAAGCTGGCTTTCATATTACAGAGTGAACTAGACGATTATCGCAGTTCGAATCCAGAATGGCCTGTAAGCCCCTTCATTAATGATCATTTTAACACAGCCCTATTTTACTCTTCTGGAAGAAACCCGATGGGACAAATCGGCCTCGCGGAACTATAATCATCACAGATCGTACTATGGATACAATCGTGCCTTTCATCCACGAATTCACATACCAGGCAATGGCGAATGATCTGCTCCGCATTGAGAATGGCCGTGCTTATAGGTGAGGCTTGGTGTTCTCGTCGGTATCCGACTTCACTGAAACTGCCTTTCAGCTACAAGTTCCAGACGGCGGTGGGGAAGTACGAGAACCAGACAGCTGTCCTGTCTGATGCAGACACGGTATGGACCCAGGTCCGGCACATGCACATGGGTGAAGCTATTGAGAGGCTCCGAAGCGATTTCAACCAATTTCTGCAAGAGCATGCTGGGTTCAAAGGAGGGTAAGTGTCAGTCAGATCGTGGGATCGACCAGGTTATCTCTAGACATCTTGCCCCCTTCCAGTGAAGGTGCAACTACTTTGAATGACATGAAAGATATGCTGGCAAGCTTGCCGCAATACCAAGAAATGCGAGAGAAAGTTTGTCACCCTTTGCGATTGTAAGATTCAAAGGCCGGGATTTGACCATCCCATTCTATCCTAGTTTTCGCTGCATCTCACAATGGCACAAGAGTGCATGGATATCTTCGAGAAAAGGGATCTTAAGAAGATTGCTAATGTTGAGCAAGTACGTGATTATTATGACGTTTCCTGCATCCGGCTGTTACCTACACATTCTTCAGCAATGTGCGACCGGCGAGACGGTGGAGGGGAAAACACCAAAGAAGCTCGTGGAGGAAATGGTGCCGCTGCTTTATGATCCTCAAGTCAGGTGCAATCAAGCGTGCGTCGAAGGGAGATGTCTTAACTAATGAGTGTTCCCCATTGTCGCAGCAACCGTGACAAAGTACGAATCATTGCGCTCTACCTCATGCATCGGGATGGTGCACCAGAAGAAGACCTAAGGCGACTATTCCAACATGCAAAACTACATCTATCCGAGCAGGACGCTATTAGAAGCCTAGTTAAATTAGGAGTGCGACTCTATCGTGTGAGTAAGCGGCATTTCTGGGATCGTGTGTACAGCTCAAAATTGCTTTGTGCATCTAAAGGGACCAGGCGATAAAGACACTCGAAAAGTGAAATTCAAACCCATTAAATCCGATGATGAATACGAGCTTAGCAGATACAAACCCCTTTTACAACATATGCTGACTGAGCATGTTGCTAGCACACTTGACCAAACAGCCTTCCCATACGTGCGTGATGGTCCCACTTCCCTTGCTTCCTCTCTCGCGGTGCAAGAAACCCGAATACGCGTCCCTAGCGTCACTTCTGCTTCTTCTGGAAGCTCAGCAGGGCCGACATCTCTGAGATCTGGGAAGAGAACTTGGAATCGGCAACCTAGGACCGTTGCAGCAGCTGGTGGCTCTGCAGCGCCAGAGAAGGAAAAGGAACCTGTTCGACAGAGAATAATCGTGTTTGTGGCTGGCGGGCTGACTTATCCAGAGCTGCGAGTGGCGTATGAAGTTGGTTCGAATTTGAATAGGGACATCTATATCGGTGCGTCCCCAATACTAAGCCAACTCGTTGCACGAGGAAACCCGTGATCCATATGATCTTCCTTGCTTGGCTGCAGGCCAACAGCTGCTCATCTGACTTGGTGTCGCCGTTGCCTCGTCGCTTTACGTTGCCGCAGACCACGAATCTCCCCTTGTTTTTTTTTTTTTTGTTGCACTTATTGATCTTGCGCTGATAACATATAGGTTCAACACACTCAATCACTCCTGAAGGTTTTGTGGACGATCTGAAAGTCCTTGAGATAGAGGGAGTTGGCTCAGCTGCACTGCCGAATGGGTTACCGAACGTTTCCCCAGCCGAGTATCAAGACTTTTATGATAAGAAATACTTCACACCAGATCCGCCGCCACTAAAGCCAACGCACACTGCCGCAGGTGGGGGCCATCGGCCTGCCCTTCTGAACAATGGAAAGAACGGAGGCCTGCAGCCTCCTGCCTTCCCCAGTCCTGCGAACAGTATGAGCAGCGGGAGGAGCGGAAATGTGCACAAGGAAAGGAAAGAAAAGGAGGAGAAGGATAAGGATAAAGATAAGAAGAAGGGTTCTTTCATTTCTAACCGTAGACCAGGTGTAAGGTTGTTAGGATTCGAATTTCACAGCAGATGCCTGTTTTGACAAGGTGCGATGTTGACTCAAGGGCATTATTTACTTCCTCAAATTGGGAATCAGGCCAGGGTCAAAGACATCACACCCATTGGGATTTAATCCATGAGGCACAGGATTAAATTAGACTTGTATTGCGCCTGCCGCCCCAAATTGATTCTGGAAGACCGAAATGAAACCAAGGCCCAGAGCAAGGGAGCAGCGGGCACTTGGCGCGACAGACGGCATCCACCAGTTATCATTCCTTTTGGCTTATAGGCGGGTTCATCGGCAAGGACTTGTTGATTTATACTGATACTGTCTGTCTGGCATTGCTTCCTCATTGCATAATGGCACGTACGGACCACGATTTTGTTTTCGTTTACGTCCCCGCCATTCCCTGCCGAAATCTGGATATTGCGTCAGTCCTCTGCATCTCATATGACCTTTAGTTCCAAATTTCTCCTTCCTGTCCCACAGACTAAAAGATGAGCTAGTTTGGTCCCATAAAGTGATAAACACTTCCGGATAGGTGATGTGGGTTTGTCTGCCCGAATCTCGAATCTCAGGTTGTTGACCGGTACCGTATGCCGATCAATTCTTGCGGGACAGCCACTCGTCAGCTTGGATCCGTCTCGATCTGTGGCTGTTATCCACTAATGTGGCGTTCACGGCTCTAAATATCAAAAGGGAACACTGTGTGATGCTCCCTGCTCATTCTTGATCTGTTGGCTCCGCAGGGAGAGGCATGCGCCAACGGCGCTGACGGAGACTCAAAATGCTGTGTCATGATAGTTGACCGCCGAACCTCACTCGTCTTCCCACAAGATTGACGCCACAGCCATCGAGTGTGATTCGACACCAACACCGCTCACAGACCCTTGAGCGGTTTTTTTTTCAATGAGTTGTTAACTTGCGTATGATGCCAACGTTGGGTTCCGGCACGGTCTGTATGGTTTTCGATGTTCGATCCATCAAAGGGATTCAGGGACAGCGGATCCATCTAACAACACTCACTTGCTATGCAAAAGGTGGTCTGGAGTCCATTCTCATCAACGGTCAATCTCACAGCTTTTGATGTGACAGAATGGAGCTGCCATGTACAGCCTCGCCTTCATAATAGATACATAAATGTCTCCCTCACATGAAAATTAAGTACTCATCGCCGTTGTGACCTTCCCACGCATTCGACAGGAACACGTGATTTCAGCACTTGCTTGTCTCTGCAACTCCCCTTGACCCACAAACCTTGACGTTGTTCGCTGGTTCGACAACAGGCCAGAGAGCGCGTCCTTGCGCAGGTCAGCTAACTCTCGTATCTTCTCTCTTCGTAGGTCCTTCCCCAATTTCAACATTACCTATTTTCCTGGTCTGTGATGATTGCGTACAATTTGCACGTCAGGCTGAGCGGCCCATTTAGGCCCTTCATTGATGCCAATTTGCACCCCTGAGTACATAGAGCGTTTCACATTCGTTTTGGCTCCTATTGTCATGGTGTTTGGATCTGTTAATTCCTTTCCTTCTCAATTCTTAGATCTCAGGTCATCATGCAAACCGCACAGATGATGCCACAGATTGCAACTCAAGCATCCTCTCCAATTTCCCCCCAAGCTGCTGACTCCTCATCTCGTCCTAAACAAGGACTCGCTCCCACCAATACCGTGATCACACTAGATGGTTCCATTGTGCGTACTTTGTCGCACAGCGTATTGAAAGTTAACGTCGGGGTAATCCACATCAGGTCAGAACTAGAATCGACTCCTCTCTGGTATGTTCCGCCTTCAGGATACGTGGACAATTTGTTCGGTGAATTTCATCTTCGATGTTGTCAGCCCGTTTCGGACGTCATCAGACAGTTGTGCCTGAGCCTCAAGATCTCTACCCCTCCAATCATGTATGCACTGCGAGACGAGCAAGACCACCTGGTTACAGACGACAACCTAAGGCGGCATATTAGGCATCGGACTCCTTTCAAGTAAGTGATTACCTGCTGTCACCCATCATACGCTCAACTATTGCCATAATCTTGTTAGGCTCGTCAATTCTCCCTATGCTGAGGCCATGGACATAGCCACGAAACTAACTTCAACAGCTAAAGATGACCAATCTATCCGTACTATCATGTTCAACCTTCAGAAGGCCATCAAGGTTTCCCTTACGCCAACTGTACGGTGGTACATGCTTACTTACATCATCGTCGTAGGAGGAGGCTTTCTTCAGAGAGTTCCTACGAAGAGATGGTCTCCGTGAGCTCGTAAGCGTAATTCACGCCAGCCACGGCAACACACTAGCAGTGAGTTGAATTCCATTGGGCCAGAACGTCTCTGAAGGCGACTTTCCACCGCTTCTCCTAGTATGCTCTTTCTGCAATGCGGAATCTCATGCATTTCGAGTTTGGCTGGGCCACCCTCGATTCTTCGTTCATTTTGCATGTAGGTGCTAACGTTATCCGCGGATTTCCTTATTGACAACAATCTTACCTTGAGATCGGTTCCCTTCTGGCGAACTCTGGCACCCCAATAAATGTATATCGTCCTGCAGCATCGATCATACAGAGGCTGATTGAAGCCGACCCCCGTTCTGCCCCTGCTCTTGCGTCTGTGCCTTCCTCTTCTTCGCGCGTTCTTCCCGCAAACAGTGTTTGGAGGTATGGATTTGATCTTATTTGGCCTGAGCTGCGGAAGGCCGGTGGTGTTCTTGAGATGCTCGTCGCTCGCTTATCAAGTGCTGAGAACGGAATGGCAATTTCGAGGTATGTTACGCCCATTGCTCTCATTTCTCCTCTCAACCTCATATCATTTAGTCTCATGTTGATTAACGCGCTTCTTGCTTATGCGACCGACATCTACATCGAGAACTTATTTGCAGAGCTTGAGCGATTGAATACTCGCAAGGCTGTCATTGTAAGTCATTTTGGATTTGAACCATAAACTCTTCGGATCTGATTGAGGTTTTAGCATCTCATGTCTTCGTCCTCCGTCGAGGACATGACATCCTCTATCTTACAATTCCAGACGAACGTCATGCGGCTGACATATAGACGGAGGATCACCCCTGTCGATATGAATATTCCCTCAGTGCAAGCTTCCCTCCATCATATCTGGGAACTTTCACGAGCGGAGGAATGGATTCCTCCCAAAGGTTTCAACGCGGGTTCTGCGGTTTCTCAGAATGGGGCCAAGTGGGTAAAACTCGGATTTAGGTCTGAGAATTTACGAGGCGAGTTTGTGAACGTTGGACTGCTGGGTCTAGATTCCTTGGTGCGCATGATTCAAAGAGACGCTCGAGGCTGCTAACGTACATGGCATAGCACTGGTTCGTATCTCGTGACCCAGAACACTTTGCCAAGTTGGTTCTGGAGCAACTGAACCGTCCACTCGAGCGGCGCTGTCCTATCACCATTGCCTCCAATGAAGTCGCTGCGTTGCTGTGTGAACACTGGAACTTGACGCACCCAGCTTGTGAGTCCTCGTGGCAGACCAACTTCCATCAGAAGATCCCAACCCCGATTTCAGATGTGGTATCTAAAGAGTATCAACCATTATTCCTCTCCTTTCCTCGGGTTCATTATTTCGCAACGCGTTTTTTTATTCGGTAAGTCTAAGACCATTCTGCCTGCCCTCAACATGCGTCTCACGAAACGGGCTCGTAGGATGTGGAGTGAGAGCAGCGCCTCACACGAGGATTTGCCGCGGGTGTCATCCCTTGTGCGAAGCCAGTCAGTTCTCAGCACTAGGACTCCCTCTCAAACCGAGGTTCTGACCATTCCTCCAGGATTAAAGTCGCCCTTGCGGATGAAAGATCCAAACCCTGGCATGAGGTCGAGAGCTTATTTATGGATTCACTATATCGCGAAGTTCGAGATCGTCTTATGCTGGAGCTTGAGATGCAAGATGAAATGTTGAACAAGCCTTCGGTGAAGTCCGTCAAACAGTGTGACCTCGTTCTACTGGGGTTAAAAAATAACTTCAATTTCAGAGCCCTTCGTGTCAAATTACAACAGGAATCATATGAGTTCATGCGACAACAGCGTATGATGTGCATGATGCAAGGCGCTTGGTTTGCCAATGGCGTCCCTGTACCCTCATCTGACCATCAACGTGAAGCGCAGCCCAAGCGGCTTGCTCGAGCTTGGAGATTTTACCGACTCGTGCGTAATTGTAGTGATGGCTAGTTTTCTTCGCTATCTGACCCCGCCGCACCAAGAATCGGAATCTGAGGAGTCTTCATTACGTGGACAGTGCAGTAAAAATACCCATTCGGGCTGGGTACGAAGATCTTCCTGAACAGAGTGAGCATTGTTTCGTTAATCTTCTTTCTTCTATCTGCATACAAACTGTGCTTTTAGTCAAAATTTCTGAAATCATGGATGTACGAACCCGGACTTGCGCGCTGCCCCCTAATATTGCGTTGCCAGAAGCACATACTTCACCATACGGACAATCGCCAACTATTTCCCCATTGTCTTTCTCCATTATGAGCTCTGCTGGAACCTTTGGGGAGCACGTTTCGGAAAATGAGTGCCGATTTTACGATTGGACGGACGGCTTGAATATGCTGAAGGGCAATCATGCTTCGACTAAACAGACAGATGAATTCGTGGAGGCTTTGACAGATATTGGGCTTAAAATTAAGTTGCTAGGTAAGTTGAATGTGCATATTCAGCCTCTGTGACACCGGTTTTACACGGTACCCGTTCCTTTTAGATTTATCGGGGGAAAAGGTCGACATTCCTAGTTCTTTATCCACTGGATTGCCTCCTTCCAACGTCGATTTTTACTTTGCGGACCCTGCTGTGTTTCCGGACTAATTTGTTTCTTCTAACTTATATTTGGTTTCTTTTGTTCCCTGGGATGGAATTAGTTCATCTATATACAGTGAAGGATAAAAAAAAAATATAAATAAAGATGTGGTATGGATACTGGAATGTATAGTTACATATCGGATTTATATGGAATTTATATATATATCACCAATGCAAGCGCTTGGCGCGATGTGTCACGTCACATCACGGGGAGCTCATCGCGTCATTGATTATTTTATTAACTGTCGGGCGACCACCAATTGACAGCCTCAAGCTGCAAGAGGACAGCTTGTCTGTATGTTGCTGTCGCATGCAAGCTCGAGATTCTTCCGAAGACTATCCTCGCTTTCATCTCGTGAAAGCAGACTGTTCCATACAACTTTCACTTCGACTTCACGAAAACCCCTTGTTCTCCGAGGAGGTAGAAAAGCTGCCCTATCCTCAGCCTATGTCATAGCTGGTGTTGCCCTTGGCGGCTGGTGGGACGACAAATACAACGATAGAACAATTACTCGAAATTTTAGGACCGCGTATCACGGTATCTTGGTAGCAATTGATTATAAGTAAGAGGATGAAGTATGTATGGTGATGGTGCTGACGGTTCGCTTTAAGATTTAATTTTAATCCGGACTCCATAGATGCCATAGATGCTCTTCATGAAAGAGCTGCAGAACGGCTGTTACGAGTTTGCGAGAAAAATCGGTGGGTACATCATCGGCGCCGCAGACAATTTTCGTAGTCTTTGGGTGAACTTTTTAAAAAAATGCTCCTTCTTAGGGGGTTGTATGTTAAGTTGGCGCAAGCGCTTGGAACCCAGGCAGCTATTCTACCAAAACCGTACCTTAAACTGGCCAAGCTGTTGGATAACGCCGAACATTTCGATTACAAGGCGGTAGAAGAGGTTGATGTATTTCACAAGTGCACAACTTGCAATTGAAATTTATGGTATTTCCTTTTCTCCAGATCGTTGAAAGAGAACTTGGCGCACCGATCAGCAAACTATTCATAAGATTCGATAAAACACCTATTGCAGCGGCGGTGAAGTTTTGATATGTTTGCGGATTCTGTTGTTGCTGATGCTTTTCACATAAAGAGTATCGCCCAAGTCCATCGTGCCCGGATACGACTACCATCAGGGAAGAGGAGGTTGGCCCCCCATGCACATGCACTCTACGAGCTCCTAACAAGGCTGACGCTCAGATAGGAAGTCGCCGTGAAGGTGCAAAGGCCTGACATCCGCCGACACGCAAAATGGGATTTGCTTGCATTTCGAACGTTAATGAGGATGTATGGTGAGCTATAGAACTATTCTTGCCATGCCCTACGACCCCTTCCTTATTGAATGTGGTAGACTACTTCTTTGACCTTCCCTTGTCATTTGCGGCCCAGTACATATCAGATCAAATTATGGTAAGAATGGATCTCATAAATATTACGATAAATGGTTATGTACTCATTCTTGTTTTTAGCAAGAGACTCTTTTCGACAACGAGGCCGCAAACTCGGAAAAAATTCGGTCACTCGTGATGAGTTCACGAAACCCTTCGATTCGCGAGGTTGCCTATGTCCCGCGTATACATGACTCCCTCAGTACCCCTCGAGTTTTGACGATGGAATACATCTCAGACGCGTGCAAACTCACTGATCTGGATAAGATTCGAGGAATGGGTTTAGATGTTGGAGCGGTTGCTAAGACCGCGGTTGAAGTCTTTGCGACCCAGATATTTGAGATGGGATTTGTGCAGACAGATGGGCACCCAAGGTATGTATTGTAGCATTGGAATTTGTTCTCTTTTCATTCATTCTACCTGTCTAGTAACGTATTGATAAGACGACACCCCAATGGAGCCCAAGGACAACATCAAATAGTATTGATAGGTACGCAATGCAAAGATCCCAGCCATTGCTTTCTCCCAATTTATGCTAGCTTAGATCATGGGTTATATGTCACACTCACCCCCGAATTTCGCTACAAGTATTGTCGTCTATGGTACGCGATATTTATACAGGACCTCCGGCCGTGCGGGAGATTTGTTGGGGTTGGGGGATAGGGCAAGCCGAACTTTTCGCAAGCGCTACACTCCTGAGACCCTGGCGTGCAAAACAAAACTCAACCGTGACGTCAACGTCTTCATACTTGAGGAGTTCACCCAAGGAGGGGATGAACGATCGTGAATTACATGCCGAAAGTAGTTATGAACCAAGAAGAAGAAGACGAAAGAGGAAAGGGAATTGGAGTCGAGGAGGGAGCTCAAGGAGAAGCTCAAAACGTTACTTGTCAACGTGGAGTTATTGCCGAGGGAACTAATATTCATCGGCAGAGCGATGAGGATTCTGCAAGCGAATAACCAAGCCATGGGTAAATATATAAAACCTCCCACCCCCCTCTCGCTTGTTGAGCATATTAATTTTTTCATCTAGGCTCCCCCGTGAATCGAATCAACATCCTCGCTCGTCGTGCAGCAGCTGGTCTTCTCTACAGCCAACCCTCTGATGATCGTGAATTCGACGTCATGACTCGTCGTCAGACTCGTGCCATCGTGCTTTACACCATTCAAAAGTACACTTCTTTCCTTCGATTCCGTTTCACGCTTTTCCTCGTCGATGTCGCATTCCACATCTCGAATATTCTCACATGGCTTCATGTGAGAAGACAGCAAGTGATGGCCTACTTTATGCGCAGAACACCGACGACGACCTCAAAGATTCATCGGAGGGGTTCGAAGATGAACTGGAGGAGAATTTGAGAGATATCGCTCGAACACAATTTGGGATGCAAATTAGTGAGGATGCCTTCTCCACGTAACTAGCTAGCCTTTTCGGAAGCGCTTTGCTTTGATCATTTATGACTACAAATTCGGGTGTCAGATTCCGAAGGAGCCCTTATCCCTCACCAACTATGTACATTGTACCGGTCCGGGGGGGGGGGGCGAAATATTGGTATTTTAGTCCACTAGTGAAAGGCAATACGTTCCAATAGCATTAAACATAAGAGAAAGGAGTCAGGATTGTATTCAGATGGGTTGCGGTTTAGAGCACACAAGTTCCACACAAATTGCAAAAAGAAACGGGAACTTGTGGTACAAATAGTTAAAAAAAAAAACAAGTATGTAGATGGATGAAATGGACGGCTAAGAAAGTGAATAGTGAATCAACGTTCAAGGGGAAAAAAAAAAAGGGATCTAACAAGCAAAGTGATTACATTAAGCTTTGGATGGCGGAGAGCGGCGATACGTGTGCAATGGCGGGGTTATCACCTACAACACCATCGTCAAAAATCGGGTGCACGCTTAAGATCGTCAAAAAGCTGAGGAGAAATCTTGGAAGGTACATCTCGAGTCATCTCCTCCCTAGTTTGGTGGGGCACGCATTCCATCCCGATGAGATGGTTGTTATTGTTGTTGTTACCACCACCACCACCACGAACGTCAACGGGCTGGATATCCCAACCTTTTGCGCACCTCCGGACGATGCACGCTCCTCTGATGCATTCTACGTCGGAAACGCCGACGATGGACGTGCAATCGACTCCGATTGGACCGGGGGACCGGGATGCGTAAGGGACGACACAACCTCCGCCTAAGTATATTTTTTGGGTGTGAAAAAAAAAAAAAAAAATTTGGTGAGCGCCGGAAAAGAATGTATTCTGCAAGTGGAAGGGGATGAAGGGTTGTGGACTCACAACTGTCCAAACTGGAATTAGCGTCGACGCATTCAAAGGTTTGGCGTTGATTCTTCCACTCCGAGTTCAAAATGCCACACTTCGTGAGGCCCCATTCGCATTTAGTTTCAAATGATGTATCTTCATCTTCATCTTCCTCTTCACCACCCATCCTACTACCACCACCAAAGTCCTCGTTGACCTGGAAAAGGCCACGTTTCTCGTTCTTCGTATCCGTATCGCCGCCTCGCTTCCTGATATATGGGCCGGACGAGGGGGGAAGAACACACTTGCCGTTTTTCTTAATGTACGGTGCCTGTAAGTAGTGGCAGCGCCACATGCGAGCGAGAGTTGAACGGGTGGAATATGGTCAGAAAAAAAAAAGATATATCTAGCGGACAATTTTCCATGCTGACCTGGCAAGTGAAATCACAGGTTGCATGACATTGGATAGGAACGGCGTGAGGCGGGTACGAGCATTTGTATTGCTCGTAAAGCGCTTGCAACTGAGCTGATAGCAGAATAGTGCCCAGCTTGGAACGAGCATGGGAAACGTTCTGATCCTCGCAACTATTGACCCAGTCTGTGAAAAAAAAAGAGAAAGAGGGGGCAACATCATGCAAATGCATGGGCAACAACCCACGTCACTGATGATGTTCAGTATTGCTGTTTGTGGAAACGGACCTTCCATGCTTTGACCATCACCAAGACAGATACACAATGAAGAATAGAGGTTCACAAAACCAGCAAGGACAGTGGCGCTGAGAGAGACGCAAGTGTAGGAGCTACCCCACCTCTCGACCAAAGTCCTCGTTGGAGTCGTAACCCTCGCACCAGTGACTCCAACGATCATGTAGAAGAGGGAGACGAGCGCCGCGTTGATCAAATTCGCGATGCGCATATTGCTGGAGCTAGGTCTCTCTCGTAGAACGAGAATGGGCCGAGATAGCTGGAGGGAAAAGAGGAAAGAGAGGGAGGGGGTGGAAAAAATCGTACCAGAGTTGTGTTTTAATCGAATATGGTTGCACGAGCACCGGGGAAAGGAATCAGAAAAAGGGGATGGAAAGAATATTCAGCCAAGTTATTTCGTAAAGATCGAATGAATTCCATGGGAGGGGAGTAACAAGGACTCCTGAAGATCTGGACGAGAAAACCCGAACTCCATAGATTTAGAAACGAATTTTGTTCCTCCCCCCTTCCCCCCTTCGCATGGACTTGGTTCTGGATCGAATTATCTATCCGTCACTGTATTGAGAGGGGGGGGGGGGGGCTGGATGCGGCTGGAAGGAGAATGCGAAATGGAATATAGCCACTAAGCAGCGAAGGAAGCAAGAACAAAGGATTATCCCTCCCCTTGTGTCGGCGATCCAGAGAAGAGACTAAGGGAAAACCCCTTCCAACGACGAGAGAATGCTTAGGAAAAAACGCGGCGTGCTGGGCCGATCTTCACGATTGGACGTAAATGATTATAGAAGCAAACAAAAGCCGCATATTTGATCAATAACAGGGAGGCGAGTAAGGGGGGAAGATATGCGGCGTCCGAAAAATTCAACAGGTAAACTATGAGTTGATCGTGATCGTGATCCTAGCTAGCTTATGTGAAAAGTAATGCATGGTAAGCATGCACTAAGATTCATGATGGAGACATCCAAAGGTTGTTCAACGTCGATACGGAGACCCGTGCCGATCGGAGTCGACGACTTTGATTGGAATACGAGACTCCGCATCAGTTATCATGTCACCCAGCTGGGTGCACTTGCACCATCAGGGTGACAGCAGGTGGCGTTTCAACCGGACCAATATTTGGTCATGCGAGTTCCCACGGAACCACGAATAGTCAGCCCGAAGAATCCAAGGCGGAATTGGGAAAGCGTAAGAGAGAGGGAGGGGAGGAACTTTATTCACAACATCAAGGCATTCCCCTCCCCCTCCTTCGATCCCCAACGAGAGTGCGCATTATCCATCAAGCTGCTGATGATATAAATGACGTGTTTCATTTACCGGTCACAGTACTAGTACTGATGGTTCCTGGGTTCTCAGATATACATGCACGCTGAACGGCAAAAGGCTTACATAATGAAACTGAAGGATCCGGATCCGGGGACCAAAGCCGGTATGGATGGCGCAAAAGACCACAACCTTTTTCCAGATGACAGCTGAGGCACCCAAGCACATGGAGCACCAGTGTATTATAGGTAATGCAACACTCATGACCGACTGACAATGATATTTTTTCAGAAAATGAAAGGTCTCTATGGGGATGAGTTCCCATGATTGCCATCAGCAAGAGAGGAGCTTCAACCCTCGCTTATGGTTTTCTTCGAATAGAGCGTAAGTCAGTACGTAACCCCGGTGTGAATGAGTCATTACTTAACGCAATTGGGAGCAGATCGCGCGGGGATTCAGCAGAGGTGGACATGAAACAAACACCGGAGGACGAGCGGACTTGTGTGTGTGTATGAAAATATCAATATCAGGTATAGCAAAAGAAATGGGCTACATATTGAAACGCTTCCAAGTAGAGAGCTAGAGAGGACGGAGAGCTTCTGGCATATTATTGCCCGTTTCCTCTGATTTATTTGGCATGGAAGCTGCTGACGAACAACGAGTTTTGTCATCTTCCCGGTATAACAAAAACCCGAGTCCGAACGGAATGGGTGTATGTACGTCTTCAGGGAGAAGGCCCGAATCCTGACATTGGAGACATACACACACATATATATGTATATAGTCCTGCGAAGACCTCGTTAGGGACTAAGACTAAGCAGCGCGCCTGGAGGGACGATGGGCCACGATAAGGTGCCATGAGGTTACAACTCACAAGTCCGAGGTGGCCGCCCAGGGGGTTAAAAGCCACTTACATGCTGCTATGTATATTTTTGATTGAGCCACCGAACATGAGTGCATGTGGCTTTAGTCTGGCGATAAAAGCAGAGAGGGTTGGACAATTGCATGACAGAATGCCACAAACCGATTTAAAGCGTCCTGAATTGTGAGATCTCGAAAAAAATAAAAAGTGCCTCAAGAAGCCCTGTCAGTAGCAGGGTTAGAAGAAGAAGAAGAAGAGGCTGAGAAGAGCTAGACTTCTCAGATGAGTGAGGAGTCGTGGGAAGGGGGGGGGGGATCAATCAATCAGGCACGGCCGCTTGGCTTTATAATCATTCCGCACTGATGATGATGATCAATGCGCGCGCTTTTTTTGTGGTGGGATCGAGTTGCAAGATTCAGGGTGATCATGTTGATCGCGATTTTTTCTGCAATCATCACACTTCAAGGAAAAAGATTCGCTGATATTATTATGTGTTGGTCGATGGGACGGTTTTTCTCACTGAGATCGATACGAAGTTCGATAACACGAAATTTGGTGGCTTTGCAAAGCCCTTTTTGCATTGAGCATCTGTGGCTGTGCCGATCCCGGAATATTCCGAAAACTATAAAGCCGCCGGAAAGATCCATCTCTAACTTTCTCTCTCTCCTAACCACCTCCCGTGTTTGCTACCACATGTGAAAAGTCAGAAGGTAAGGATTTCAATCTCCATTTTTTTTCGCATTTCTCCTCTCTTGCCGTGTTGCAAATATGATGAGCGTTCAAGTTATCCCTGGCTAAATCATACATATGTTGATAAAAAGCAAATATGGTAACATTCTGACGCTTCAACCACGGTCCAAGAGGTCTTTTTACACCCCCTCCCCCCTTTCTCTGCCGCCCCAATCTGACTCATTTCGTGGGCTTACTTTGGACTCGGATAAGCCAGTAACTGACGTTCCATCCAACTTAGGACACCTGCCTTGCTCCTCCCTCACCCCCCCTCCTTAGGAGAATCGTTCAATTGTACGATTACACGTTAATATTGTATTGGACATGCGAATGACATGTGGTTAGAATTTCACGCAATTTTTTGTGTGTGTTTTCCCGATGAAGACGTTGTCTGGGCCGCGTGAATTGGATATATCAAGATTCTACGTAAAAAGCGTCGCAATTCATGGGACTTTCTTGGTCTTGTGCCTATTCGCGTTGCAAACAACGTACGTGCGATTCTGGAAGCAACTTTGTGCTCACACAGTTACTTGGGGTTTAACCTCAAACCTTTCCTCCCTCTGAAATAGCGAGCAGAAAGAAAAAAAAGCGAATGAGTAAACCTAAACCAGCACAAAAAAAAGGGTCATTACGTATCCCCCCCCCCCACATGTATGGTCCTCCAAGAGGGAAGCGTTGCATGGACCTTTGCACGCCAATCATTGATTGTCATTGTCAAAGCACAATAACCATAGGAAGATGGGGGCCGCTCATCCAGATATTCATTTTCGCGGGAAATGATGATGTTATAGTTCCTTATCTTGCGGTTATGCGTCCGATATGACAAGATGACGTTTTAGGTCGGAAACTCTTCCTGATTCTGGCAAGTGCAAAGAAGCCTGGATCAGCGTGGAGTGGACTTGTGAGACTGGCTAGGAGGGGATAAAGTACTTGCGGGATGAACTTAACCGCAATTGCGAGAAGCTTTACAATGCCATCAGCAGGTTGAGTTCTAGGATTCCAAGAGTTTTGAAGAACAAGCACATTCAAGAGACTTGTGATGATCAAGTGGAGAATCCCTTCAGGAACAAACACGACCCACAGATTTTTGGGACTCCACACCTGATTTTGTGCACATCCCGCGGGGCCCGTTATCATCTCATATGTTGTTTTGCAAATTTGAAATGTTGCACACACGGTATGGAAATAACTTCCGCGTTCTCGGCCATATAAGGGGCATTTCGGTATCATCGATCTGGTTCTTCCGTGTGTGAACTTCCTTTCCCCCCCCCCGGATGATCAAGGCTATCGCCAAGCGGTTATTACTGTGGCACAGGAACGTATGTTGTGGGACATGCGCGGAAGGTATTTGTGCCTGTGGCTTTCCGAGCCGGTTTGTTGGACACTGAGTTGACGTGAACAAAAATATCCCCCTCAGTAACATCACGTGGAATATATATATATGATATTTATTATTGTTAATTATTGCTGTCAATTTGGTCGTCACGTTAGGCGCAAATATAGATAGATGTTTTCCAAATTAGGCAAATTGTTTCCCATGAGATCTATCTCGCCCGACTTGCCTTTTTTGGTCTCAATGTTTTCGTAATCGACATCCGGACCCGAGATGCACTTTTGATTGCATCCATTGCAACCCAAACGGCGAGCTTCAAGGTTGGGATTCCACATAATGTTTTTGCAAACGAGATGGGACGACCCGAAAAACGTGGACCTCACTTCTGATCGGAGCGTGTTACGTTAAAGGTATCGTATCAAGGCAACACAACCAATGCAGCCATCCTACATAACGAACCGAGCAACAGCGAACAAGGCCGGCCTGGTAACTTTTGATTTTCATTACATATGCATCAATTTCAAAATACTGAAATGTTCTTGTGGAAGTTCTACGTTTAGTGCTGGGATCAATCGTATGACCGTTCCTATTTCCTCCTACGTAACTTTCTCTCAAGGGGATCTAACTTGATAACCTCCCCTCCCCCCCCTCAACTTTTCCCTCCCATCCAGGCGGAGCCAAGCGTGCTGGCCTGTAGTTGCGTTTCTTAAGAGTCTCTTACCTTTCCCCTCTGTAACTCGCTCTTTCGTCCGTTCTTGGACGCCAACGAACTTTGGTTTGGAAAGTATGCCCATTTCGTCATCCACCACCGACGCCCCACGCTTCATGGCTTCTACATGGCACAAACGTACACCCTCGCTTCGCCAACCACTGTCTTGGCTGGCCTACAAGCTCATGTACAAGGGGCAACAGGAAAAGAGAATGGGTAAAGTCCCAGTACTCAGTGGATCGCTATCCCGTAAGTCTTCTCACGTCCAAAAATACAAGATAAACATTCAGAGTCTTTACCCCCCCTCCAGACACTTTCATGGTCCCTCGTGCACTCGTCTCACTTGTTCTCCTCCCCATTCTCATTCGTCATTTCACTCCTTACTTGCCCTCATTCATCCTCTTCTTTCCCGCGCCACTTCTCCCCGTCCTTCTCTTCACCTTCGCCTACAACCTCATTGGAATAACCATACTTCTCCTCATTAATCGCTTATGTGATACGTATGGCTTCTTTGACGGCGCCGTGAAGCGTGATGTCATTCCCGACGCAAAACTCAATGAGACCATGTTAGGCGTTGTCTTGTTGACTGTCCTGAGGCCGGTTGTGGGCACGATGATGCTTTGGAACGATTGGGAGACAAAAGGGGCTGCGAGCGGGTGGGATTTGACGCAGTGGGGTTGGTGGGCGATGGGATTACCTTTCCGACTGCTCATTTGTTCAGTGGTAATGGATTTTTGGTTCTAGTACGTCTTCTTTGTTATCCCCCCTTTTCCCCCCTCTTCCCCCCCCTCCTTGTTGACCGATTTCATGCTAACCCATTTGATCGGTTATCTCATCCTATAGCGTATCGCACCGTTCTATGCATGAAATCCCTGTACGTACCAAAGCAAACAAAACGCTTCCTTTCCTACGAGCTGATTGCATCCCCGTTTCAACTTGCCTGAACCCCATTTCCATCAGTGGCTGTGGAAGTTTCACAAAGTAGTACGTTTCGCAGTCTCTCTCTCTCTCCCTACACGAGAGTTGACGGACAATTCCCTCTTCTCAGCATCACATGGCGAAGCATCCCTGCCGACAATGTCTGCGTTTGGCGACTGGGAGCACAACTTTTTGGATTCCTTCGTTATTCCAGGTTTAACACTTATTACGTACAAGGTCGATTTTGGGACATGGGTACGTATTTCAATTCCGCACTCATGATTGTGCACAATGTGAGCTCATAAAAATGGTTTTTGTTCTTGTTTTTTTTTTGGGAAAAGTGGTTCTCGGCTCTTTACACGCTTTTCAATGAGAGTGCGTCTCACTCTGGCGTGCGTGTTTTGTGGCGGGCACCTATTGGAGGTTGGGTTCTGAGCTTGTTGGGAATGGACCAATGCACAGAGGATCAGTGAGTTATTATTCCTCGATCCGTCTTTTTCTATTCTTTCTTTGGTCGCCGTGCTAAACACCAAAAAAAAAAAATCTTCGCTTCTGATATTAGCGAACTTCATCATCGATTGGGATGGCGCAAATCCTTCAACTACGGGAAGCAAACCAGGATATGGGACACAATTTTCGGAACAAAGGGAGAGAGATTGGAGACCAAGGAGGAATATCTTCAGCTATGAAAATATTAATATGTTTATTTTTGGGACACTTTATGCACTCGTTCCTGGAAGTTAAGCTTGGCATGGAAAGGGGAGAGGGGAATCTCTTTCCATTTTATTTTTAGAGCGGGGAACCTTTTCCTCATATTTCTTACTTACTTAATCATTTTCTATCGTTGGCTCCTTGTACAAATAGTTTGGGACATTTCGCCGCCTGTCAGTGTCACGGCAAGATCCTCGCTCCTTGCCCCATTTTTTTTTTTTTTGCTTTTTGGTTCTGGTTTCATCTCTCCTGTCTGTCCCTCTGATCATTTTCTCCATTTGCACATTCGGTCAGAATGTTGGAATTGAAAACGCAAAGTCAGATTTTTCTTCGTTCGCATTTACATATCGTTCGACCCGTCTCCATAATATTCTATATCCTGTCCTTAGGGTACCTAGCTAGCTGTATTGTAGCGGAAATGGGTAAAAATGAATTGTCTCAATTGGTGTGAAACAGTACTTGTGAGTGATCGGAGGCAGGACGTCCATGAAGACTTGCATGTGATTCAGAGTACCAATGACTCGCCATGCTCTGTCAGTGATGCCACCTTCCAGCCCCTATTCCCCTTGAGAGATCCACTGGCCGCTGCTCTGCATATATCTAGTTCGATGATCAGTCACCCTCCGATTCATTACTGTTTTTTTCAGGGGACTTGAGTCGAAGTGGGCGATGTCGGCATGGCTGTGATCGTTGGGAATATCTCCTCATTATCTGTTTTCTCATATTTTAATTCTCAGCGAGAGTTTCTACTTTTTGGCTGACATCTCACGGTTGTCACAAAAGATCCCCCCCCGGTACAAACTCGTTGCCGTGTCAATCGCTTACTTAATTCTATTTGATGATTCCTACTTTCACATATTTTGGCCACAATGGGGTGGGGCAAACCCACGCCATTTTTTTTTATGTAAGTAAAGCGGGATTTCCCGTCGCTTCCAGATAGAGCGGCAATTTAGCCCTATCGCAAAGTACAGTGTTGCACGCGTTTATTCATTTGTCAATTTGGGGGGACATGCTCAAAGGTCCTCTACTTCTCATTTGGTGGGAGCTATTCTCTTTCTCATCGGTCAACAAGGTTTAGCTTTCTGGCTCAAGCTGTATTGTAGCGGAGTTGTCCGAATTATATTGTTATCTTAATTGCGTTATGTGGGTCCTACTCCCGTAGATAACTTATCTAAGGCAGTAGGACCTCCCACATAGCGGAATTCAAACATTTGCAGGACCCGCTAACGGAGCAGCGGAAATAATATTTGGCTCTGCGCTTGACTGTTGATGTTCAAGTATCGAACTTCTTGACGCATATGTACGCCACCGGTTCTGGAGGAAGAGAACTTGTGGCCCAGACACGTGTCTAGGGTCCGTTCTCACGGGCGGTATTAGATGAACGACACAAGGTGTCGTGCATACGCCCTTGCTGCGATTCTTTGGAATAGTGCTGTAAGAGGATGGCCCCATATATGTGTACCCACACACTTATGTATCAATACAGCGGATAAGGTGCAGATTTGCATCATTCGATAGATGGAGTTCCAGGCAACAAAGGATGAGATTGACAAGATAGACCAAGCTATCCATCAAATCAATGTATTGGAGCAGGATTTTTTGCACCGTCTTTCTCGAATACGAGAGGAACGTGTTGCACTCCATGCCGTCCGCTTTCTTGCGGTCAGTACTCTTGCGCCAATCCATAGGCTTCCGAATGAGCTTTTGGAGCATATATTCGTCTTGGGGACTTATGGGTATGTTTCTCCAACTCATCTAGCCCCCCCCCCCTCTCGCTGACCGGTAGCACAGACTGCCCTTGGACGAAGATTGTGATGCATTCGCGGGACTTGTGTGCACGGTCTCCAAGAAATGGCGTGATATTGCCGTGGGGTGTCCCGCCCTATGGAGAAGAATCAATGTTACCTGCGTAACATTGGCCACATTGGCTTTGCGACTCGAACGTTCGAAGAGTTTAGGTATCGATATCTATGCCGATTGGGGCCATTTTCATCCCTCAGAGGAGATTGAAGAGACGATGTGCATGATTCTCCCATACATGCGAAGGTGGTCTACCTTTCATATCAATTGCTTTGGGCTGCTCCCTTTTCGTGAGGTTTTAGGCGTAACGAGGTGAGGGCAAAATAATAATCATAATAAAAGGCTAGCCTTGCTAATTTCAAACCCAGCATGCTGATGGGGGAAGCATCTCAACTCGAGCACCTCTGTATCATCACAGAAAGTCATGAAGTTCACTATGAAAGCCCGATATCAATCTCGATGGCGATGCCTTCCCTTCGCACAGTTGAGATCGAGGGAATAGACATCCAATGGAATTGCATTGAGAAAGCGTCTGATGTCATCATCAGTTTTGCGCTTCTACCCTGTCATCTTCTTGACTTTCAATCTCTGCGAAAGTTGAAGCTAAAAGGACCACGATATCCTCAATCGACTATACCACCCCAGTCCGCTCTCCCAGCACTACAACATCTAATCGTCGATAAATGCATTTTGAACGATCTCCTTCAGATCAGCATGCCATCGCTGCGCATGCTGCAGGTCCTTAGAGGCGATACATATTCCTGGGAGAGGCAGAAAGTCCAGTATCCCAGTTTACCTTCACTGCGAACGTTCATTTACGGTTCGAATCACCCATCGCCTACACCTTTTCTGCTCCATGTTCTTGGGCTTATGCCTATGGTGACCAAGATCGTTTTTGATGGGAGCGTACCATCCGACGCGTTTTTTTGGAGTTGGGCCACGACTCATCAGGAGTTGATATGTCCGCGGCTCGAAGAGCTGATCTTCCACAACGCATTCAGGGACCCCACTTTATCGGTGAATATGTTTGTCCAGGTGAATGAGAGCGTGGTTCAAATAAGCCTTGCATTACACTGACGGTTCGCACGGTTTCAAGTCACGGTCAGGTCCAAAAGGAAAACTTCCATTACCGATGCGCGGTTGGGCACTGAACTTGGACCCATCGCTCAGGGTTTTTCACGAGTGCCTCTCAGAAGGGGATGACGAGAGTGAAAGCGAAAGTGATGTCTCTGGTGGTTCCGATTCAAGTGTCGCAGAATAGTAGCTGTGTCTGTCTCAGGCAGTGACGGAACAGGGTAGGAGAATTCCTGTGTAGTGATGATTGGTGTGGGGTGCAATTACATTAGCTTATCCGGGGGTGTATTGGATCTCCCGTTAAGACGAAGATGATGCTCCAGCTGCAGCAGCCCGGTCGGCCGTGTACTTGATGTAGAATGCCTCTTCCCTGCGTACTACAAGGCGATGTCATCAATATACATCTTAAAGAACGAATAATGGTTGGGAGCGAAGGGCCGAACCTGCTGGAACTTTGACCCAGTACCTGAGGAGCGGGACGTGTGAGAAACCTTGCACACGTGAATCAAGTATACAACTCACCAATAACCGAAAGCGCTAGCGGTTCCTAGGCCAATACCGGCGGTCAAGTCGACAATGAGCCTCTTGCGAAGCTTTCCAACAATTGGGGCAATTGGCATGTTTCACGAGTGACGAAAGACTTGGAAAGGTTCGTCTGGAGAACGGAAGAAACCGGCGTGACTTATGTCACAGCATCTGCTGTGAGTTTGTGACGGACTCCCTTCCACTTCCGGGGTTGAGGGTACGCAAGGAGGGTCCATTGCAGTCATGGTTACTTACGGTGGGGCTCCGGGACAGTGTTCCTGCAGGAAGCTCTGTGCCAGCACTGTAGTTTACTATTTAATATGAAATCTCTTGCTTCAGATCCCCGATAGGCTACTTGCACAGAAGTACGATAGTTCGATAATCCTATCGTCCTGAATCAAAGTGGGCTCCCGTGTTGAGAGGGGCGGTGGTTCCGGCATCTTGTCGTAACTGATTGCGCCGGAGTCTGGCTGATGTCACCAGATTTCGGCATCGACCGTGCTCGTACTAACCGCGTTCAGACAGGAAACTCGATTTCCAACTCAGCACCTATCTTCACTATCGATCCAGGCGTTAGCCTCCCGCTCCCCTATAGTTACATACAGTCCCCACGGATAAGATCAAAAAATATCGAATGGATGGTGACGGTACTGCCCATATGTGGCGGTTTGCGCAATGTTTCGGTGACAAGGGAGAGGTCGATGACATTACTGAAGGTAGCTCATCCGGCCCTACTCACTGCATCATGCCCTCCTCTTGGATTCTAACCGCCTTTCTTTGGATCAGCCGACATCATTTCGACAGTGGAGTTCGATCACACGGGGAATTATCTTGCAACAGGTGACAAAGGCGGTCGAGTGGTTCTCTTTGAACGGAACGAGATGGTGCGTGAACTATATGCCTTTCGTCCAAATTCCTCATGTTTGAAACTTGTGATTGAGCAGAAGAGAGGTTGCGAATATCGGTTTTACACCGAGTTCCAGTCTCATGAGCCGGAATTTGATTATCTGAAATCGCTGGAGATTGAGGAAAAGATCAACAGAATAAAGTGGTGCAAGCGCCAAAACTATGCCCATTTCCTCCTTTCTACTAATGGTGAGACTGTAACTCATCCTCGATGGTTAGCCTTTGGCGCTCATCACGCCGGCGCCCAGACAAGACCATCAAGTTATGGAAAGTCTTCGAGAAGAACCTCAAAGTTGTGGCTTCTAACAACCACCACGATGAGCACCAGCAGCCCCTCCCGACACCCATAGACACAAGTGCCTTGAGACTACCCCGTATGCTTAACCAAGACAAGATAGTGGCGGCAGTACCTCGCAAAATCTACCAGAATGCCCATGCCTACCATATCAACTCCATATCAATAAATTCCGACGGAGAGACGTACATATCTGCGGACGATCTACGGGTCAACCTGTGGAACCTTAACATAAGCGACCAGAGCTTCAGTCAGTGCCTTGATCTATTCAGGATGTTTTTACACCTCACTATTCCTAGACATGTTGACATAAAACCTGTCAACATGGAAGAACTAACTGAAGTCATCACTGCTGCGGAATTCCATCCTATCAACTGCAACCACTTCATGTATTCGAGCTCGAAAGGCACCATCAAGCTTGCTGATATGCGTGAATCGGCATTGTGCGACAGACATGCGAAGCGTATGCTGTACTTCATCATACCATCTGGCATTAATGTTAATCTATCTGTGTCACAGAGTTTGAGGAAGAGGAAGATCCGACGAATCGTTCTTTTTTTTCAGAGATCATATCATCAATTTCAGACGTCAAGTTCAGTCGAGACGGCCGATACATACTTTCAAGAGATTATTTATCGCTAAAGATTTGGGATGTGAATATGGAGAGTCGGCCCCTCCGGACAATACCGATTCATGACCATTTGCGAGGGAAGCTGTGCGACCTATACGAGAACGACTGCATATTCGACAAATTTGAATGCACATGGAGTGGTGACGGGTCGTGAGTAGCGCCCTTTCTTCCCTGATCAGATTCTAACCGCGCATGCACACCATTCTCGCTGTAGGCAAGTAATGACTGGATCGTATCACAATTATTTCCGTCTGTATGATGTTCATGGCACCACACCAGAAATCACATTACAGGCGGATAAATCAGCATTCAAGGCAAAGAAGATAGGCGCTGCTCCAGGAAAAGGCGTTGGGAAGGCCAATGGTCTGAAGAAGGACGCGTTGGCGGCGGCGGAGCAGATAGACTTTAATAAGAAGATCCTGCATGGAAGCTGGCATCCACGAGAAAATACTATCGCAATCGCAGGTGGGTTGCATCGAGCCATCTGCGACGAATCAATCTGACCAAACTTTCAAAGCCACAAACAACCTTTTCCTCTTCAGCAGCGTCTAATCAAGCTAATGCACGCCTTGCTTTCACTTTCACATTTCGCACCTTACAATATTACCCGCACCGTCTGTGTCGCCGACATCCATTTCACACATAGCGTTCGTTGCTGCTACTACACAATCCATACTTATCATTTGATTGTATATATACACCAGCATTGAAGTTTCCGAATCAAAGACGATCTAAAGCAGTGTCTCTAGTGACAACGTCGCATCGAGGCTAATTGACAATATAATTCGGACAACTCCGCTACATGACAGCTAATAAAAAGCTAGACCTCGTTGATCGATGAGAAACTGAAGGCAACCCAAAGGAAAATACACAAAACACAACAAAACACTCGCACACCAAACACACACAGAGGGAATTAGTGATGCGTAAAAGATCATCTTAACCATTGTATAATACACTCATTTTTAACATGATTAAAACTGTGTTTTACAATGTGGTCCATTGCATTTTACCAGGATTCCTTTACCACGTTAAAGGAGGTAGATGACCTGTTTTTTAATGATTCTCCACCACGATAACGATTGTAAACGGTCAATTTACAAGGGTGCATTTTGTAATTTACCAGTCGGATTTCGTCATTTACAATATTGTTAATTTGGTGAAAAACGTGGTTATTTATCGTCATTTACAACTACATTTATGGCGATATACAGCGGAGACTCTAGGTTACGTTGCAATGAATAGCAGTCATTGCAAGTGAGGAAATGAACCGAGTTGAGGTGAGCAAAAGACAGAAAGGTCAATTCGAGGAGTGACGAAGAAGACCCGATCCGGAAAGCATAATGCAGGATTGAAGCCTTGGGCTCACGAGAAAAGTACGGAGTTGAGTGCGAGCAAGAGACGGGTAGCATAAAAGTCAAGCATCAATTCGATTTTGATGAGGTTGATTTGACAGAGCATAACCTAATGAAAGTGGAGGAAGTCTCGGGCTGTGAATAAGACGGTAGAAGATACCATAAGTGAACTTCAACCCTTGCGCACAACTTCGCGAGGCAGTCTTTCCTTCTGAGTGGGCCAGGTTAATCGATTCAGACTTTCTTCTGTTGTGGGGCCATCATAGTGACGGCCACGGGGGTTCTTTTTTGGCAGTACTAGTAGAGGTGGTTGTCATCGGGCCTTGGTCATTATCATCGCTTTCAAATTCCAGTCGCGTTTTTTGGTTACTAGCACAGGGGGAAATTAGCAAGGCAGCAGTGGGGGAAGAGGTAGTTGGGAGATAAACTAATGAGCGCACATGGGGCCAAACTACGCCCTAAGCAGATGCATGAGCTTTTCTACCACAGGTGTGACCCTTGGGTAACATAGATTCCTGTTTGCTGTGAGAGGCTTGACGATTTTCTAAAATAAATAAATAAATAAATGCTATTTCTCATTCACCAATGAGTTAAAGACACGTAAAGACGCGTTGAAACACGTCCAGATGGAAGCCATTCATGGCATCGCTGTCAGTGAGGCAGCATGCCCAGTGTCCATATTCATAAGTACTTGCCACTTCTGAGAAGAGTAGCTAGTTGCATAGCGAAAGGATAGTCAAATTGGGAGGAAATGAGCAGGTTGCAGAACGTGTATGGTATGGTGGAGAGGATAAGGCACTGAGTGGAATGGAAACTGCCGAGAACAACTTAGTCCGATTTCAGTCTAAGCGCCACAGTCTCTGCCCACCTACCCTTACATCTTTAAGTGCCAGCTTCCATACTTGGGGCTCCTCGCGACAAGAAACATTCCTGACAATTCCACCCATCGCAAAGTCGCGATCTAGTTTACTAATGTCTACAACAAGCCGTACCAACATATAATCGAGCTCTTGGTTATGCCTCGCTAGGGAAATCATGCATTGTCGGGGGAGGTGACAAAGTTTCCACAATGTGGGCCCAAAAACGACGAATTGAATTTAGGGACTTATCCTTCGTCTGGGTAGGAGTGTTTGAATTTCATGGCTCTCACTATTGAGCTGAAGTAGCTGTGGACTCAAATCCCCGAGCACGTCACAAAACGTCGCTTGTGAGAACATGCGTCACCTCGTTGACCTTGTCTCAGATAGCGGTGCTTACATGGATGCTGCCTTGGCACCGACCTCTTTTACTACACTCAAATTATCGCTCTCGCTTCGGTCTCTTCAGTATGTGGCCGATTTCCCTATGGTACGTACGCATTCCCGTCGTTGGGCCATCATCGATCGCAGTTGCAAGCTCGCAAGGTCAATCGACGACGATGACTAACCGAACTCCGGCCGTCCATACCTCTGACCTTTGTACAATACATCGCAGCTCGAATACCATGAATTGAGTGGTAATTTATGCAGGGAAGAGTCTGGTATTTAGCATCGTGAAACGTATATTGTAATTTACAATGAAAAAAATATCACGAAAACAATGGTAAATGGTCAAAAACCAGACCAAAAATGGTTTTTTACGGCCATTTACTTCCCACAGTGCACACCAAAGAAGGACTCAAAGAACAAATAGCGAGCCCACCCCAATTAAGGGACGGAAGCATACAAGCGAAGAAGCAGAAGCCCATGTCAGGTTGATGCTCGTGACCTCAACTCCATGTTCAACGTTCCTCGTCCGAACGCGAGCCCAACCAATGGGCTCGCTTCATCTTATGTCGAGGACAACCCCCTGTTTAGCTCCACGTATGATGGAATGGATCCATGGTCAACCACTCCGGAACTGCCTCATGCGACATTAGCGAGCACACTGGACGATCTCTTAGGCATGTGCAGCTGCTCTGTTTATACTGTAATGTCCTCGACGATGACTCATCACTGCAGCTGGAGTCACTATTCCTGAGGTATATTCTCAGACGTTCGAGAAAGTCAGTGTCAGCGACTCGGAAGTGTCAGTCAACTCTCTTCTATACGTCTTGGGCACTTCTGGTCTATCCACATCCACAATCGATAGGGTAGCTGGCTTCCTTGCGCTCAGAGTTGTCACGCATTGTTGAACTCTATTGTAAGATCGTTAGTCTCGTCAGCACACGACCTCGTGTTTCTAGGCTTGAATTCTACGTCGCATTAGCACTTGTGGCTGCAGCCCAGCAAGGGAAAGGCAAGTTTATTGACCTCCGGCCTGAAGTGCTAGCCTGAGGGTATGGATTTAGACGTTAGCATCGAGACAGTTATTTCCGAAGCAAGACAAAATACGCTCCCAGTGCCAGCTCTGCAGGTGGATTCACTTGAAATCAATCCCCTTCCATCCACCTCATTCCCGCCTCAGGGGAATTCATATGGTGATAGTACGGATCCCTGGAGCCCTAGGGAACTGGAAAATAATGACCGGATAGATCAAACCGCGGCGGCAACTAGGGACGTTCCGTCTACAGTCGCTAGACTTGGAAGGAATTGGTACATGCACCAATCAAAAGTGGAAGTTTCTATCGCTCCAAAGAGACAAGGGTTTATTCTTGCTCGATATACCGTGTATCAGATCAAGAGCGATGTAAGCTCACTATTCATCACAGATCAATGGGCAGTAACCAAACCGTGTGCGACAGCGTGGTGCCCCCGTCTTTCGGAGATATTCAGAGTTCCTCTATCTCTTCGATTGCCTAGTTCGACGTTATCCCTTTAGACTTCTCCCGTGTCTTCCTCCCAAGCGCATTGGGGGTATGTGAACCTTTCTTTCATGAGTATAGCAACGTATCTAATCTCGGTTAGGGGATGCCCAATTTTTGGAAAGCCGGAGGTAAGCACGGCACAATGGGCAGTGATCATGCTACCTTTATGGATATCCCTTTACTCTGCAGAAAGGGTTTACAGCGATTCCTGAACTTCGTAGTGTGAGTGCCCCAGCTGTAGGCATTACTTTCGCTAACATCGGAAGACGATCATTAGAAATCACCCCGTCATTCGAGATGACGCTGTGCTCCATGTTTTCTTGACCGAGCCCGATCTTGAGACATGGCGGAAACGATCTTCGGTATCATTAGAGGAAGAGTCAGCCACCAAGCGCATAACTCGTGTCGAAGAAATGAGCATTCCGAGTGATTTATCCGAAAAAATGCAGTCAGTTGCCAGAGACTCTATCGGAGCTAACTTCTTACAACTCTGGGCAGGTTTATTCGGAACCGCATGCAGCTGCTCATCGAGAAGTGGACTCGAATATGTTTGATCACAGAGCGACTTTTCAAAAGAAGAGAAGCGACCGCAGTATGTGGCTGGACACTACTCCCCATCCTTAGGCTGTTCACTTTGTGCTTGGCTTGTTAGTCCGATTTCATTAGGCTCGCCACCACATTGTCCGCTGTCGTAGAAGAGAACCCGGAGTCTTGGCGAGTGGAAGGAGACGAGTTGTACCTAGGAGTGCGGCAAGGCCTTAGTAATACCGCTGCTCGCCTGATGTCCCAGGGAGATGCCATGGACCGCCGAGTGAGTATTCCCGACTATTGAAGTGACTGATTGCTGAGCAGATGCTCGCAGGCCCACACAACCATTCTGATGACCCTTGAAGCCTTTAAGGTCAGATCAAGGCGTTGCCATCTTCGAGTGTCTTAACCATTTTTGCATGTGTAGAGCCAAAGAGATCTCTACATCGCTGCGAAGGACATGTTCCTGCGCCATGACAGACTCTCCGGTGATCAGGTCGATAAATTACAGAAGAGGGTGGAAAGTAATGCCCTTAAGCTTGAGACGATCAAAAATCTGCGTCAAGAGGGATGGGCAGCCAAGGCCGATCGAGTTTTGGGCACGATAGAACTGGATCAAAGTGCGATCGCGGCGGCGATGGCACGACGGGTGTTTGTTCGTCATTGGTAAGTTATCACGTCTGATTAATACACTGCATGTGGACCATTTATTCTATCCCTGCAGCATCTGGAGCGAACTTCGCGGAGTGCTATATCCAAGAGAGAATACCCTAATGGCGCTCGCTTTACAAACGTTCGCACAACAAGAACGAGAATATGTTGGTACCTTAGTAGCAAGCTGGGACATCTTAGCGGAAGATCTGAGTGCTATGCCATTGGAGTAGGTGCAGGGGTACGCACATTTCATGCATGGATAGATCTGATGTCCATAGACGCCTAATTCCCGGTAGTATGAAGTTGCGAACATGCAGTACGCGTTGTTGAATAATTAGCCATCTTATTTCCCTAGCATTGTTTGTCTCTCTGTTTGCACGTGACCATAAACGCGTTCGAGAAAATGATGCCTTTGTTTCTCGATCGTGATTCTACAGTAATAAGCACCTGAACTACTCGTTACATGCTCAACTGCCTGCCAGCATGTTCAAATGTAGCCTGTGCCTCGACCATGCAGAAGAGTTTGCGGCCCTTCCGTGTGGTAAGGGCCTGCGGTGTCACTGATGGAAGTTTCCAACACGCGTTCTCTCTTCAACAGGTCATGTTTATTGTTATCCTTGCCTTGTAATCCAGATAGGACGCCATAAGCAGTGTCCTCAATGCCGCCACGCGTACGATACGCAACATATTCTGAAGCTTTACGTTGATAAACAAGACCTCCCATTAAAGTCCTTCTTTCCCCCTACATCGAGCGTGGAGAGCATATTCCCCAGGCTGATGGAGCTGGTGGAAAAAGCGAACAAGATCGACGTTGACAGCTCGACTAATGATATAGAAGCCCTCACTATTGGATGTGAGCGTTTGATGATGCAGTTTCAAATGGAGGGTGGAAGCGCTGCTGAGGCATTTGCTTTCTCCGCTACAGTGTTCGGCATGTTGAGTGACATTTTCTTATTAGGAGTTCATGAAGGAGCTGGAGCGGTGCTTGGCATCGCTGAGAGGGAGGCTGAAATATGCCGCTCGTCTCGACTCTGCTAAGGAACAAAATATGAGGGGTGCAACTGCAATTCGGGTGCAGGAAGATCGTATACGACGGTTGATGGGCGAGAGAAATGCGGCCTTTTCTGGACGCGATGAGGCGTTGAGGAGTATTAAGATGTTAGAAGAAAGGGAACGGTTGTGGTAAGTCTGATCGAGAGTTTATGGAACATGGGTCGACCCCACTCCAATTAATTGCCCAAATTACTATTTTCAAGGCGGGAGAAGTATGACCGTCTCAAAGCGCGATACACCAAACATCAGACTTGGGATGGTACGAATCAGAACGTGCAGTTTGAGAGAGTACAAGAACTACAAGAAGAAGCATGTTTATTGATTCGCTGTTTCTCCCGTTTTCTGATATCGGGATGTTTTTGACAGCTGAAAAAGCATAAGGCGGAAACCGCCAAGTATAAAAAAAAGGTGGGTAACTAGCTCTTGCCAAATTTTCATAGTTCTTACGGAGAGCAATTAGTATATTGCAGCGAAACGAAAAATATTACAAACTGGAGAGGAGCCATCCCACGACGCCCGGCCAGACGACGCATCCAGCGACGACGAGCTAGATATCCTTCCACCTGATGATCCGACTGGCCCGTCAAGACTTGCCCATGTGACAATACGCCGGAAGGATAAGGCTACATCTCGGTTTGGAAGCGGCGACGTTGTCATGGACTCTGACGACTCGAGTAGACATGATCCATGTGAAGTGGAGGAGAGCCTGTAGCTCATTAATGCATCATGTAACTTTGTGTGTACTATACAACACCTTGCTTCGATCCTCGGGGTGTGGGAATATCAGGAGAATCGCTGTCAAGTTCGGTGACAGGGGCGTGACTTGTTGTCACGCTTATTCTCCTCAGATGTCATCATCTGTGACGTTCGATCCTTCAGTGCTTAAGTCTAGATCTCTGTGGCATCAGGTTTGCCAATCATCGTTCAATGCCTTTTTCAGTGGTCGCGTCTAAAATGTTGAGAATTGCTTATTTTTCAGTTGGATGTGGTCATCCCCTCCCCCCCATCGGCGTCTGTTTCTCCTTTGGAGAGGATCTCGACAAAATATTACTATGTTGCTGGAGTGACGTTATATAACTTCTTACAAGAGATACATGCTGGACGCCCAATGTGAGCAATGTCCATTGATTTGCGTGAGGCGTCCGTGTCAACACCTGACTGGTAGTGTTGCTACAGTCAACGCCGGAAAGGATGAGGACGGCTGGCATATAGGAGAGAATTGTAAGTCCTGAACCACTCCCATGCGCGAGGCGTGCGAGAATTTTAATTAAGGATCTTTCGTCTTTGGATCTGTAGCTGAATTGACCCTTCGGATGACTGCAGAATCTTACGAGAGACTTGGTCCGGGAGTTTTGGCGTCTAAATCCAAGAATATAAAATCAAGCATGCGAAGTTAGCCCCTTTGATCTGTTGCAGAAGTTGCCTCTGCTAGGTTGGTTTGACCTCCGAATTTTCAGGAGCCCGGATCCCTCTTGGTCCTAGCGGTATTCCTCCCCACACAAAAGTGTCATTTGAACGGTGGGAAGCTTACAGGAGGGAAAATGGGTTGTTCGGATGGGATGTACTTATTACATGCCCACAAGGTGTGTTCCTCATGGGAGATGCTGATGCTTGTTGCCAGCGAGATCGGCATTAAATCATTAATGAAAGTTTTCCTTAGAATATTGTGCTGAGCTACCCAACAATTGCAAGTTGTACGACGTGAAGCCTGAGACGGTGCATTATAACGGTATTCGGTTGCCGGCGATTCTTACGAGCGGATTCCGGTCGGAGGTGGATGAGGAGGATCTCACTGATGTGCTTGAATGGCTCGGGATGATAGCTATCCAAGCTCCTCGGTGCGTCTCTTGTCGATCCTTTCCTGAGCATTGTGGTTACACGGAAAAAAAATACAGGGTATATGTGAATGACAGCATGGATCCTTATGTTTGTCGTCGGAGCCAAGGGGAAGGTGATGGGGTTATTCTTGCGAAGAGAGTCCGGTGGCGCGGATTGCTCGGTTCGCAATTTGTTACCGAAGTCTTCGACACGTTCGGGTGAATTATTCTTTATTCCCTTTTCGTGGCTCTTTTACCTCGGTTGGACTAAATTAACCCATAATGGCAAAAATCTCTAGGACGATGCAACTCGATCTCACTTTAATAACGCTTCATGGCTGGCCCGAGGAAGGTTCCGAGGGTGACAAGAAAGTTTCATGGTCGTGGATTCGAGGAAGGGAGAAGATGATTGCGCTTCCAGCACGCGGCGATCGGTGAAAGATTCAGTGCTCCGTAATGCACGTTAAACACCGGGTCCCTCATGTTCTTTCTTCGTGTTTCCTTGGGTATAGATTATTTGCACATCAACGTGAAAACGATCAATCTTAGTATTGCAGCGAGCGAGGTATGCAAACAATGATCGCCTTTGTTTTCTACGACTCGTGGGAGATTTGGCCCCCGAACCGCTGAAGATATCAGAGCTGGGGCTGGTCGAATCGCATGATGTTAATTATAGATCGCGGACACATGTTGGTCTCGGTCGTCATTGATTCGAAGGTACAGCTGACCCACTACCGGGCCCGGGATCACGTTCTCTTGGTGTGCACGACTGCAAGTGCTCTTCTGGTGGGTCCTTATTGCAACTGGACATACCGAGTCTGTCGGATGTGCCATTTATTCATGTTGCTGTTTTATTTTCCGGGTCAAGTGACCACTCTTTCCGTCCGACTTGTTCCTTCCAAATCCCCAAATCCATTGGTCTCCGGCGGGGCCATCCCTTGTATTTCCCTTCACCCTTCCTCCGGATTTTGACAACTTGCCCCAACCCACTTCTCCTCCTTATCGTCACCTTTTGCAGCCTGGATAGGTCTTTCCGGCAATTCCCTCTCTCTCCACGACGTCACTCACTGGTGAGGAAGCAGGCAAACTGCAGGCCTTTAACGCTGAAAGTTATTCATACCCAACGCAATCTAGAGGGCCCGAGTGCAGTTGGTGCTCCATCCTTTCGCTCTCTTGCCGCCATAAAGCTCCGCACCCCTCACACTGGTTGATATTCCGGTGGCTCATATCTCCCTGAACACATTTCAGCGCCAGCGCATCCTTGAACGCTTGGTAGCTGGACCAACATGGCAGAGTACATTCCTGGTACTTCTGTCACTAGAAGGTTCCTCCCACCTCTCCCCCTTTCCCTATCAGAAGCAATCAGCTGATGACCTGATTGCCACAGTGCGGCTATGTCAGCCCTCCATCATGCAAAAGTACGGCTTGCATTCATACTTTCGGACCCTATTTCATCCTATTTTCGCTGACCGCACTCTTATTCTTCCCCGTGACTAGGCAACAGATGACAATGATGTCGAATCGGTAGGACCTGCGGGACCTCAATCCAAGATTTCCGTTCTCACATTCAATTTCTTGCAGCGGAATTCTGTCATGAACGTCGACTACCTCTCGCATAACTGGGAGGAAGAAGCTGATGTCTGGGCGAGCTGGAGATATACAACGAAGAACAAGAACGATATTGCTCACGGTGTCCGGTTAGAAAATGCCAGCTGGAGAACATGGTGGAAGCAGCGAAACCGACTCAAGACAGTTAGCCCAGAAACACTTAATTGGTAAGCCATCTCATGATCCCACATTAGAATGAAGATCGATCTCTTCACCTATCGTTATCTCTCGTCGGCAATTATCAGGCTCAAAGATAGCGATGTGACTTGGCTGTATGGCCCGTTGCACACAGCAGCAGATCCGGTCCCAACGCCGAAACAAGCCACAACGGTGGATAGGCTCGGTCTCGTCAAGGTGGTTGGGAAAAAGCCAATTTTGAAACACCGGTCTATCTCAGAACTTTTAGTCGGCTCACCCAGAGCGCAATCGCCATCACTAGAATCCGCAGCTAACGCAATGCACCAGAATGGGGAGGAGCGACCCCCACTACTGCAGACCAAGTCGGAACCGCAAATCCCAAAGACTAGTTCACGTAAGATTTCCCCCCAAGGGTAGTGTCTTTGGGGGGCGGCCTGGCTCGATCCGATTCTAGTTCGTCTCGTCACGTCGGCTCAGACAACGAAAGTCTTGGGCAGAAAAAGCACATCAGCTTTAACACGTTCGTTGAGCAATATATTGCCGTCGACAAACCACGAAGTTCTGGCTCGGTTGGGGAGAGCTTATTGTGGTCCAGTTCCGAGCCTATGTATGATCAAGAACGCGATGACGAATATGACGAAGAGGAGGGCAGTTTGTTGACGATGCGCTCGAGCAGTTCGTCGGGAGGATCGAGTCGGCCTCCTAGTGTTCGTCGTCCGACACTAGAGCGCCATACGAGCACTTTGAGTGAGAAGGAACACTATACCATTGCCCCTATTCCGCCTACAATTCTCAAGACTGTTGACTATGACGGCGATGGAGAATGTCCAGCTGTGGTATTCGTACCTCCAGTAGGGTCACCATTCGTTGAGGATCCTGGATCCTTCAGTCGGTATTCGGGGAATGCAACATTACATCTCGAAGGCTCGACAACATTCCCGTCACGCGGCTTGGGTATTTTTTGGGATGTTGAAGAAGCAGATGGCGGGGGCGGTTTGTATTTAGGCTCGTCAAACCACAGCTCGCAAGGGTCCTCGCTAGGTTTTCGTTCGCCAGGCGCAACTAGCGACGGTCCTCCAATGCCTGATGATTTGGTACATTCATTGCCTCTTGGCCGTGGTGCAGCTCAACGGTACAGTTCCCCTGGACGGAGTATCCTTCGAAATGGGGGCAATACCGACTTTGAGGCTGCAATGCGAGAGACCGTCCATGTACCATTGAATACCCCAGACTCGTATTTCTCCGCTAACCCTTCTGTGGTCCCAACACCTTGTATTGCAAAAACTCCCGAATCTGCCACAGTGCCAAGATCGGTCAGTAATGGTAACATGCAACACACCTCAATGCCCATTTCGCTTCACCCGCCGGTTGAAGTATCCCGTGGGCGGTCGGCAGTGCGTACGGCGGCAAATATAGAGTCGCGGGAAAGAAGTTCAAGCAAGGGAAACAGTCCCATAGGGAGCGTCAGTCCAACGCCATCCCGTCCTGCCTCCACTTCGCGCAAGCATTCCTCCGGGCCTGTGTATGTTGGAATGAACAAAGAATCAAAGGATTTGATAGTGCCCGCAACCCACGTTGATGTGTATTGGCTTCCACCGCGGCCTGCGGACGCAAGTCGGCATGACGTTCTGGTGACATCCCCCTCGCAGATCGATAATCACGGCTCAATATCATCCAATTCTATTGAAAACCCGCCATTTTCAGGTGGTTCAGAAACGGTCAAGCCGAGTGGAGAAGTTGGGGTGGCTGGGAGCGGGACGACGACGACTACGACGACTACGACATATAAGGCAAGCCGCGCCGTTCCGTCCCAGATTGATTCGAGGCTGATTGAGGATGTGGATGCGGTCGATGGGTCGGATGGTTATCTTTATCATTCGACAAACCCAACGCCCACGAACTCACCCACTTTACCGATAACCAGTCTACCACCATCAGCATCAACACCAACAAACTCCAAACTCCAATCATCGTTCACAGTCCCGGCAGTGGCGGGCGACCACCGCATAGTTTCATCCGGCAGTAAACGCCTGGTGCACCGATCAAACCGCAGTAGTATTGGTGACGGTACCTGTAGTGTGGCTAGAAGCAGTAATTCGCCTTTGTCCCTCGGGGGCGGTGGGAATGTCGAGGAGGGGACTCTTGTCTCCCGAGCGGCGGAGATCGTGAATAGTGCGAGGGGACTGCTTGGTGCAATTTGGGGTGCCGGAGCTGGAGCCACCGCTTCACCCATTGAATCATATCCAACTGCTACAGGGCGGAAAGCTTCTGATAGGTGAACAAAGCTGTTATAATGGGTTGGGAAAGATTCTGGTAGCTCTATCATGCGTCTAGTGAATTGGACTGTTTCTTTCTTCTGTTTCGTTGGTTTCTCTTCCAAAGAACTGCTTTCAACACCGTCTTTGGTTCTCTTGCTGACCACTAATTGGTATGTAGTATCATGAATCTTGTTTTCAATATTCATTGTTCGTCCACTGTCGGTCTTATATAATGACTTTGGTTCTTTTCTGTTTATTTTTGTCCTCTCGTTTGGGTTGCGTGACCATATATCACTTGTCTCTTGTAGCGCGTATTTGCATGCAGCCCAACAAGTTGCAGGGTGATGATTGGAACCGCTTATACCTGCACACAAGACTGCTCTAAGGACGCCCGATGGAAGAATCTAGTCAAATTAAGTTCATGAACCATCTCTGGTTGCACCCCCTTCTCAGATGCAGTTCCCATCTGTTCGATTGTCCTAGTAGGAATCATTCATGCGTTGCGTTCCGAACGGTACTCAACCTTTATGAATAGGATCGATCTCAGTGATACTCGTAATTATGCAATGGACAGTTGAAAAAAAAGAGAGATGCCCTTTCTTCTTGCTGTGAACGTATGTCTTCGTATCTGCGGTCCTGCACTAACCACTTTGGAAGGTTCTGAGCCGCGTGGACGTTCTGGTACCAGATTCCATCCGTCATTACGCTGGGTAGCTGGTGGATTGCGAAGTTTCAATTCTGGCACTGTTCCAACACCGCTGGTCTGGGATGCAACTTGAGGTTTGCCGACTCAAGTACAACCGAACCGAGAGCAATGCATGGCTTATTAGTGGGCCAAGTCGAGGCGAATATTTCAGCAAGGTGTGCATCGACGAAGGCTAACGCAGTCACAATTTGACACAGTCTGTTAGTATGGCGTCCAGCACCAATTCAGACTCAGCTTGATCCCGTTGCGTCATGGATCACTTCCCATCCCCAGTGGGGAAGTCAGACCTGTGCTTGATACGGACAGCGGTAACGAGACTGACCAAAAGCATGCTGCAACCAGGGTACAGGTGCCCCCAAGAGGCAATCATGCATCGTTATTAGTCAGCCTACCAGCGACCGAGCACGAGACGGATATTTACGATGCATAGTTAATGTGGACTAATGAGCTTCAATGAATTTATTTACAAAGACTTGAAGCTTTGGAGCGCAACAAGGGCGCGGCCACTGGAAATGCTCTCTCTCGCGAGCTCCACCCCTTCCTTATACGACGTTGTCAGGCCAGCAACCCTAAGCAAAGCTGCTGCATTCAATAATATGAAATCGAGCACAGCAGAAGGATCGGCTCCGTTGCTAGGGGAGGCCTCATTTGACAACAGAGACAAAAGTAACTCAGCATTGTCACCTGGCGTGGATCCAACGACGCTGCTAAGATGATGTGTAGGGAGGCCAAAATTTGAAGGCTCGATTCGCTCTTGTTGAATATCAGTCCCTTCGAAGAAAGACCACGTCAAGGTTGGCCCAGCAATGCTGATTTCATCCAAATTCTCCGCCCCACACACAACGATCGCCCGCCGAACACCTAACATTCTAAGTGTTTTGGTGAAGATAGGACCCAATGACGGCTCCGCGACCCCGACAACAATGCCCTTGGGCCGTGACGGATTGATCAAAGGTCCGATGATGTTGAAAAGTGTGCGAAAAGGAAGCGCCTTGCGGAAAGGCGCGATTATGGCCATTGCGGGGTGGTAATGGGAGGCAAGGAGGAAGAGAAAAGGGACCTTCGGCAAAATAGTCATGTGGGGCAGTGAGCAGCCTAATGCACGTAAAATGTCTGCAGACCCTGACGAGGATGTAGAGGCCTTATTGCCATGCTTTGAACTGACCCTCAGCACTAATATCAACTATAAAATCTGAGAAATACCTTTATGACACGTGCACCAGCGCCTGCCGCAACGATTGCGGCGGAAGTCGACACATTGAAGGTGTTGTGTCCATCGCCCCAGTGCCCACAATGTCGACATAAAAATCATCGGGATCCTCCAATTGAACGGGAAGGCAACAGTCCATCATGACCCTTGCGCAGGCAGAGAGAGTATCTGGAGTCTTTTCTTTTCCTGAACACTTCAAGGCAGTGAGAAAGGCACCAACTTGTGTTGGAGATGCCCCATCAGGGGTGGCGAGATGTTTGATCGCAAGCTCGATGTCCTGGGAAGTAAACGCTTCTGGATCATCTACGAGCTTCAGGAGCAGTGGCTTGAAGGTAGCTTCGTTCATGGCCATTGGTGCGGTAGAGCGGCGACCGCACGAGGGTGCATGATCCAAGCGTCGGTAAGTTCCAAACCCATCGTTGCGCAAATCTGGGCACGTGACAACAGTGTGACTCCTAGAATGTCACATAGTACTTGTCACAGTTGGAATGATGTTTCATTCTCATTTCTTCCGGATGGAGGCTGTGTCATTGCGTCAATCAGCGCAAAGTGTTCCCCTCAGGAAAGAGGCTGAGAATCCGCATATGGGTTACCCTTGGACAGGCTGGATCAACGTTATCACTGGCGTTATATATGCTACAGGACACTTCCAGATATCGTTCGTCCCCAGCATGGTCAAAGAGAAGGATGGTATCGAGATGGAGTTGCTTATACAACGGTTAATTTTTTTAAAGCAGCAAAGAATTCACTGATGTGATTAGAGGCTTCATATACGGCACGCTGTTCTCGTATCTCGACAGCATGTTCAATGTATTTGTCGTCAACTATGGGCTGTTTTGTATGTTCATTCTCAACCGAATCATGACAGATAGTGGCGGGATCCTTACATACTTGAACTTCGCAACTCTCCGCGTTTTGTTTTTTCTTCACGCGTCGTACACTCTGGAAAGTACATGTTAGTAACTCGGCTGCAAAATACAGCAGATCGGACAGTGGGACTATTGAATATGGTCGATTGTGTGCAAGAGGGACGGACATTATGTAATATTATGGTTTGATCACATGATCAATATTTCAATTGCTGAGTGGTGTGATGCGAATCGAACGATGACAATTTATTAATTAAATAATCTGAATAAATCGGAAAATTGAAATCGAGTCTGATATAAGGTGAATGTCAGAAAGGTCCATCCCCCAGTTATCTCCTCGCCCTCCCTCTTCACCAATCAAGTCTTCTACTTGTCGCCCTTTCACCATGTCTTCCCCTTTCCTCTCTACTCCTACTCTTTCCACCACTCGTCCTCCCAATGTTGGCATCCTTGCCATGGAAATGTGGTTCCCTAAACGCGTATGTTCAATTGGACATCCAAAGACTTGAACTTGTCCTCTTATTAACGTCCTTTACCTTTCCCAGTGCATCTCCGAAGAGGAATTAGAAGTATTCGATGGCGTCTCCAAGGGGAAGTACACTATTGGCCTTGGCCAAGAATACATGGCTTTCAGCGATGACAGGGAGGACGTCAACTCGATTGCTTTGACTGGTACGCCTGCTCCCTATATTCTTCCTTTCTCTCACAGAATCTCATACCAATCAACTTAGTTGTCTCCAGTTTGATGGAGAAATTCAACCTTGACCCGCAGTCCATTGGTCGTTTGGATGTTGGTACGGAGACCATCATTGACAAGAGCAAAGGAGTCAAGACCGTCCTCATGGATCTCTTCCCTAACAATCCTGATATTGAGGGCATCGACTCCAAGAATGCCTGCTACGGTAAGATACCATTCAGTAGCTGGTCAGTTAAATCGCCAGTGCCATTCATAATCCTTCTTTTTTTTTTTTTTTTTCTTCAGGCTCGACTGCCGCGTTGTTCAATGCCATTAATTGGGTCGAAAGCTCTTCTTGGGATGGACGCAATGCTATAGTATTTGCTGGCGATATTGCAGTGTATGCTGAGGGAAGTGCCAGACCTGTGGGTGGCGCGGGCGCCTGCGCTCTGCTCATCGGCCCTAATGCCCCTATCGTTGTTGAACGTACGTGCTATAAAATGTTGTAGCTTTGTGCCCTGTCCTCAAAATTCCCGTCTTTTCCATAGCCGTCCATGGGACTTTCATGGCCAACACGTACGATTTCTACAAACCTCAACTTGCCTCAGAATACCCTCAAGTCGATGGACCCTTGACAATCACTACTTACCTCCAAGCTCTTGACCAGTCATACATTGGTTACCGTGGGAAGGCTCATCGCCTGCAAAAACTCATCAACAATGACGTTTCTGATTCGAAACCTGACCCTCTCATGTCTACGTTTGACTTCTCCCTTATGCACTCACCTTATGGGAAGCTTGTTCAAAAAGGTCACGCTAGATTGGTTCGTCATCGTCAGGCTATGAATTCTAATAAAATCCTTGTTGACTAATGTACGGTTCTGAAGTTCTATAACGACTTTTTGATCGACCCGAACAACTCTCTCTTCGCTAACCTCACCAACAAGGAAGAACTTCTTGCCCTCTCCTATAAGCAATCATTGACTGACAAGTCGATCGAAAAAACATTCCTACCCATTGCAAAGGACCTCTACAAGAAGGCTGTGGAACCCGGTCTCGCCTGCGCCAAACGATGTGGTAATATGTACACGGGATCCCTTTACGGCGGTTTTGCATCTTTGCTCAGTCGTGTAGACTCGGACGTTCTTCAGGGGAAGCGAATCTCGCTTTTCGCCTTCGGCAGCGGGTGTGCTGCGTCGTTCTTCTCTCTTAAGGTCGTGGGGTCTACACGGCACATCTCGGAGAAGATGGATCTTCTGCGGAGGCTAGCAGATATGAAAGTCGTTCCTTGCGGGGAGTATATGGATGCTATGAAGGTGGGATGCATTCTTCGTGATTATACTTACTGACTAATTTGCTTTATGATGTGCAATTGCTTATATTCTCTAGCTTCGTGAGGCCAACCATAATGCTAAAGAGTATGTTCCCACCGGTTCGCTTGAGAACTTATGGCCTGGGTCGTATTACCTTGAGAGGATTGATGACAAGTACCGCCGCATTTATTCGCGCACTTAGATTGTTTTATTGCAATTTCTCTGTCTAACTTCGATACCACGGGCGCTCTCTTTCTTGCCTTTGCCAACTATCAAAATTGTGGACGTGATTTTGGATTACCTTGCTCTTCTGTCTGTAATATTAATAGAATTCCTTCCAATGTTCCCATCACGGCGGTTCAGTCATATCAGCATCCAGACGTTCGATCATATTATCGGGGCAGCCATGACCATATGGTGCGTCCAGAAGGGAGGGGGGAATAAAACGAAAATTCACGGCCTAATCTCCAGGCCTCATGCAACATCCTCACATTTCAAGCAGCTTCTCAATTGACAAGCCCAGATCTCCGTCCGTCGCCTCTAACACCCAATCGGCTACTTCTGGATCGACATGGGGGAAGATCGAAAGCAGCGTTCCACGAGCAGCCTCTGCCGCTTTAGCATGTGCTCGATCAATTTCACGTTGCATGGCGGTGAAATCCAATGGCGTTGACGTTCGTGAAGGTGGCGAGGCGCTAGGATTAAGTAATGAAGACCCTTCCCGCATTATTTGACTAGGAGTGGTTCCTCGGCGGGGGGTAGACGCCCCAGACTTTATTCGAGGTTGATATGGTGTGGAGATTTGAGGTTGAGGTGTTGATGTAGCATTTCCTCCACCCCCATCGGCCGCGGGGGATGGCCACGTCTGTTCCTTCCATGATGAGGATGATGTTTCTACGCCATCGAATGTACTGGCGATGAATTTGCCCAACATGTTCATGGGTTTACTGATTGTTTCCCCTGTTCGTTGGAAGAAACGTCTCGTGTCTTCTGCTATGGCTGCAGGGTTTGGCAACACAGAAGGAATCCGTAGTGGCTGAGCACTCTCATCACCTACGAAAGCATCGTCACGACCGGAGGGCATCATTGAAATGTTTGATTCCGATGTCAGAGACAACTCCTGAATCACTTGTTCGATGTTTCTGATGGACTCAATTGGTAGGCAGGAAAACAGTCGAAGTCAAGCATGCCGCGGACCTTTCGAATTCCTCCTTCGAGATGTTCGAAAGGGAGGTATGATCTAATGTTTCGATAAATGAAACAGCGCCCATCTGCAATTGGGAAGTGGGTCAACCTTGATGATGGCGGCCGTCCAAATTTGTGATGCTTCACCAGACTGGAAAGATAATATGCGATTTCTCCTTGGAGCCTCTCGGGACCCCGAAAGCGATTGATATATCTAAGTTCGCTGTGAGCAAGGAAAAGAAGAGACGAACAGTCTATCTAGCCCACTCAATATTTGACAAGAGATTATCTGGATTGGCCTTGACGATCACGTAGATTAAGAGTGGCAAAAATGAGTCTGCTCCATCTTCGCGTTGCATATGCCGAAGTAAACCTTGGGTACGCAAAATGAGTGCCATAATTGACTGTATCCGTGAATGACGTGCCAAATATGATTTTGGAAGCATTCAGTACGCAGATTGTCTTATCTCTAGGTGCCTTGTAATGATTAATCTTGACCAATTCTGTCGCTCTTTTAAGTTCCACTCTTGCGGAAGGGCGGCCTCCTTACACACCTTGTTCAGCAAAAGCTATGAAGCCATGGCTTCCATCGACGATGGGTATCTCAAGATGTTCCGGACGTAGCCACCCTAGGAGTTGTATTCGCTGTCGGAGAACATGGTCCCGTTCTAGATCGTCATTAGTAACCTGTCTGCCTGCCCGTGCAACACGAGGAGAGAAGATACTAAAGGAAATGAGTATCATAATCAATGGCGCTCTCGTGATGCACGCGAATGCACGCAACTAATCGTAAAGGCGGTTCATTACCAGTTTCTCCATCGCCTCGCAGGCGTTGTCAAAATCTTCCGAAGACATCGATTTCCAGATTTCGCATTCTCTCATTTTAGCTGTAATGAACTGCTCATAATTAGAAGTAGATTGTTGGTGTAACTCAGCAACACTGACATCTTGGAAGTCGTGAATGATTTTCACTTGCTCGTTTACGGAGAATGGCTTCTTGGTAAAGTTGGTTAGAAAGCTGGAGCGAATCGTGAATAGGAGCGGACGAGGGATCATAGACAAAGGCATTACCTTCGAAGGTATCGAGCGATTGGCTCAGCACTCTTTGTTTTCATCTGATCGAGGAAACTCTGAAAGTCGAAGGTAGGTGGGGTTTCGGCTGTAAACGCTTTATGCAGCATAGGCGGAGACGTAGAGAGAGGCCCATCTGAGGCATTCTGGATAGACAACGGAGGCGATCGTATATCCGGAAGGGGGATCGGGGGTAGCACTTTTAGAGAATGGTCCGTTGACGTTTCGTCAGACACACTCTCAAAGTGAGCGCCTGCCGATTGAGTGATAGGAAATTCTTGGGTTTTTGTTATTGTCGGCACTTGTGGTATTGAGTGTGGCTGAGAGGGTAAAGACGAGATTTCAGGAGATTTGGAGTCGACCACGTCCTGATTTTCCCCGGAGTTATCTCGAGAGCCCTGCATATACGTCTGGAGCCCGCCGTCCTCTCAACAACAAGGCTGAGTGAGTAGACGCAATGCCTGTTGAGCGTATGGAGTATGGCGCAGTCAATGACGATGGTATCCTCAGAATCCATCAACGAATCAGTACCGGAAACTTCCACACTGGACTGCACAACCACATCGACCTTCACATCGACCATTTCTGCTTGTTTGGTCGAGCGTTTTACTTTCTCCATTGATAAGAATGAGTGAATCCAACAAGGAGGAGGCCTTGAAATGCATAGCGGTGGCAAAGAGGCATCAGAATAATGGAAACATTGGTGCGTTAGCTTCTCTACTCCCTGTCTCTTCAGTCCTCTGACACATACATTAATCAGAAAGCGCCATAAGATTTTGCAACAAATCGCTATCCCTGTATGAGACTAAGGAAGCCAAAGAGCTTCTTCTCGAGCTAGAGGAGATTCCAGCCCCAACTCCCTCCTCAACTCCCGGTTCAGCTTCCACATCTTCATCCACTCCCAGTCCAACTGCAGGGCCGTCAACGACGGATAACCATACCGTACCAAAAGACCGTATGGAGAGGGTTAGAGTCGTCCGAAGAATTCGTGCCTGCAAGCCTCATGCATATTATGAAATTCTTGGGCTCGAGTCCAGCTGTTCGGAACATGATATTAAGCGTGCTTTTCGAAAGGTAAGTTTCTACATCAAAGGGTAAACTATAACTCTGACGCCCAGACTTTACAGCTTGCAATAATGACACACCCAGACAAGACTGACGTGGAAGGTGCTGCAGAGGCTTTCAAGAGTGAGATAGTTTAATTTGTGTGTTCATCCTGCTCGAGTGCTTATTGAAACACAGTGGTCAGCAAGGCGTGGCAAATTCTTGGTGACCCCGCACAGCGAGCACGATACGACGCCGCACCACACGCGGATCCAACGTCCCGTTTCTCCGGCGATTCTGAGCGCTCGCCGTTCGAAACACGGGAGGTTTCTCCTGAAGAAGTTTTTAATATGTTTTTCGGAGGTGGCGCACCGTTTGCTGGCACCGGGGGCTTTGGTGGTACTCCAGGTAGATTGTGGCTGCCTTTTTCATGAATGTCTTAGTTGATCCCTTTGTCCTAGTGTTCACTGCAACTTTCGGACCCAATGGCTTCCAGCGAACCTATACCAGACCAGCAGCTGCACAAGGCAATGCACAACAGCATGCTCGATCCATTTCTCCCCTTCTTCAAGCCTTGCCCCTCATTTTACTTTTTGCTATCTCTTTCCTTGGCTCGCTTCCGAACATCGCTAGTTTGTTTTCCGCTCCAGACCCTGGATACAGTTTCACACCATCCCGAGCTTACTCCAGCGAACGCATCACATCTGATTATAAGGTGCCATATTATGTTGATAACGCAGAGTTCGAGCGGCACCCGATATACCAGTCAATCCCAGCAGCCTCAAGGCCATTGAAACAGGCGGGAGCATCATCGTACAAGTTGCATGTCTTTGAGCAACTGGTGGAACGGACATACGTGGATACGGTGCGAAACGGGTGTAGCCGAGAGCTGGAGGACAAGCGAAGAAGGATGGAGCAACACGAGGGATTCTTCGGAATAGGTGCAGACTGGCAGAAGATTGAGCAGATCAAGGGAGAAAGCACACCTTCATGCCAAAAACTAAGGGATATGGGATTGCTACGGTATTAGCTATTGTTTGTTGCTTTAGTATCACTATCTCTCATATTACATTATCGGGCGTGGAAGAGACTGTTCAGTGGCTCAGCGTGGGCTAGCATGATATCCTGAACACTTTGCTAGGCTCGAGTCAACAAACACTCACTGCCGTTGTGCATAATGCTAACTTGACCCACCGACCATGAATGATCTAAAACATAATTTGTGTGTCAAACGTTGGTACTCTTCATAATTACACCTGAAAATTAAGATTATGTACAATTTCATGGAGGCATGAATCATAAATGGAGCAACTAAACATGACTCGAAAATGCAAATCGTCCTGAAGCGCTACCCCTCATTAGCCGTTTAATCCGAGCTAGCTCTGCCGAAATCTCTCTATTAACAAATAGAGATGGACACAACTCCTTAAGGACCTTAAAGATGATGAAGAGAGTCGGACTGACCGCAGTGATCTATCGGTTAACTCATCTTGAACGTTGCTGTGGCTGATATCCTTCTGTAGCTTAGCAAGTGCGTTCTCCACATGAGTGCAAAACTTGTCATCTAAGTCTCGGGCAGCCTGACAAGACAAATCTTTGTTGCTTTGTTCCGCTCTATGACAGGGTTTCTCAGTCGAGAAGCGTTGGTTAATGGGGGACGTAGACGCACTTTGCGGAGTTTTGGAGTTTAATCAGCCGTTGGTATTTCGCTGCCAACCCCTCGGACTCAGTTCTCCATACCTTCTCCTTACGTGCCATTTCATCTCTGAGCAGTTTAACCTCCTGCTGCCACCCTTCCATCATGCTTTTGACACTGTCCCGCAGTGTTACATACTCACGGGTAGCCTTCTGGGAAGAGGTTGTGGCTTGGTTCATCATTTCTTCCATTTCCCGCAAAGACTTTTTGGCTTCAGCAGAAGTCGTCTTCAAGTTTGCTTTTAGAGAACCCGCCTCTGCTTCCGCTTTCCGGGCACGTTCCAAGACCTGTGAGGTGGGATGTCATAAGAAGCGGAAATCTGATCATGATAATCGGGGATACCTCTTGCAGTAGCCGTTCTTTGCGAGCGACTACATTATTTAAAGCCTCGTTCTCTAGCCGCAGACGATCACGACCATCTTTTAGGTCCTCTACTTGACGGGTTAACTGGTGGGCAATAATCAGCGCAAGGTAAATTGCGACTGCGGTTGTACGAACTTGGGCCACAGTGCGCTGAGATAATCTGCGGTTAAGAGGTCCCGTTATTACGGGCAGAAGGTAGTACAGCAAAATCACCTCTCACCTTAACTGTGCCTTGGTATTTTCCAATGCATTTCGAGCATTAATCACTCCGGCCTGCAGGTCTGCAAGCACTTTTGTAGTGCCGCCAGTGATCATCATGGATCGTCGTGATGGGTTTGGAGAAGATGACGCAGGGGATGATGGCGTAAGAGGCAGGGAGTGCCGTCCCAGAAGAGCTGAGGATGGCGATGAAATAAAGGGATCCATATCAAGACTGGTGTCGTAGTTGACGGGTTCCTCAGCGAGCGCTCGAGCGTGTCCTGTTCGAGTCCCGATAGCTTATTAAAATCACGGTTAGTTACCTGTCCATCACTTACCTACAGAGCTTATCGGTATACCTGTGATGGAACGAAATAAATGAGAATGGGGAGCGCTCGCCAGAGGCAGCTACGAACGTGACATGCTTCTTGTTGGACTCTCTTTACCATTGAATGCACCATTCCTACTCTATTTCACGGTAAGCCCAGTAGGCAGAAGGAATCCCCTCGTAAGGGAGAAAGGACTCACCGAAACGGGTGAGATTGAACCTTTGTCATTCTCAAGAACTGTTGGTAGTGGGAGGAGGCTGTTTTCCCCCGCCAACGCCGCAAGTGCCGCGGAGGATCTCCGCCTATCGAATAATATTGGGGAGGTACGCCCATCTGATAATGCATCGTCAATAATGGACACCGGACGTGGGGATGTGGGCGCTTCGACGCCAAAAGTGTTGTGATTGCGGGAAGGGAGTTCAGCCGTAGGGGTAGAGACGGGGATCCTGGAGGTGCGCGAGGATGGGCGAGGACTAGAGGGGAGCGACATGCGAATGCTTTCTAAGGGTGCATTCAATATGACATTGGGGACAGTGCGGACGATGGTGTTGAACGTTGGTTTCGGTGTTTGGATTTTCAATTCAATCATTCTGCACAGCTCCTTTGCCTCAACCGAGAAATCAATGGCACATTGTGTAATTGCCATCTTTGCCCACTGACACCTTTTGTCATTAATTCCGTTCACTAGTCTGTGCCGTTTCCTTAAACTATATTAGAGCTCTCGAGTCAAGGATCATGTATGCGTTCACGTGTACATTGACAGCCCCCAGTTCTGCGTCCCTGGCTTGACATTACTATTCTCGAGTGGATTTCCCTAGAAATTGCCATACCAAGTGGGATTGGTAATGCATTCCCGATAATACGGTATCTCTGTAGAACCATGAACAAAAATAACACGCCCCCTAACAATATCGATATGGCGACTCACGTCTTCATCTTGGTCTAGAACGGATTTAAAATCTGTGCTGTCACTGAACCCTTGAGCTCTGGCATACTCTCGCACCGTCAGAACCCGCCGTTGCTGGAGACAGACCTCAGTCTTTGATGTGTGTAGCAGATCATCACATACTGAGGGATGCAGGCATTGGCCTTGACGATGAAGAGGACTGATGACGGCGTTTGTTGTTTGGAAAAACCCATATTCTTCCACACGGCCGAAACCCCCCGGATATAAGTAATTCTTCATGGCGGACCCCGTGGAACCTATGTATGCAGGAACACTCAGTTGCTGCGGCAGGGCTAGCGGATATTCATCAGGATCCCTGCTCATATGCTGTTCTTCAGTTCCCTACCGCGGTGGTCCACTCCGGGAAAGATAGGCACATTAACTACCCTTCAATAGAGGCCTATCAGTTTGCAACAATCCTGGAACAGTGCTACCGACCTTGAAGTCGTTAGTTCTCCGTAAACAATGGTTCTATGGTATGTGACTTTAGTTGATCCAAGCCGCATCCACTCCTGATAAGGTGATTTCGGTGGGGTGGGGTAGTCTACATCGTGAAACCCACAGAATTGGCCCTTTCTCGGTGTGATGGTTGCAAGGTCATCAAATGCTGTGTGACTCATTGGAGCATTATTTTGAGGAAGAGGGTCTTTCCTGGCAAAAGGTTAGTTCGTGTACGGAGCTGCAGAAAACAAAATGTTACCAATGGAATCCTGGTAAGTCCGAAATTGCGTCACCAACAGTCACTGGGTGGTGAGCGTAGCACGTATACCCGGTGTCACTGTTTGGTACTTGTTGGTAGATTGGTAGTGAAATGTGGTGGGTCTGCGGGAATTGGTGCGTAGCGCACGGGAAATATGGAAGCTCTGCATGCCCTTGAGATGCAAGATAAATCATCCTCTCTCGGCGTTGTGGCGCACCAAAGAATCTGGAAAGGTGAAGCTCGATAATGACTTGAGCTCTTTTAAGTGCTTACCCAGCCTGAAGTATTCCAAATCGCACCTGGTAGCTACCAGGGTTCGATGATGAGCGTTAGCCAAATTTGCAGGCGGTTTTACCTACCCAAGATCTAGAAGTGTGCGGATGACGAATTTATGGACCCCCCAACTTATTCCGCCTTCAATTTTCCCATTCTTTGCGTCTTTACCCTGCAAAGGGAAGCGCGCCATGTTTATAACATTCTCAACTACCAGAAATCAACCAACTGGTGATGGCACTGAGTTGAAGTGGCGTACTTATGACATATGTAGGCTTGAAGCATTCCACAAGCGAGAGACCTGACGCTATCAACATGTTTCTCCTGTCACCACTCGAGCGAAATCTAGACAAGCGATGAGTCTCGGCCTGTGATTCCCACAAACTCTGCACACCGGTTTAAACCCGAGAAACCAGCAGAAGGTGGTGTTATGGACATGATGTCCACTTCACCTGACGTGGGTAGAGCATGTTCAGTTGTCCCAATCTGGATGATAGACCGCAAAAGCTTGCTAATACATTGATTAAAGACTCTGGCCTCTAGAATGGAGTATTGTCAGCGGTTTGGAAGCATCTACCAGCCACGTTACCTGGGTATTGGCATCTGGGATGAGACAAATGAGTCATGTCACAGCGAAGATTGAGTTAGCACTCACCGAAAAGTTTCGCATGCAGAGCGTGAAGAATCAATACCCCAGCGAGGAGTTGCAACTCCTGCCAACTGGAAGGCTTGTGAAACACCGCCACCGCCACAGAATACATCCATCAATTTTGGTAAGGCCGAAGCAAAATGAGGGTGTTTGCGAGATCATTCTGCACGACACACAACGCAAGACAATGGCAGATCTGCCGTATTGCTGCCCAAAGTGTCTGGGATGTAGAACAGATATGGGTCTTGTAGCAGGAGATGATTCCAGTCCGTGTGACGTTCCAACTCAGTTTGGCCAAGGACCATACACTTCCCCAGCAATCCAGAATCTGTGCATAGTCTGACTTCCTCCTGAACTGGATATACATCTCTCTGGATCATCACCTGAAGGGTTGAAGATTCGGGGAAAATCGATGGACACCCACGTTTTTGCCACGCTTAAAATATACTACCCTGATGTCGTTCGTTGGGGCAATGTGAACGAGCTGCACGATGTCACAGATACCAGATGACGAGATCATGAGCGCATAGTCAAACTTGTGATATATTTGACTGTTGACTTTAAGGACTTCTTCACTACGGAGCGGTGTAGGGTGCTGCATATCCAGGGTTCTGTGTTCAACACATGTCGAGCAAGTAGGATTCCGTATAAGCTGATATGGATCCACTTCCGGGGGGAACTATGGAAAGACATATCCAGGGATGCCCATGATCGCCTGGACGATATCCTTCAGGATCATGTCATGGGTATGTCGGATATCATACCTAACGAAGTACAGGTTTCCAGGATCCTCTTTTGAGTATCTAGGGACGCGTTCATTAACGCGCAGCATTTGAACGTGAACAAGATCCTCAATTAGATCAGCGGTGATCGAGTTACAGCCATTTGTGATATGAAGTTCGCGCGGGTGATGAGCCTCCAGCAAGATGGTTTTTGAGGAGTGCACAAGCCACTGAACATGCGCCATCTTTGCGTGCTTCCTTTGAAACATCTGGATAATGCGTGCGTACCTATGCAAACATTTTCAAGCTCGGGGCACCAGAAAATCTTTTCACTCACCACTTCGTGTTTGCGTCCTGATTGGATGACCTTGATGCTTGATCACAAAATATTTTCTCCACAGCCGGTGGCTCGCGTAAACAACCGGCGGGAATTGTGACGTAGTCTCCCACCTAACACACTAATCAGCTATACATATGATGGAGGTATACCCATTATGACCTGGAACACCGTATTTTGTATCTGTGCGGTATGATAGAACACTTTGTCTCCTTGAATCTTGATGCTGTTTCCTTTCCACCGAACAACTCGGGATTTTGCATTCCACAGCGCTTCTTCAGCCCTGAAGCTCGGATGGTAATCATTCCCATCAGTTGCATTGCTGAAAATTTCATCATCGAGCGACGATTTTGCTGGAAATTCGGGCGCAGTCCATAATTTTGCGAAGTTTCGCTGAACAAGCGCAGTCATGTAAGGTGGACTAATCCCATCCTGCGTTGATAGGTCGGGGTGCTTGCGCTTGGTAGAGCCTGTTCTGCTGAGCATTGCAAATAACCCGTTGGCTGAAGTATTAAAATTGAAGTACTGTGTGCGGCAGTATGTGTGCCTATCGGCATATGCCGTACTGTAGCGACACGGGTGAAAGAAGTTTGGAAGAGACATCGAGTAATATCGGATGGTGGATAAGATGGTTGAAGAAATGACACAGATACTGTAAATAGACAAATATACACATAATATTACCAGTGCTGGATCAAGTATCAGGTGATGTGGAGGAAAATAAAGCGGAATTAGTGAAGTCGTAAGAGGGGAACGCGACCCCCAGTGCAGGGGTCGCGCGATTTGCTGCTGTAGTGCGGCCCCAAGAAGTGTCGATGTTTGTGTCAGCAGTTTTTGCGGGGCGAAGGGTATCATCGCTTGATCCTGTCTCAGCCGGCGGCCCGATGAATCAGGAGGCAGCGCAGGGCATTGAGTGTCGGGGGCTTCCAGCTCATGTGTGTGAACTAAAGACATGAGAGGCCGTAGGTAATGGAGGTAGTGGAGAGAAGTGGGGTGATGATTTCCGGCGGGCTCGGTCTGGGCTTACGGGGCTACCATTGGCGTTACCACTATCACGCCTCATCACTCTTAGAGGTAGTGGAGAAAGTGAGAAGGGGGGTTGGGGTGATGGAACCCGCACTCCTCCGGCCAGTGCCCACAGGGCTTACGGGGGCCACCATTGGCGCTACCACTATCATCCCAAAAAGTAGTGGAGAAAGAGAGAAGAAGGGTTGGGGCGATGGCAGCCCGCACTCTTCCGGCCAGCCCCCTCTGGGCTTACGGCATTGCGGCGTTGCCACTACACTACACCATCCTCCCTCCAGATGTTATGGACCTCATTGGTTTGAACAGGGGCACCGCGTGAATGTTGACCGTGCCGAGTGTTTGTTGTGACAGCAGAACTTCCCGAGAACATTAAGTAATGGGTCACGTTACCGATCTCGTTTGCCTGACGCGTCTGGACACATCGAAATCGACGCGCAGGCAGTTACGTGTGCGCGTAATTCCGATGTCGGACCACAGCATAACCCAGAAACATGCAACTGGACCACAAAGCAGTGCGCTGGCGCCTCCGCGCATTTACAATGCCATATACTCTGCGGTACAAGTATTCGAGTGCATGGTCCGCGGCATTGCGGTGATGCGCCGTCGGGTGGACTCGTATGTCAACGCTACACAGATATTAAAGGTTGCTGGAATCGACAAAGGCCGGCGTACGAAGGTATCAATTCTTCCTCATATTCCATGTGCACATCGATGATGATCCTCCCCGTGAACAACCCTCTTTTTTTCGCCCTCCCAAAGATTTTAGAGAAAGGTTTTCTGGCCATCTTCTTGTGTTAAACTTTTTTAATTCATATCTTATCGTCAAGAGATACTCCCAGGAAAGCACGAAATTGTTCAAGGAGGTTATGGGAAGTACCAGGGCACATGGATTCCTCTGGAGCGAGGACGTGAATTGGCCACTCAATTCGGCGTCGCACCTCTGTTGGCGCCCTTGTTCGACTATGTTGCCCCAAATGCCTCTATGCCCCGACTACCAGTACCCAATGCTATCCGATCTTACCAGTCATCACCTCCATCAACGGCGAGTCATGTTGGATCCCATCAGGCGTCGTTCCCATCGACGCCTCAGTCTGCCGCCAAGATGAGTCCTTCGACGTACCAATCTATGAGGCCGCCTGCTCCACAAACAACCGATGGCCACTTACAGTCGCCATTCCCCAATAGCGCGCCATCCACTTCTTCTCCAGTTCATCCCCGGCCCTCCGCCGTTTTTTTCAAAAAGAAGTTGCGGGAGGACCTCCCGAAATCTACTCACCCACATCGTTCCTTACAGGATGGTGCGGACAAGCTGAGCGATGGCAAGACACTGACTCCCCCCACCAAGCGTGTACTGTCACCAGTTGACCCCACTACTCGCTTTGCAACCGAACCGAGCCCCTCGCATGCGTCACGCTCTTCGATCCTTGGCAGTCGGTCACGAACTATCCTATCTCATATTAACAATGATCAGCAGCCGAATATGGTTCTTGAGCAACTGACACACCAAACTGATATCGAATTAGAAGGAATAAACATGACAATTGATGACGAGGGGCACACCACGCTTCATTGGGCTGCGAATCTATCTCGGATCTCTTTAATGGAAGCTCTGATTGATGCAGGTGCAGACATCCATCGTGGTAACAACATGGGAGAGACCCCTTTGATCCGGTCAATACTTTCGTCCGCGGCATTTGCATCACAATCACTTCCCCGTGTCCTTGAGTTATTATCGGCATCGATTCGTACAGTGGATGCATTATCCCGGTCAGTCCTCCATCATGCTGCACTTGTGGCTGGCGTGAAGAATCGAGCGTCATCAGCACGCTATTACATGGAGACTATCTTGGAATATGTTGCTCGTAATGAGGGTGCTGAAGGCTTGAGGAGCATAGTAGATCTCCCAGACCTTCACGGAGACACCGCGCTGAATCTAGCCGCCAGGGTCGGGAATCGAAGCCTGGTGCGGAATCTCTTAGATGTCGGTGCCAATCCTTTGTTGGCGAATAAGCTCGGATTACGACCTGGCGATTTCGGCGTCGAGCATGGAGTAGGCTGTCAAACTATCTTTCAATTGCTTCCGCTGACCAGCCTGACTAGAGCCTTGATGCCAGCAAAGCGGGTGATATGATTTCTGCACTCCGCACCGGCCCTACTCTTCCTGTTCGACGAAGGAAGGACTTAAGCAATGGTCAGTTAGTTTGGTTGGTCTTGCTTGCCTCTTGGATTACTGAGCTAATATTATAGAAGTATTGTCAATCATCGAGGGATTGGATATTGAATTTAATGAGGAAGCCGAGACCAAGCGGAAACAGCTAGATGATATTCAAAACCGACTTCGCACCGCTACTCGGGAACTTGCCTCTCAGCGCAGACTTATCCAGCATTGGCAGGCCGCATGTTCGGAGTTAGACCAAATCTTGGAACGCATCAAAAATGTGAAGGGAGCAAGAGATTCTGACCAAAACCTCTTCCATATTAAAGCAGGGACAGCGTCAAGAAGTGGCAGCTTGGATCCGCCTCTCCTGGAAGACGATTATCCAGTGTCTCTAACAACTCTACGAAGGAAACGGTTTTGGCACTCGCATGCGAATCAAATAATCAGCGACCGACTGAGTTTCATGAAGGGACAGAATGCAGAGAAAGAGTTGCAATGCAAGAAACTTGTTAGCCTGTGTACGGGTGTTCCTCTTGAGAACGTGGAGCCCGTGAGTGTTGTCTCAAGTACTAATTTATGCACTCAATTGCCACCCAGATGCTTGAGAATTTGCTTGTTGCGATGGAAAGTGACGGCACTGTCCCCGAAATCGGTCGCGTCTCGGGGTTCATGCAGAAAATCAAGTCATCAAACGGTTGAGGCACCTTGATAGCGCCATCCGCGATGTAATACACAGGAACATTATGTTTGTTGCGACAGTAGTTATTCTTGTGCGAAAAGCTGGAAACTCCTGTTCCAAGAGCCCGAAGCAATGTATTCCCCTCCCAGGGAGATGTCAACAGACATCACCTTGCCTGCATCCGTTGGTATGGCCTTGACCAACTGCCAGTCATCTGCAGACCAGATCTTTACAAGCCCATCATAGCCCGAGCTCACAAGGTATATCCCATTAGTAATTAGTTCGTAGGGATTGCCTTGCAGATGTTGCACCCGTATTGGGTCAAGGATATTGTAATAGGGGTTCACCAGTTGTCTGTAGAATCTGACATCTGAGACCGTCGATTTGTGGGCTGGGACTGTGTGAAGTGCTTTCAAGGATCTCATGTCCCATATTCGGATAGTATCGTCACCTGAACCAGTCGCTATTTGAAAACTGATTAAAGTCAACGCAGGGCGGGAACATCGTAAATTGAAGAATACCCATTTGGAGAAAAATCAATTCCGAATATTCCCTGTGCATGTCCATCCAATACCATGGCAGTGCGGCCAGTTCGTAGATCCCACACACGACCAATGCCATCGAGTCCACTGAAGGCAAAATAAGCATGCTCATTTCGACGGAATTAACGAACCATACATACCCGGAAGCCGCAAGCGCTCCATCATCCTGGAATTGGACGGCATAAACCTCCTTTGAGTGACCCTCTTGCCGCAGAATCTCGACAGGGTACTCCCGGCAAATATCCCACAGCCTCCAGGTACCATCAAAGCTAGCACTGGCAATAAATAGTCCTGACGGATGGAATGCCATTCGAACAACTCGGTCTTCATGACCACGCAGCTTCGAAAGTGGCTTGTCTCTTAAGGCTCGATAAGAAGTTGAATGGGGAGATCAACATCTTATAGCTTACAGGGTAAGTGACCATAGCAAAACAGATTTATCCCCGCCTCCGCTGGCGAGATTCACAGTTTCCGGGCTGAGGCTGACAGTGGCTTTTGGATGCCATGCAATCCCACCCACTCGATCAGTATGGCCTTACCGGCCAACGAATAAGCAATTCGTCATTTCTAAACCATTAAAATGAGCATACCTTGGAAGTGTGTCTTCTGAGAACAATTGGGGATATCCCACAACTTGATGTGACCCGACCAGCTTCCCGTTGCCAGTGTCTTCCCATCTGGGGAGAAACGGGCCTGTGAAATGCAACGTTCATCGCCAATTTGAGATCCTAGTTGGCTAAAGGTCTACATCAAGGCCACTTAAAGATGTGAGGGTCAGTTCTTTGATGCCGCACTCACTTTGAGTTGGGAAATCACTTCCTTCCTCGTATCGATAGTGCGACTTAGTGGAAGTTTGCTTTCTATTCTCTGGTGGGCTAATCTTGCGCGAGCTCTTGGGAACGATCAGCCAATCGGAAATTTGTACAAACGAACATAAAATCACACCTGGGAAGAGACAGTTCTGCAATTTTTCGCCGAGCTTCGAGCAAGTCCTTTCCTCCTGCTGTCCAGAATTCTTCCTCCTAAAAGTCGGTCAAAGTTGCTGAAACAGACGTGACTAGATGACATTACCTCGTCAGATTTGGATCCCTCAGACTCTTCATCTTCGGCAAGTTCTCCGTCAGCAACCATCATTTGTGACAAGTGATGTTTCAGACGATCACGGCGATCAGGAGCCTTCCACAAGCCATCTAAGCCTTGTACAACATGCATAATGAATGTCCTTACATACCCGTTCTCCAAAGAGTGTTATTGGTTGTCCGATTTCACGAAGACGCACTCTAACTTTCGCGTCATCTGTAGGCACCGCCAACGAACGCGCTCCTTTACGACGATCCAGCTCCTCTAGGAGTGCACGGCTCTCAGCTCTGGCTCTCTCCGAACTTTGTCCTCCGAGGGAGTAGTCAACATCATCCACTTAAGAAATGCAGAGCGCAGTTGGTGCAATGAAGATAATGGTCGTCCACGTTGTCAGACGTACCAAGGCTCTCAAAGCTAACGCCATTATTTTCCATGGTGACCTAACGCGCTAAGAATTGCAACACTTCTGGTACAAGGCTATTTGTTGTTTGTTGTTGACGAGCCGTTTTGCTTCCATCCAACCCAAACAGCGACCAGTCCGCATGGCTGAACATCGTGGTGGACTCCGCAATCGCACTTCTCAACAGAATACATCATCCGAAAGTGACCGCAGCAGGCCGTCAACATTGTCAGATCCAGATGTCCCAAGGGTGTGTCCTAATGCCATCTGAACTGTGGACTCACCACTCAAGTGTTGTGTGTACAGCGCCAACGGATGGTGTCGAACCCAACGTCACCATCCCCGTTCGAAACCAAAAAGTTTTCCATCATAGTCGCCTGCGCTGTCACCTTTATTGCCCTTTTGCTTCGTTTTTACAAACTTAATCACCCTGATGAAGTGGTGTGCGCACGATCATCTTGCGCAATGAAAAATTTTTTCACCCCATTTATGCAGCTTCGACGAGGTGCACTTCGGGAAATTCGCGGGGCATTACATTAATCGAGAGTACTACTTTGATGTCCATCCACCACTCGCCAAGTTGCTATTGGGAGCGGCAGCCTGGTTCGTCGGATTTGATGGTAAATTCGATTTCGAAAAGATCGGTGATAGCTACACGAAGAACAACGTCCCATATGTGGGCATCCGGGCGCTTCCTGCGCTGTTGGGGAGTCTCACCGTACCAATTGTGTACGCCACAATGAGGGAAACTGGTTTCCCTATCGCGATTGCCGCATTTTCGGCAAGCCTTGTTGCTTTAGGTAGGGCTATCGACAAGATCGTCTTACTCTTGCTGATACTAGGGATTTGCAGATAATGCCCATGTTGCACAGACGCGCCTTATCCTTCTTGACGCTGCTCTAGTTTTCTTCATGGCATTGTCCCTCTATTCTTACATCCGATTCAGGAAGCTAAGATATTAGTCGGTGTTCTAGTCGTTGATTTTGGGGAGTCGGCTAAATAACATTTACGACAGTGAGTTCACAAGCGAATGGTGGCTTTGGTTATCGGCCACTGGATTTTTCCTCGCTTGCACCCTGGGATGCAAGATGGTAGGATTGTTTACATTCTTAACCATCGGTTCTGCTGTCATCGTGGATCTTTGGGACATCCTTGATTACAAGAAGGGGTATACCATGGTACGCTTTTACTGTATCTTAATTATGCCTTGGCTTAAAGGGTGATTGAAGGATCACATGTGGAGACATTTCTCTGCAAGGGCCTTGTCCCTTATCGCGCTTCCTCTTTGCGTGTATCTCTCCTTTTTTTGGATCCACTTCAAAGTTCTGAAGTATTCGGGGCCTGGCGATTCTTTCATGAGCCCTGCTTTCCAAGAAACACTTCACGGAAATGAGCTGTTGATGGACAGCCAAGGTATGTGTGACAATGGGCACCGATTTGATCTGCTAGCTAATTTTATCGGACAGAAATTCGGTATTACGATATTATCGTCTTGAAACATAGAGATACAAAGGTATTTCTGCACTCACATATTGAGATGTATCCTCTCCGCTATGAAGATGGGCGTATCAGTAGTCAGGGTAACTATTGTATTGAGCTCGAGATGCTTTGACGAAGAGTACTCACCTCTCACCCAGGCCAACAGGTCACCGGATACCCTCACAACGACACAAACAATCACTGGCAGATCATTCCAACGAAGGCTCTCCCAGAAGCAGGCCATGGGCGCGTCGTGCGTCACAGTGATATCATACAGCTTCTTCACGTCAATACCCAGTCCCATCTCTTGACGCACGACGTTGCATCACCATTGATGCCCACCAATCAGGAATTCACAACCCTAGCCAAAGATGACCACAGTCGTTATAACGACACGCTTTTCCAAGTCAATATCGCTGATGGAGACGATGGCCAAGCCTGGAAGACGAAGTCTGGTCATTTCCGTTTAATTCATATCCCAACACGGGTTGCGTTATGGACACATCCAGAACCTTTGCCACGTTGGGCGTTTGGTCAACAGGAGATCAATGGAAACAAAAATACACAAGAGCGATCAACTATTTGGTTTGTGGATACCATAGTTGCAGACGAGAGTACGCCCCCCAATCATGGATCCATTTTGTGCACTGAACAATGATTGCTTCCTAGACGGACTAGAAGCTCATGACCGTGGAGAGGCTACATCACCCAGGACAGTTAAGCGCATGTCCTTCTTCCGCAAGTTTGGGGAGCTACAATTGTTAATGCTTCAACACAACGCCGGTCTGACGGCATCACACCCATACGCCACTGGACCTATCAACTGGCCGTTTCTCCTTAGTGGTATCAGTTTCTGGACCGAGAACGAACAAAAACAGCAGATATACCTCGCTGGGAATCCACTTGGTTGGTGGATTTGTGTGATGGCGTTGTCTGTGTTTGCTGGAATTATTGGGGCGGATTTAATGGCACGCAGGCGAAATATCAAACCCATCCCAGAAGGTGGGCGGGCCCCAAACCTCTTCATGATCTTAACTCAAAATTGTCTCAGGAATCCGCAACCGACTTATAAATTCCACTGGATTTTTTGTTGCGGCATGGGCATGTCACTATTTCCCTTTCTTCCTCATGAATCGCCAGTTATTCGTACATCACTATCTACCGGCGCATCTCTCATCAGCACTGGTAGCAGGATCAGTGTTGAACTTCCTCTTGACAGAGTCTATCGAATACCCTATTTCTATTGAGCGTCGGGGCTTCACTCGGTCTAAGGCCCGCACCTACACCGATTTCGGATTCCGCGGTTTTGTGGTTACGGCGGTGCTCTTTACTATTCTTACTTTCTCATTTGTATTCTTCTCTCCATTGACGTATGGCACACCTGGGTATGTGTATTTCGCTATCATAAGCCATCCCACTCTTACGGAAATGAATTAGACTGTCGGGTGAGGAGGTAAACAAACGACGCATTCTATCCAGTTGGACGCTTCATTTTGCTGGCAAAGAGCATGAGGTGAGGTCCGCGATGCGTAGAAAGCACGGCAGTAGCTGATTAGTTTTTTTGTAGAGTACGTGATTTGGGCTTGTGATGGGTGTATCGAACCCTACATGATTTGGCAGGGCTTTTAGTCAATGCTCATAATACGTAGTTTTTATCGTAATGTGTGCTCAGCAATTGAAAAAAATTTGAACCTAAATATTGACTTGACGATCACATGATGAGACGGCGAGATCCGTAAAACTTGCCAGTTGTTACAGCTTTAGCCTGCTCGCAGTCCTTGTTCTAAGATGGTGCGTGAACGGAGCGCTGACGCACTATTATCCCGGAACTTGATTGCTTCATTTCTGCCAGGGTAAACGTACGAAAAAGGTTGGGGTGACTGGGAAGTATGGAACAGTAAGTGGTTGGCCTAAGATCGCTTCACCCAAGCCTGACCGTGCAATTCAGCGATATGGTGCTTCCCTTCGAAAACAAGTAAAGAAAGTATGGATTTGTGCCAAGTATTAGAAATATCCTTCGCATTCCTGAGATGATTTTAGATGGAAATCACACAGCACGCCCGGTACACCTGTACCTTCTGTGGCAAGGTATTTAACCCATCGGCCCTTTTTTTGGTTATTCCTGAATACTGGCTTGTACCTCCAGGATGCTATCAAGCGGACGCATGTGGGTATATGGAAATGTCGAGGCTGCAAGAAGTCTATTGCTGGTGGTGCCTGGACGGTGTCTACTACGGCGGCTGCCACTGTGCGAAGGTATTATAGTCCTCGTTCCACTTGTCTGCGGTGCCTGATCACTATATCCCACTAGTACCGTTCGCCGCCTGCGAGAGCTGACAGAAGCCTGACCAGTTTATATATCTATACATTGCCCTCCATGATGATAATGACAGATGCGTTCCTTTCCTAACGAACACATAAATAAATTGGCTGAGATCTTGATCTGTACAAGTGTACATGTGAGGGTTGTTAGGGAGAAAGGAGTCAAGTAGGTTCGTCGCCACTTTCATTCTCCCCTCTCTCGCTGTATGAAGACCCATCTTCGCTGCTTTCGTCAAACGTCAATGGGATGAACTCGTCCGTCTCTACCAGTTCATCTCGTTGAAGGTTGGAAGGCTGCACAACTGAAGAATCATCCACATTGTGTTTCGCTCGGATAATGTGGGGCAACTTGCAACGGGAATTAGGACAAGACCCGGAGGTTGCAAAATCTGGACATTCTCGAACATGCTGCCTGTCACAGTGCAAGCCACGGTCGCAGTAACCTAGGATTGCAAAATCGCGGCAGATACCCTCCTTGTGACTAAGCTTAACATGAGGATACTTGCATGAAGAGCCTTTGTTGCAGCGAGCTCCATTTGAGAAGTGGACACACACAGGGACACGTTCAGGAGTTGGCATGTGAGAGAGTAGGCAGGGTTTGTTGTTGCAGTCATCGTTCATAAAGCGAGGACAAATAGCGACCTTTTCAGGATTATGCTGATATGGGCAGTGCAAGCCATTCGTACAGAACCCTGAGTGCAGCAACCGAATGCCCAGTAACGTTCTCGTAAGATACCTAATGGACTGACAAAACGGATAAGCTGTACCTCGTGTTGTGAATTTTCTACATGGTTCATCAAGAGACGATGGCTTAGGCGGTCGAGGGACAGATCTGGGTTCCTCATTAGCGCAGTGACAGAATGGTAGACTTGGAGAAGGAAAACTGACTTATCAGAACGCGTTCGGCGATTTTGGCCAATGACTCGACGTTTTAAATGAAATCCAGGTCCTACATACAATGATTTGACCGAGTGGCGAGAGTGCGAAAGGTTCGTTCCAGAGCGTCCTAGTCTGCTGGCGGCAACCAAGTTGCCACGTTTCGTTCGTACCATGGTGGCCTGTCGAGCCAATGAAGTGGACGAGAAACTTGATGACACAATGTTGCTGGAAGAATCATGAGATGTTGATGCATTTGGTGGCGTAGTGGTACCCGTCGAGATTGTAATATGGTCGCGTGGCGGAGTTGATGATGCATCATCGCTATTGTGCTTGCGGACAAGGGATCGCTTGGAGGCTGTAAAAACTGTGCCATCTATGGTGACCTCGCGGGATGGCTCATGAGTTGGTGTATAAGTTTGAGCCCTGTGGGTCGAAAGAACGCTGCGATGGCTTAACAAGGGACTCTGCGATATTGTTTTGCGCGAAATGGCATCTGGGAGCTGATGTGAGACGCCTGTCGTTGGGACAGGGAGGTGGAAAACCTACTCTTTAGTCGCGCAATCTCTTGCAGAAGCTGTTCGTCAGTTGGCATCATGTACTGAAGTGTTAGAGGGGAGGGCAGTTATCACGGAGAGTACGGATCCGAAGACACGAGGAAGACGAGCTAATAGGGTTTCTGGTGCAAATTCAAGCCGTCAGCAAGGACTTTTAACCTTGACAGTAGCGTTTGTCACTGAGGGTCGGCAACCGAGGTTGTGACCGCAGTTTTGTGGCTGTGCTAGCTATCCCAAAAAACAGCGGGATGTTTTCCTCTGCACATAATGAAGATAGTATGCAAATAAACATAGGATGTTGTTTGTAGTGACCTATATTAGTGTACTTTAGGTTTGCTTTTTCTCGAATGTGCTTCATTGTTGACAGTACTACACTGTGGGAAGTAAACTCTGGTAAATTACCAAGTTTTCGTAGGTAAAGGACCATTTACTAAGTTTCGGGTGGTAATTGAGGAATGGTAATGTACCAACTCACCTGACGAGGGTTGGTAACCAAGTTCTGTGTACCATCTTTTACCAGATATCCTATGGTATTGAGCGACGTGACACATAGTGTAGGATTTCATGTTATGTACACCAGTTTTACAGTAAAGCACGATGTAGTTGATCATCGTCGACATCAAGGTGGGCTGTGCAAGCTCAATACTACAGCCTACAACTCCCCATCGCAGCGATGCTGTTCTATAACGAAACCTGCCACATACCGATGATACTGATGCTAAGTTCGCGATAATTTGTGTTGTGTCTGAGAGAGAAATGAAGGAGATTTGAGTGAGTGCAGCATTGTCATCAGCTCTGCAGGAGAGCCAGGATGTGGGTCGTTGGCACCTTGATGCCCAGGAAATTCGAAGTCAGGAGAGTGCATTCAAGTACTATATGCTTGATAAGCAGTGTCCTTCGATGGACATGTGTCAGGGCATCCCCCGACACGCCCCGCCCGATCCCTGCTCCGCTTCCCTGCTCCGCACCGCTCCCCCCTCCTCTCCCTCTCCCTCTCTTCCTTTCTTTCTTTCCTTCTTTCTTTCTTTCTTTCTCTTACATGGACCACCTTTCCCGCTGCTCAATGTATCACCGGTGCGCATGCCCATTTCCCCTCCTGTATCTTACCACCCCTACATCGCCGCCACCGCCGCCGCACTCGCCCTGCACCCACAGTGGGCCCTCTCGGGATCTCCCACGGAGGCACCCGGAGAGCCGTGGCTGTGTGCAAGGGTGACGTGGTGCACCCCACATGATCGATCCCGCATGTATATAATAACAGCTGGAGTGGGAACCGAAGAAGTAGCCTTCTTCTCACATTTCCACTTCAGGCAAGTAGTGTAGCCTTCCCTTTTAATGATAACTCACATTTCCACTTCAGACTAAGTGGTCGGGGATGCTCACCCCACGACGGGATCGCCGCTATGCACAGCCGCTATTTGTCCCACCGAGTCCCGCATGCCGGGACCTCACCGCTTTCGGAGCTGTCCCTGACAACATGGGGGTTTGAATCTACAGCAGACTGTTTGGAGTGACGCGTTGACAGTTTGGAGCGACGCATTAACAGTTGTGGCACGTAAGTTGCATTCAGCAACTTCCAAGTCCCTTACCTTTGCCTCTCACCATCTGCCCTCCTCTCGACTTTAAATGCTATCGTGTATTTTGCCCAAAAACACGCTTCATTGAGACTTCTTAGCCTGTTATATTGCTCCACTAGTGAGGCAACACACTTTCCATGGCAAATGAGCCATAACCATCGGGATTCCGACATCATCAGTCTTATCTGACATGCCTTATCATGCATCCTATCACACATCTTTCCACGTGTCTTTTGTCCTTCATTAGATTGCGATGCACTCTCCTCTTCACGAGTATAGCATATACTCATGGGACTCACCCGATCTGTGGATCTCTCTGTTGCACAGAAAATCAAAACTCCTGATCTGCGAGGCCAAGTTTTCACATGGCCTTCTTGGGCATGATGTCCGGCATGCAGTCTCACGCACACTCGATGCCCTTGGAGAAGCTACATGGTTGGTCCCTTTATTGCTCTTGCGGATCTCCATTCTAACTGACTCTCAAAGCTTGTTTCAAAACACCCTGAGTGTGAGACTATGAAATTGAGTGGGTCGCTGAATGCCCAACCCGAAGAGCCATATTGACAACTCATCATGCGATGCGATCGAGCATGGAGCATTCCATACAACAAACAGCAAGGGAAAAAGCAGAGTAATTGTCAGGGATTGGCCCCTGACCCCGCTGTCAGGGCACCCAACCACACCCCAGAACCACCCTCCCAGACTTCCCCCTCTTCCCTGACCTCCCCATCCCTACATATCTCTCACAACTTCAGCCCGCATGTAAGCCCACGGGAAAAATCACGTGGGTCAAGGCGAGCAACTCGCCTTAACCCATGTGACACCTTTTCCGAGTCGCGGGAACATGCTCGGCTTCTACCCAGAGTCACGTTACGAACTGTACAGTACACTTCCCTTTTATAGTAGCCAAGCGGGGAATAGGGAAACTTACCCTTTTTCTCAACTCAGTCCCTCTTAGGCAAGTTGTAGTTACCCTCTGTAATACATGACAACTCAGTCCCCACTTAGTCCCTTCAGTGAGTTTGAGGAGCTGAGGACAGGGTCTAGTGCCCAGGCACCCAGAACACCCCACACACCTAGGGCCGAGGTCAGGCTGTCCCCAATCAAGGACCGAGCCCTGACAGTAATGCCGATGCCCAAGCCATCAGGGATTTGACCTAGCTATGTCTTCCATCGCTTATCACTCCCAAAAGTCATAACCCATGTACTAACTACTACTTTTTTACAGTACTTGTCTCTGGTCACTTGTGCTAACTCCTTTCACTCTTATTCAGACTGCTATCACCGACTCATTCAACTCCCCAATCCCACCTCTGCTCTTTTTCGCATAAAATGCTTCGAGTTTTCCACTACCGTTCTATCTCTCTTGGTACTGTACTGCTCATGCATCGCCTGTGGGTCACTTCTGATGGCCACACTATGTGTATTAACTATCATATAAATGAATATTCTCTGACCCATATTGTACCATGCCAAAGATCGTAAAGTACCAACGACGAATCAGTAAATGACCAAATACCAATCTGGTAAAAATGGCCGTTTACCATAAAAAACATTGTACATCACCAGAAAAACTGATGTTATTCACCATTTTTGGTCTGGTATCCATTTCTGGTCAATTACTGCATACAAATTGGGGTTTGGGGCTATTGCCCTGACATTCTCCCCCCTTGCATTGCATTTGCGATGCATACAAGGTTAATGGTGAAGAAAATAAAGTTTTAAGAATTGATTTACATTGAGTTTGAAATTATCAATGAGTGTTTTGTTGTCGCCACTTTAAAGTGGGCGATTTTGTACATGTCGGTGAAGGAGAGAGAAAAGGTTTAAGGAATAAGTGAGTGTGGGCCATCACTTTGAAGTGAACGATGATACATGGGTATCGCAGAGGGGAAAGTAGTGGAGTTTGTCGAAAATGAATTTCGACCCAAAGGTTGTATGTCTTTGGTGTTCCTCACTTGTTCTGTGAGGGTTCATGTGTAAGTGGTGTTTACACATGAGCAGTGGTGGATGTGGGTCTTTTGACGAAGTAGAGATTTCCACAATTGTTACTTGCGGTTCCTCACATACAGTATTGTGTGCGGGGCCTTGAGTTGGGGGAATGGGCACCTCGATGGCATATTACCATGTCACTTTCCCTTTCCTCAAGGGTGGAGTCATTGCCCTGGAGGAGGGTTTTCCTCTGGGTTGTTCATCTGGACATCTGATTGCTGCATCGGATGTGATGACGTAGCCTGGGCTACATTGTCGAGCTGTGGGCTTGACAAAGTGGGCGCTCCCTGGGTGGGAGCGGGTTGTTGTGTTCCTGAGCTACTTGGCTCAGGTGTGGAGTATGGTAGGTCTACTGTTCTTCCCATGGGGAAGGGTGGTCGTTGGCCTGGTTGTCCAGCACGGAGACTTGCGTCTCTTTCCCGGTATTTGGAAGCTTTCGCTTCCCGCTCCGCAGTTCTTGCGGCACATTCCTCAGGAGTCCTGAGTGGTTTGAACTGGGATTTTAGATAGGTGGCTTTGCCTAGACTTTCCCAGGAGATTTTTCCCTTGTTCTCTGGGGAATTATACTCCTCCACGAGTCTTGCAATACTCGGGAGTCCCAAGAAGTATTTCTCGGTTTCCTTCACTTTTTCGCGAAGGGTTCTGTGTACCTTGCCGCTTTTGAAGGCGGCTTCAGCCTGTTCGTACCAGTGTACGAATTCTTTCCCACTCATGCTTGTCCACCAAGCGTATGTGGCATCGTGCGCTGCTTCTGACCCCGCTATTCTCCTCATGGGGAAGTTGGGGTTGATTGTTACATCGACTGGAGCTTCAACTTTGCCAAACTTGTTGAGTTTGGCGGTCTCGTATAACATGTGGACACTTCCCTGCAGGGTAGCTTGCCCATAGGATGCTGAGGTACTCAGTGGCCTGCCGCCTCTGGCAGTGGTCCCCGTTTTAGGGTCTGCTGTTGGTTGCCTACCGCTCTCCCTCTTCCCCTCGACATGGGTTTGCCCTTCTGAGGGTGGGCCCTTATGCAACCCAGACAGGGTCGCCTGCCCACGGGGTGGCGGGTGTCAGGGCCCGGCCTCGGACTCGGAGGCTCCCTGACCTCAACCCCCATCTGGCCTGTCCTCACACTATGCGGGGTATGAGATGTATAGTAAAAGGAAAGATAATATATACACTTGCCTATGCGGGGTATGAGATGAGAAGAAGGGTAAAGGTCTCATCTCCCCGCATGGTTGCTATATAAAGGAATGGGTCACATGCCCACAACTATACAGCTCCTAGAGTTGTGTAGTGTGACCCGGAGGGAACATCCAGGTGGCAGTGCCCAGTAAGCGTGGGAATGTTCTGGGCGAGTTGCTCGCCCAGAACTGTGGCTGTGACCCGTGGGAACATTCTGGGCAAGCTGCTCGCTCAGAAAGTTCCCACGCTATCCCATGTGCGCGGATACACAACACAGAAAGGCAACAACAAGGCAACAATGAAGGAATGGAAGGAAGGGATTGGTTGGGGAGTCTGGGGCACCCTAGGGCAGGGTGCTGAACCCTGACAGCGGGATAGTCGGTGCCCCACCCCTTGGTGCGCTAGTCCCCATGTGGGGTCGTGCCTCATGAGGCCCGGAACCGTATCCCCTCCCCCTGACCTGGGAGGCCCCCATCATAATGGGTTTGGCAGCGAGGTCTGCCAGTGCACGTGCCTCTCTGAGCTCGCATTTTAGTAATTCGATCTCCCTCTTTTGGAGATCGACCTCT